CGTGAAATATAATTAATGATAAACCCCCTTGCTGGTGTGCTGTAAGCAGTATGTCTCTTATTCAAATTCTGGAACGCGGCTCCTTATTATTTTAATATCGGAGTGGCCTATCCATTCTTATATTATCTATGGATTAGTCTTGTGACTATACTAATGACTTTCCACCCGTATCTCCTATAATTTCCACAAAAATTTAAACCTCAAAAATTTGACATATATTTTAACTTGACCGAAAATTGCGGTAATTGTACATGTATTATATTGAAGTAAACACATTGAAAGAAAAAAACAATAATGCGGTGTTTTCATAGCAAAAACAATATTTACTTGTTTTTCTCTATATACTTATATGAAAATATGTGTAGGTATACAAATATATAGCATTTGGTAAAACCTCATGTTATGGTATTGTAATGCTCGTATCATTCCTAATCACCCGAATAATAACTCTTATCACTATGATTAGTAATCCAGTATCTATCTAGAGATATTTAATATATGTAATTTTCATACAACAAAATCTCAACACACATATAATAACACTCTAGATAGTATGTATATTATTTTCTCATCGAATTTATATCGAATTCAAATAAAATGTCCATACATATACCGTGAACGCAATTTGTTTTATAAATTCCTAGAATGTTCAATTCTGCTCGAGTCATTTCTTGTTTAACTTCTTTTATTTCCAGGGTTGAAATAAAATTCTAACGTTCCAAAATCTTATTCGAAAAGTTGCTCAAGATTTTCGTTGGCTGATGACCTGGAAGGCCTTGCTTCCACTCCCACCCCCCAAGATCTGGAGTTCCAAGGGCCATGATCAGTAGAGACTCTTTGGTGTAGATGACAGTTCATTTTGACTTTTTTGTTAGGGAATATTGAGATCATTCTTAATACACTGGTTTCCATGTACCATATCTACCCAGGTTTTGATGTAGATATCATGATCATAAGTCATAACTTAGTCATGGCTAAGTGAAATACTGTTCGATTCAAGAAAAAATGTACCTAGAGAAACAGAAAAGAAATTGTGTCTGACGTAGTTAAAATATGAATGCATACTATACACGTTTAAAACAAAATTAGCTTAGAGTGAAACTTAGGACGAATTAAAAACTTCCCTCGCACGAAAACATCAAACAGTGCTTTTAGTAAAAATCCACTAGAACCAAGAAAACCATGGATACGCCACCTACAGTCAAATCAAGAAAGCGGCGAAAAACAGAGAAAATTGGTTACAACGATCAGGCATTACTTTTAGGAGATGATGATGATGATGACGATGATGACGATTATGACGATTATGTTATGTTATGATATTATATATACCTGTCTTACCTATACGCGTGTCTTAACGATTTTGAAGACGCGTGCCAATAGGTCCGTCACTTATGCTTAAAGCTCAGCGTGATGGTTAGGTTAAGTGATGGTTAGGAATTCGTCGGAACTAGTTTGAGGTTCGAGCTAAGTACCTGAATAAATATAGGTGTTACACGTAAAGTAATTTATTGGAGACACGTTATGTTATAGCAGTATAATAATATTATATTGCGCATTTATGATGAAGGCCGAACGGTCTCACTGGTCACCACGTTTATAGGCGAATAATTACTTACTCAATTTTAGTAATCGAGCGGCACTAATTGATTTCTTAAATCACAAATCTCCCGCAGTCCGTTTTTTAATGGGCTCGTATTTCATTTATATACCACCGTATATTATAGCGACATTAAACATTATTTGTTTTTAACTGTTTCATGGTTTTTTTTTTTTGGCAACCATATTTCTACATCAGCTGCGAATTTTCTTCATTAGGTTAAACCCAGAGGTAATACCTATAATACAAATACGTATATTATATAGGTAAAAACCGGTTAGTAAATAAAAAAATAAACAACTTTTTCAGTTTTTTAAACGTATATAGGTATGTATAGCAATATTTAAATGTTTTTTTGTCACGTTATCGTAACGAAATCTTCTGACCGATAAATCACCGTTTCGACAATCACCCACGTTTCCAAAACGAGCAAGAACCGCAAAGAGAAGACATATCAATAATCGATATCATTTAGCACAGGAGAGATTCGTGAAAGAGCTAACGTGACATTTTGTCATATTCACGAGTCCTGAAGACGGACTAAAATATAGTCCTATATAATAAGTGAACATCTGCTGACCACTATATTAATATAAATTAAAATTTTCTCAAAAATGAACTATACTTTTCTCTTGCAACCAGTCTACTGCCATTATCATACGGTTTGAAACGCATGCGGCGGTTAGATTACTCACTGTAGTTAATAATATTTTGGAAATGTATTGTCAACATTTTAAATTTTAACGTAACACCGTGTGGTCGAAGATAAAAACGCTCGTTAACCACGACTACCTATACAGATATATTATTATTATTATTCATAAAGATAAATATTTAACGTCAGAGATAAATAGATAATTAAACGTGCACAAATTTTTTCGGATAATATAGTTAATTTTCAATTTCAGATATCTAAATATTTTGTATTCAATTATTTAATTTTTAATTCGTATTTGTTTTGTTATTGCTACGAATAACTTTCGACAAGAAAGATTGCTAAATAGATAATATGAAATTGATTGACTTGACTTGACTTGCACTTGAAAATAAAATGTCGATGTAAAGGTGAGCATGATAGCTATTATATATAAATGTAATTTATTTATTTTATAGTAGTTTAAAATTATTAAATGTTTAATTTTTTAAATATTATTTACACGAAGGTCAAAAATAATAAAAATAAGTTTTACCAGTAAGTAATCTAGAGAATCAATTAGGATTTCATTTTTAAGAGTAATATAATAAAAACATTGTGTATAATTTTGTCTGATGAAAAACCGAGTGGTTGCAAAACATACAATATACAGGTACAAAGCAAGCGCAGCCGTTCGTTTTTCAGTAATAAACGGGACAATTCAATATTAAATACGTTATGTCAGTGTCCTCGATTGCATAAATACGAACCATTTTGACATAAATATCATCAATTAATAGTTGAGGTCGTATTTTATATTATACGATAGGTATGTACACGTTTTACACTGTATTGGCATTCTCAATATTCTCTTCAACTAAACTGGATTGTTTTTAAACGTAACTCTGTAGACTTAAAGTAAACATTCAATTATATCTATTATATTATGTGCATACACACATTTTTTTAACATTGAAATATTTTTATCGTTCAAAAGATTCAATTATTAAAAAGTAAAAATAATATTTTGACATACATAAAATAAAACGTACCTACTTAGATACACCCATACCTATATTATCCATCCTATATTTTAATAACAGTATACCTGTGCGCGGGTTTTCTACGCTTTTGCTGTCGAAATCAAAACAGTCGCGTAGGTACACGAAATCTTTTTTTTTCCTGTTCAGTTTATTCGAGCATTATTATTATTATTATTATGTCCGAGTTACTCTTAAATTAAAATAACCAAACATGACGTTTGAGAATTCGAAACACGCGATGCGGACGAAGAACGTTCGGTATAACAGTATAATCAGCGTGTATAGGGAATACGTTTTTTTTTTTTTTTTTTTATTTGGTAAAATATAATTATATAAAACTCATACCTGAATGTGCATTACTTTACTTTGGGTATATGTATATGTATCGATACATATATAGGTATACAGTATACACATTATCCGTTGTGATTACCGATTTTGTTAGAAGGATATTGTTTGCATTTCAACCTACATAGTATTATTATTATTATTATAAATACCAATTAATCAAAAATTGTATTCAATAACTCTTTTTTCATTCGCAACTCATACTACAGTGTACCAATATAATAACAATAGGTGTATATTAGGTGTACACTCAACGTCCAATGACTTTTGTTGTTAAATAAACATACAAGTACATGAAGTACATAATGTAAAATAATGTATTTTTATGTTTAGAAAGGCCGAAGGACAGGCATTTGATGATTTTCGGTTCAATAGTACAATAGGTATAGATAATTGGCACGGTTCAGTAGGTATATAGTTGGCGTGTCCAAGAGCAAAAATATTTTTCGTACTTTTACGAATTTCTGATGGTTTTTTGTTTTTTTGTGTAACACAAATTTCTGTACACAAATCTATTTCTTTTAGAATTCCACACACCCCTGAAGCGTCTCCAACCAAAGTCGAACAATTATAGTTTAGTTAAAAATTCGAAGTTCTCAATGTGCACAATATTATATTATGCACGTTATTTTTATACGCAAGTAACCCTATTAAAAACACTGATGTTTTAGTTTCTTTTATTTCCTACATATGTTTAAGGAACGTTTAAAAGAAAAAAATCATTTTTTTATTTTTGGTCAGACTATCGTCTTTTTATGTTTTTCACAAGAAATAAAATCAGAAGAGTGATGACTGATAAATTACGAGGGAGAATTTCTCCAAGTAAATTGTTTAAGCTATTTCTAATTGTTATTATGATATTTATAACAAATTTTAAAAATACGTTTTACTGATATAATTATTTCTAAATTGGTTCTTATCCATCGACGTTATAACTTGCAATCATATTGTCTGTTCTTTATAATTATTCGGATGGAAATTAGAAAACTGTGTTATTTAAGTCGGGATTTTTATAGCAATCCGATTGATAATCGACGATTGGATTGGTAAATTATCCATCTACAAACGGAATAGATTTTTACCGAATCGAGTTTTATTCCAACATGTCCCATCCAAATGATCCGATTTAATTACATGCGTTCATCTTCGATGATATCAGTTCAATTATAGAAAATACGAGACTTGATTACTGATATCAGCTACAATCTAATTTCTCTGATGTTATATCACTTTACAGTGTAGACGATATTGTGCGCACTGATACTGTATGCTAAAGTATAGAAATTAATTAGATTTAAATTTATAAACATTTAACATATACGAGGTCTAATCAAAAATTATCGAGACTGATAAGATAAATCGTAAACCGGTTTGAGTAAGAACTTGCACGTGCTATATTAATCAAACTTTGTATGTTGGGAAAATAAATTAGGCATAGATTAGATTAAAATTGTCTCAGTCGGCTTCTAGGTGCGATTAAGTAAAGTGTGTTTTTATGTCCTGTCGGATTTCATTATGAGCGAAAATATTGAACAACGAATGTGCATTAAATTTTGCCATAAACTGGGATAAACGGCTACTGAAACCTACCAAATGTTACTGTTAGCTTATGGAGATGAAACCATTTCCCGTACTCGCGTTTTTGAATGGTTCAAACGATTTAAAGAGGGTAGAACAACTGTTGAAAGTGATAAACGTGAAGGACGCCCGTCAACAAGCCGCAATGAGGAAATGGTTCAAAAAATACGAACAGCAATACGAGATAATCGTCGTTTGACAACTATGGAACTTAGTAATGAGTTTCAAATCTCATTCGGATCAGTTCAAACCATATTGACGACTGATTTAGATATGAGAAGAGTTGCTGCCAAATTTGTTCCAAAACTGTTCTCAGATGAGCAAAAAGAAAACCGAAAACAGATCGCCACTGATTTGCTAGAGTATTCCGAATCTGATGAATTTTTTTTAAAATCAATTATAACTGGTGACGAGACTTGAGTATATGGCTACGATCCAGAAGCAAAGGTACAATCTTCACAGTGGAAGACACCTGATTCACCACGACCCAAAAAAGCTCGTCAAGTTCAGAGTCAAGTGAAGGTTATGTTGACTGTTTTTTCGACTACCAAGGTGTTGTTCNTGAAGAAAAAGACCTGAGTTTAAAGAGTCTGGTAGTTGGAAATTGCATCACGATAATGTACCAGCCCATTCAGCCCATATTGTGCAGCAGTTTTTGGCCAAACATGATATCCCAGTTGTTTCTCAACCCCCCTATTCACCAGACCTAGCTCCATGTGATTTTTTTTTATTCCCAAAGATAAAAATAGCACTTAAGGGTAAACTTTTTCAAGATGTAGATGAAATAAAACAAAATGCGACGGAGCAGCTGCGAGGAGTTTCTAAAAATGACTTCCAAAGGTGTTTTCAAAAAAGGCAGGAACGTTGGAGAACATGTATAGACTCAGTAGGAGCATATTTTGAAGGAGATTGAATATAAATATCTTTATCTAATAAATATGTATATTTTTTATTAACAGTCTCGATACTTTTTGATTAGACCTCGTATTTTAATGGCAAATGGAAATTGTAGTAAAGCGCATCATTCGCGGAGCATAATTTTAATGTTCAAATGTTCAGTTGTCGCTGTGATCTGAACCAGAAACGTCGATTTGCTTTTTATCGTCGAGGTCTTGACAAGGCACAAATGCCAAGGTAAGACCTAACCTTAACGTTATTTATATGATAATGTTAATTATTATAGACGATTATGATGGTTCAATGATTTTCTAATGATTGACAGAAAGCGTCATACCTACAAGATTAATTACTTCTCTATAAAAAATCAGTACCTATACAGTAGACGCATAATCACTTCTGCAGTTATACAATATCCTCATATTTATTCGAATAGAAAACGAACTCGTCTAAGAAACAAATCTGCAGTAAAGTTCAACATATTTAATTAGCCTGTATCTTTAAAAAAAAACTCCTCTAGGATCTGTGTGAAAGTGTGGTAGGATAATAGGTATATTTTGTACGCTATTTAGATTTCGCTAAAGACACGTGACTTATTTGTATTCGTATGAAAGAAAAGAACATTTCTAGAAATCTAGATTTTTGTAAATCGTTTGATAAAATGTTAGACTGAATTTAGACTAGAATATACATACATTTAAATTTTAACTAATTTTTACAATTTCCGTGACATTGGTGTTGACCTAAATATTAACTTGTTCTGTATAACGAACAACAGTATATTATGCATGAGTAAGTAGGTATTTTAAATCAGAGACTAATTATTACGAATTACTTACGAATTTATGACCTAAGTTTGTTTACAATGTTTTTAAAATAAGCAATTTTTAACGTTTTAAATGATAAATACGCGTTTAAAAAAGGATATGTATTAAGATATATTTTCTTTATGTACCGGTTTTATTATCAAAACAAAACAAAAAAAAAACCGTGCGTAGGCACCTGCATGGTCTCGTGTATAGAGAATACAATTATGTTTTATCTATTATATATGTGCTCTCGAAAAAATTAACAAGAAATGTCAAACATAAGATCCCGGTGAGTTTTTTACCTAGTTACAATATTTCATAATTCAAAATTAATTTGACGTGGGTGATAATAATAAAATGTATAATGTTATATAGTCAAAATAGTTTCTTTTAAACACCTTGAAATTACAATTACAACAAATAAACTATAAATATTTAAAAAAATAAAAAAAAAAACTGTTATTTAACATTATTTGTCTGAGAGGATATTTTTTTTAGATTTTTATTCGCTTGATAAGTTAATTGTTTTTTTTTACAATGCGATGCGTATGGTATTTTTTTTCTAAACTAATTATTCATTTTAATCAACCAAATCAATTATTATTCAATCATTATTGTTTTTGCAAATATGACTTATAGTTACATAACAGTCTGATTGAATTTTTGTTTTTTTATGCCGGCGTTTTTGTTCTTTGTTTACAGTTTTATTATTACGAGTAGATATCAACAATTTTATTAAACAATGACTACGAGTTATGTAAAACAAATACATAGTTGGGCGTAGATATTAAATTAAAAAGGCACCAAGTATAATTTTTTTTTTTTGTTGGAAGAATAAGGTTTTTTAATATAAAAATCTCTAAAATTTTGAAAAGTTAGAAATGTTGGAAAATAAAGGTATTTAAATTTTATCTAAACCATTGCTGACAAAGTACAATCCTTAGTCAAAGTTGAGTAAGTTACTCAACCTTAGTAACTGAGTAGATATTACAGTTACTTTCCTTAATTAAGTAACTTATTAAAAAAAAAAAATTTGACCTAGGCATAGTGAGTATACTCTTCCTTATAAAATGTGTAATTGGTCTTTTAACCCTAAACTCAACCAGAGAGTAGCAATCGTTGAAGCGAGTAATGTAGGATTTGTCGCTACATATTACGCGCGAGACATGTAGAAAAAATACCAGTTACGTGTAAAGGCCCCTTAATTTTATTTTGAAATTTTTGATTGGAAACACTGTACTCGCATATTATTTAGGGGCTAAATAAAATACTTATCTGGGTTTTGTGTTTTAAAAAATGTCGCGTTCCATAAATGTGATACCCAACTGTATCACGATAACAGAGTATAAAAGTCACAACGTTAGATACTGTTTAGTTGATAATATTATATTTTATATTTTTATTGCATTAAAAATAAGTGGGATATTATAATATTATATACTATACATTAAATGGTGCTTTTTTTTTCGTTCAAAATATACGTGGTTACCCACATTTTGAAAACCTTGAATGTTTGTCGCGAACCATGTTTGTGACGAGATTATTATAATATTGTATATGATGTCACAAATCTTCACGGATAAGATCTATTTAGGTATATAGTTTGAAAACGCCGCAATGAAAAAAAAAAATTGACTCTAATTCGTACACACGCAAATTATATTATACATATACGTCTGTCTATATTATTATGTTAAATAAATAAAACCAGTGTTGTTTCTATGGAATTTTTTGCAGTAATCATTTTTTTTTTTTTCAGTTAATATACGGGTAAAATTGACATAACTATAAACCCATTATAATAAAATCATTATAGGTTTTTTTTTTAAATATTTTTTATTATCCTATTAAGGAATAAAAATATTTATTCTCTTCTATAGAAATATTTATATATATATATATATATATGTATATGTAGGTAATATGATATTATATATTATACTATTACATTACCTGTACATTTATGTATATTTATATAGATTTCGCATTATCGTCTATTTGTTCAAGATGCATATCAAACTGGGGGTTATTTTTTTTATAGTCATTCTATAATAATAGAAAAACAAATATAATTTAACGTTGTATAGAAATATCAGAAACCCGGTCGAGTAAAACAATATACTTAAACGGTTGTAGTAATTTATAATGCGTACGTTTAGGTGTTATTACACTTTTTATTACACTATGATATATATTATTAAAAAATTGTTTTTAAAATCTATATAGGTATAGGTGCGTTTACAGAATTTATTATATTATTATCATTTTTTTATTTTATTACTAAACACATTTATTTTATTGTTTGTTTTTCAGTTTAACATTGTAAGGCTTAATGTTGGAAAATTCAAATAGTTGACCAATGAGTGTCTTATATTATACACTACACAGAGGTTGATAAAATCTGCACTGCGCACCTGCGCAGCGTATTTATTATTATTGTTATTATTTTTACGAGTCGTCGTGTCATATTATGTATTGCAACTTTGTCACACAATAATATACAGTTATTGATAGTTTATGGCTGCAGTCTTTGGCATTCTATGCGTACAATAATATGTCGAACAATGTGCGATTATTTGGATGTCGATGTTTAAAAAAAAATATGTATACACATATATTTACGGTTTACGTAAAGACACTCGTAATGTATAGTTCGATAATATTATACTATTATTATAGTCACCTACATAAAAAAAGCGAAGTGAAGGGGTTACATTTAGATACCTGGTGCAATATTGTTATCGGTAGATCCTTTTACTATATTATACGCGTATACGCACCTTATCGCCGGATAAAAAATAATAATAGTAACAAAATAATAGATAATATCGTTACATAACATATTTTAATGTTATTTATTATATAGTACGACACTACGATAGAATAATTTATATATCGCGATAGTTTCTATATGAAGACGTTTTATAATTTTGTTTTTTTTATACAGGACCTAACTAGTATGGGTACCTAGGGTGCTGTTAAAACACTTAAAACGGATTAACTCGTTTTTCAAGAATGCCTAGTCCCAGTATTTCTCGTAAAACTAAAACCAAAAATGACCGAGACAGTTAGATAATAATATCATGTTATTATTATTATTATTATTATTATTTTTTTAAAGTGACAGCAATAAATTTAAGATAAACGTTGTTTTTATACACTTGATATGATAATTTAAACAATAATATATAGTATACGTTTTGTTTAAAATTAATTTTCATCCTAAATATAAGAATTGGATACCGACTTATAATAACTTATTAACAGGGTTCGGGATTTATAGCACTTATAATCAACAAAAAAGCAGCATTTTAATAGCATTTAAAAAACTTCATTGCAGCACTGAAAAAGGTACTTAAAAATAAAGCAATGAACAACTAGTTGAGAGCATTTTTTTTAACAATCGAAATAAGTAAAAAAAGCATTTTCAAAATTAATATTTTAGCGATATAACTCAGCGACCAGAAGTAAATAAAATATCACAGACAAGGAATTATTAGTTGGATAATAGAAAATATACAAAGACGAAATTGTTTAAAAATCATAGGGGAGGTTTGAAAATCTGGATTTTATCAGCGGTTTACATAATCACAAAATTGAAAATATACAAAAAAAAAACCAGGAAAACACAGTAAAAATCATTTTTTCCGAACTATTGAAATAAAAAAGGTGGGGGAGAGGGGAAAGAAGTCTAAATTTCAAATTTGACATAAATTTCCACTATTCTAAATTTAATGTCACGCCCAAAGAATAAGCGAATTATTATAAGTCCGCCTACTGCCTACTTAGGCGAATAAAAATATTTCTAAAATATCGAATTTGGTCGCCCTAGACCTCATCATAATTATTATATTTTATAATATTATGTATACAGTATAATCGGTCTAATAATGTAAATATGTCGCGGTAAATTATAAAAATAATTTATCAAATTAAATTTGATATTGTAATTCGACGTATTAATACTTTATATCCGATAGTTATTACTTGTCCTAGAAAGGACGGAACGGAACTGAGAAGGCGACAACGACGCGCGACGGTCTCTCGACGTGTGGCCGCGCCTGGATTACGATACTCTACATTTGTAATACACTCGAATAACACTTTTATTTTATTTATTTACTTTTTTTTTTTTTTAATATTGAAAATCTAATCCCGAGTATTTCGTCGTATACGCCTGACATCGCTCACGTCGACGTGTACGTAAGCACCTACTTACCTATATATTATATTAAAATATAATGTTAAAGCTGCAGCAAAGCGGTTAAAAGCGATCCGTTTTTTCGCAAATTTAAACCGAGATAAACTAGAGTAAACCATTACATTCAGTAATCAAATTTTCGTTTTGAAAAACGATTTGACTTCGTGCACGTCTTATTTTCTATGTTTTGCAGGAAATATATATTTCCATTTATTATTGTAATTATTATTAATTTTTTTTTTTTGTAACGCTTTTGGTCTAAAACGTCGTGAAACGGCCGTACCCCTTTCCCTTAAACGGGTATCGGACAGTAGGTTCATAGACAATTTATATAATTGAATAATAATTTTCAAATTTTACGAAATTCGATTAAATTTGGAAAACCGCTTCCGAGTCCCTTAAATAATAATATAGGGGAGTGGAGATTATGGGTTATAATAAGTGATGTTATTTAACAACAATTATATATTGGTTTTACTATGACGTGTGTTTTTTTTTTTAAAAAAATTTTCTTGCCTGGAAACAACTTTTCTACCAAAAATCTTGTACAAATAGTATTAACAGTATTATTAGCAGTAACATTTCATAGCATTACATTTCTTACACGCACAGTTCATCGATGCGGAAATATAATATAAAATTATCCGAACTCATATTAATAACGTTCTATAGAAATATCACGAAATCAAGAACATCGTTTTATATTAACAATTTATACAAAAGCTATAGTATATTTCTCTCTCTATCGCGTCCGAAAAATGATAATTCTTTTCGTAGTTCGAACGCGCGAAAGATAAAGGAGTCAAGCCGGGCGATATTATAAAACTGTTAAAAAAAAAAAAAAAAAAAAATATAAGGCCCTACCATTAAACGTGTAGTGACAATATTACGTCGAATAAAATTAATATTCTTAGTTTTCATTTTACGTTGGTGAACTATAATACCTTTGACGAATAATTTTCCATTAATTAGTAATTATTACTGATCAGGATGTTTCCTCGCACAACGTAACTATATATTATATTATAAATATTTCCTTACACCATAGGTATTAACGCAAAACTAATACGTGTATTGTTCTTTTCCGAAACCAAGTCCGTTTAAACGTATTTAAAAAAAAACCATAAGAAATTAAAAAAAAAAAATAATAAAATATATTCGTTTGTGTGGAATAAAACCCCGTTGAAAAAAAATTATTACTTTTATTCTATGTGGACTATAATTTAGTGTTAAAAACGGTTTTCTCGTTTCCTGTACGTGTATTACAATATGAACAGTTCTGTCCTTTTGGAAATCGTTTACAATAAAAAGCTTATTTATAGCGCGGTGGCATAACACGTATTATTTATTATACGAATTTTATAATATATTAAAAAAAAAATTAATATATTTCATCTCTTTGAACGGCGAAAATCCGATAGAGCTATTAATGCTGTTATACGCGCGTATTATACCTATGTGGAAAAATGTAATATATACATTGAACAGGAACAATAAACTAACGTAAAACCCCTCGTATGTTATCGCGCGAGGGTGGTTTTATTGTGTTTTGTACGTATTTTTTGTCCGACCCCACATCCCCCCTCCGCCGTACCGACGACAACAAAAACACTTGGTTTTACACCCGTCTTGAATTTCGGATATATGCCTACCTATGTACGGGTCTGGCATTATTATTATATAATATAGCTGGTGTATTAAGGAACCCAACTTACTATCCCGCGCAGGTTGTATTCATATGTGTACCACGTACTACATACTCCGGGCGGCGTGTGCACAGACCCTCACCGAAACGTTACCGAGTTGGTTTTAGGAGGTTTTTACAAAACACAACTTACACCCGTTGGTCCTCACGTACCCGATACCGCAGACCCGTACAAGACGTGTAAACCAGTGTAGTCCAGTGGTCGGCAATTAGTTTCTAAGGGAAGCGGGACAGTTATTTGAAAAAAACAATTTTAATAATATACAAATATACCAAATGCATCATAAAATGTATATATACGTAGATCGCGTTCGGATATTCTGGATCTACACAGAGACAAGTAATGAAAACGGAAAATCAGCGTTAAAGCGCAACGAAATTAAGCGATCCGTGGTCCGGATTTGGCCCGCGGGCCGCTTATTACCTATCCCGCACGAATACAACGCTTTCGGTATTCTGGTCGATGAAAAACCGCGACGGGCACGTCGGCGCGCATACGGTCGGAATATTTTGGTCAGGGGGCTAAACGTCCCGTAGCACCGATTGTGCGCGGTGTTCGTACTATTCACTCGATGAGGACTTGATATTTTTTTTCTTTTGGGGGGGAGGGTGCTTGTAAGGACCTAACCCTCAACAGGACCCCCTCCTCTTTGCGCCCGTGGCGCACGCGTATTTGTATTCGTATGCCTTGCGGCAATATACCGTTCGGGCCGAACTGGCATAGGGTCTGTAAATACGCCGCCGCGCGGCGGACACAACAGTGTGTGGATGTATAGTAATAATAATAATAATAATAATAATAATATTATTATTATTAGGTACCCGTGTTTAAAATTTTTGTTTTTTTTTTTTCCTTCTTCTTCTCCTCTCGGAATATCATTTCGCCCCACCTCGTCGTCCGATCGCCCACGGGCTGTGCCCATCATCTTAACCTGAATATTACCTGTTGAACGTCGTCGGCGGCGGCGGCGGCGGCGGCGGCGGCGGTGGTACACATGCCACACACCACACGCACATTATTCATTGCATTACGTTCAGTCGGTGGCCGCATTCCGTGCCGTGCAGTCGTGTGTACGCCGTCGTACTTTCCGTCCGTCCGCGCGAGCGTTCGGGTTTTGTTTTTCCTTTCGATTTTTTTTTTTAAAATTCGTATTTTTCCGGACCGTTTTCGATTATTCGCACGGGCGTTTCACGTTATTCGTATTTTTTCCCACCCCCCCGGTCGACCGTTTCTCCAGCGGTTCGTTTAGACCGACGGCGCGCCGTCGTCGCCGCGTTGAAATGTGCGAAAAGTGATTCATCGGATTATATTCACCGCGCCGTAAAACCCGCGACACACCGGATACCGTCGGCAAAAGTGAGTAAACCCACACGGATCAATCCGGCCATAATATAAGCAGTGCCGAATTGTCAGGTTATATAGGCATGTAATATCGGCAGTTTAATATTCGTCCGTTGACCGATTTTACGTTATCGACCGGACAATCGCACAATACCTCGAGCGCTTTAAAAAACCGGCGCGCATTTCGGGTTTTCGGTATAGGCCCGGTCGGAACCGTCTGGGTTGCACGGTCAGGCCAAACCACAGCCGAACCGGCCGGACCGAAGAAAAAAAAACCAACGCACATCCGATTTTATACGCCTTATGTTCGCCCCTGTTCGTCCGTGATGGCACCGGCAGTGTCTAATACGGCTTTATCACTCGCCTTGTTCACGAGTCGGCCGACGGGACGCGGTGGACCAGATGTGGTCGTTACCGGCGATGCCACCACTGACGAGTTAAGGAACACAAAGATGCGAACGCGTGCGCTCGTACCGAACCAATCGTCCGACCCGAATAGGCGCGGTTTGGCTTTCGACCGTTCCCAGACAAGTTTGAATCTGTACACGAATCTGTTGCTATTTGTTATCTCGGTTTTATCGACCATTTCACGTTTGGCGTTTCGATGACATGATCAATTATAATCGTTGATATGTAGTCGAAAATACCTCGGTATTTATAGATATACACGTATTGTTCGAACGTTTTTGACAATTTCGTTCCGAAATTTCGAAATACAAAAAAGAATTGTATTCGTCAAACGTTGATATAATTTTTGGTGGTTAATATCGTTCAATACAGTTCGGAACGAAAATCCCGGGGACAATGAATGCAGTTATGTCAGAACAAATTCGGCCAAAATATTTTTCGGTTCGGTCAGTGGCGGTTGTAACTGACTTTTAAGGGGAGTGGGAGACGAAAATGACAAACAAAAATCGCAGGGCGATAAACTAATCAGTTGATGGTAAAGGGGGGAAATGTCTTCCCTGCACCTCCCAAAATGACGCCACTGGAAAATTCACCTACCTCTCCCTTTATAATCGCCACTGGGTTCAGTTCTATAAGTGTTGTTTGGCCCGGACGATCGTCCGAACGAAAACGTGTACGTAAAACCGAACACGTCCAATCAAATATTATCAGTTTCAACAATTTTCTCCGATTTTGTAAATTGTGAATTGTTTTTTACCTTTTAACGGCTGCTTTGATGTTAAAACTTTCCCACTAATCTACTGCCTGAAAGTACACATCTAAGGGGAAGGGATACGGCCGTTTTCACGAGTTTCACGACGTTTTAGACCAATAAACCCGAGTAAAATTTACCCACTACCGCTCGTCCGTTTTTAACTTTGAAAACATATTCGAATTATTTAATTTCTTGTCCGTATTTTGTAGAAAACACTGTGGTTATCGATGAATTTGCTTTTTTTATTAAGATAAACTCTTCTTTTAAAATATCATAAAAATGAAAATATTTCCTGTAAAATGCGGAAAAAAAAGTTACAAAGTCAAACGAGTATGCGTTAATCCAACGTATTGCGTATTAGTCTAAGTTTGTGAAAAAACGAATTGCTTTCGCCCGCCTTAACCAAAGAAAAACGCATCGGGCTTTACATATGAAAAAAAAAAAAATGAAAAAAAGTCTCCGTCAAATGATGTTCGTATAGACTATAGATCATATTATTTTGAGTCTTTTACACGTCCGAATGCGTGACAATTGGCGGAACGTTTTGACAAACGATTTTAATATTAAAATTCGTCATCGTGGCCCGTTATTAGGAATAATTATAATTAACGATTATAATTTGTACGAATAATTATTATTCACCCTTGATAATGCCATCATACGACATAATATAACTGAGCTGGTATACATAATTTGATAATATGTTTACAAGTCAAAGCGGATGTTGACATTTCATTATTCGCGCTATAAAACACTGCGCTTTCAATATAACTTCACCGTGCGTACGATATTATATAGTATTCCATCCCACACATTTAACCGGAAAAACGCGAAAAATCTATCGGACGGCGTTTTTCGTGCTTATTAGTTAACAGTGAACAGTTTAAAATCAAACTTTTAACTTACCGGTTGGAGTGCTTCTGAAAATATTTACAAAGATATTCTGACACGCGCGGTAGACTGACAGCTTGGTTTACGAAACCGAAATAGTTTTTACTCTCTTCCGACGTCTGTAAGGTACGAACTATTGATTCTTGAAGGGATTTTATAGTTTGGGCATATTGAAATAATGAACTTATCGAAACTTACGCCGCGCGCTTATCATAAAAAAAAAATCTAAACCGTTAACTTATAAAATTTGTTTAAAATTTCGCTCAAATCATAATAATTCTATCTCGTTTATTATCATATATTTTTTTTAATAAAAATATTATTATCATTAATAAAGATCAGAAATATTCTATTATTGAGAAGTCAGGTATAGCTTTAGCTTGCACATTTACTTTAAACCTTCAGGTTAACAATACAGGTGGGTATGCGATGTATTTCTAAACGATTAAAATTATTTCCGATCAAGGATAATAATTAAAACTCTCCCGTATATAGAAGTTTATTTTTCATTTGTTTTCGTTTCGAACTCGGATAAATAAACAAAACGAATACTCTCAGGAAACTGTTCCACACACACAACATATCAGTACAATATAGACAGGGCAGTGCATACTGTAAATACATTTGATTCCCAAAAAAGTACAAAAAATTACAGCTGAAATAAAACAGTCGCTTATAAAGAGCATTTAGTCGTATTGCATATTTAATGTCAAGGATGTTCCTTATTTAAGGGTTTCAGCTTTCAACCCCCGCCCCTCACTATTCGTTTTGATATTATATTCGGTTATTAAATGTATTGTTTTACAAAGAATATTAATTCTATAAAACAAAACAGGACGAGAGTGGGCGGGAATTCGATACTAGTGCCGAGTTTTGCTGCTCACAAGTATTTTTTTTTTTTTAAGTTGCAATTGTTTTTTTACGAATCAAAATGCTTTTCTCAATGGGTTTTTTTAGTGGATCAAATTCACAGTCCTGTGCGCAATTATTAATCGAAATGAATATTGCGGGGCTTTTGTTTCGCTATAATTATTTAACTATATATTATGTAGGAGGGATTCGTTGCAGGACACGTGCAATTTTGTTTTCGGCCGGTAGACTGTATATGCCTGAATAATATGTGTATAACACAGCGATTATGTTATTATTTTTCACCTGCAGTTGACCAAAACAGAATGTTGCAAGTATCGGTACGATATTATACTGCAGGTATAGTCATGGCGGCCAGGATGCTGGGTTTCGTCGAACGCAACGGGGGTATTGTTTACACAATAAACTCGAAACGTTTCAAAAACTAAGGGTTCGTTTTGTGCAGAACAGTTGCGCGTATAATTTGCCCGATAAACAATATAATAACAGGGCAGTTATTTTAATAATAGTCGTAACGTCGTTAATGTACTCGCAGCGAGTAATAATAATAATTATTATTAGGTACATATAATAAATAATTGTTACAAGTATATACTTTGAAAACCGTGTATAAAAAAATAAATAGTTCTATCGTTATTATAATCGATTAGGTGTATTATACAGCCGTTAATTGTGGGTATCAATTACGTTTTATGTGCGTATGGTAAAACTACTAAAACAATAATAAACACGTATCTATCATTTTTTATTAGTTTTTTCATTAATCGAATGAAAAATTATTGCTTTTGTCGTGCGAATGTTCATTTTCAATATTGCGTTCAACTGACGGCAAATAAACTGCCATCCAACGTACGGAATAGCAGAAATAGATTGATAAAAGTAAGAAGGCACTAAAAAAACTATAGGAATACGGAAATTTTTAACGGAGCAGCTCAGAATAGAGAGAGAGAGACGTGGAGAAATGTTTGATTTGCAGTCACGGACCTCAATATCATGGTAAAGGCGAAAAGAAGAATAGGTATCTATATAACCTATCTGTATGGTTTTATTTGTATTTTTTCGAAATTTCGTGTCGAACGAGACGGCCGCGATAGCGAACAAAGTATGAAAAAAATGATATTTTGACAATATTATTTAAACGCGGTGTTTTTTTTTTCTTTAATCTACATTTGAATCAAGACATTTTTCTTTTGTGTACAATATAATATCATGTTTGTAAATGTGGCGTATACACTTGTCGAGCGCCCACCTTGTGTTTTTTTATACCGCGTCGCATATTATTATCGTGCATAGTTGTATAGAGTAGGATAGCGATAAAAGATACGACTTTTTTCGATTTCATATCCGAGACTTTTTGCACCAGCACGAGTACTGTGCTGTATACGTGTGCTTAGCGTACAACTGCAGTTGTATACAAAAGCACATATTTTTACGCCGTCGTACGAGGCACCTATTATTTTATACGGTTTTTTTTTTTTTATTATTTTTTAAGAACTTGATTACACACGCGCGTCATAGTGAACTCACGGAGCTATTATTATAACCATTTAAACGACATATACCTAAGGTACCGTAGATATTTCACGTTATTATAGGCGTACAGTTATTATACGCATGTGAAATATGTCTGATAATCCGGTTTTTTTGTTTTTCTAAACAGCGATATTTTCGTTTAGTATACAGGCATACTATGTACACCGTAGAGTGTGGGATATTAGTTGGTTCCGAGATAATATTATGTTATTAAACGATTTTTGCCGCGCAATTATATTATCTCGCGGACGTCTGTTTTCAAACTCGAATCCGTTCGGGCGATAAGAATATACGCGCGCGTCGATAAAACTGTCGTGTACCACCACCGCGGCACGACGAGAAACTTTAACGAACTGTGTCGCACGAATTTCGTCGGGTACACCCAGCTATACCTACGATTGCAGCGCGCGCGAATGCAGAGATTCTGTTTTTTTTTTTTTTCAAATCATTTTTTCGCCGGTCCATTATCTTACTCGTGTTATTTATTATTATTATTAATATTATCGTCGTCGTCGTAGCTGCAAACGCCGAGTATCTTTATAGGTATACGCGATAGTATGTGTGTGTGTGTATAATTGTATGTATAGTATATAATATAATATTATGTTCACGTATAATCTGTGTACGTACGATACAAGTGAGGAATTCACCTTGTAACCTGTTGGCCGACCTTAAAGTCGTTCTTGTACATAATATTATATACACACATATATATATATATATATATTTATTATTATAATATGCAAACCGTTAAAATCTCGACCCCACCTATTCTCATATTCTCGCGTACGTGTATACGTATAATACCTATAACATTATAATACAGTATACCGATTCGTCGCGACCGATTTCGTTCTTTCTCTCTCTCGCTCCATCTCTTTTTTTCCCCTCCTATTTCGGCATTTTATCCGTACGGTCGAACCCGAACGACGAGTAGTTGGACGGCGGCACCGGCGGTGCGTGTGTCCCGTACACCGCAGTGGCGATTAATTATAATAATAATACTAATATTATACATACCTATCCAGAACTAGTCAATGGAGTTCTACTATACATATATATATATATGTATACTATAAAGATGATCAGCAATACTACACGCATTCGTACGTACACGTCGTCGTCGTCGTATTTCTTACTAGCGTTCATCTGGGTCAAGGATTCCGTAAAAACCATTAATGGGCCATTTGTGTATACGTATTATAGTCGTTTGTTGTCGGGTTGTTTATGCTTATCCCGCTTCATAATCGCGTTTATTATTATATAAAAAAAAAAAAAAGCTTCTATACGTTCCATCATGTACGAATATAAGAGTAAGTAGACAAGTTGAATTCGAATTGTCCTGTAATAGACATACATCAGCCGTGTATTCGCAATAACCCGCCCAGGAATGATTGTGTACCGGAATGGAGGGAGTGATTTTGAGTGGAAGTGTGAGGGAACGCGGAAAGAGACATTTTCTAGTAAGCCAGGAGCATCGAGAGTACCATTGAGAAGAGAGGAGATAAAAATAAGATTAGCATTGATACGACGAGAGGAGATATGTAAAAGTGCTGTTTTATTTAAAGTGATAATTGGTAGAATCATCACTTCAAATAAAAATTATTATTATTTGACCATAATAATGTACGGAACTTCTGGACGCAAAACGCATAACGCGATGCGAAATAAAATATATTATTGTTCTTGTAGAATGTCAGAATAATAATAAAAAGCGAAAATAAAAAAAAAGTATGTGTGTCGTAATTGATATGATTATGTTAGTCATTATTATGAAACTCGCGTTATTATGTCGTGATGTATTTATAATAATATTATTCCCTGTACACCTATATACGCACATGCACCGGAATTATTCCGTGGTATAGGTAGGTACCTAATCGTTTTGCTGATGTTTAAATAATCGAGTAATATTATATTGTGCTTGTTTTTTAGGCTCTAAGCGAAGCGAAGAATGTATTGGTTTTACTACGATGTGTTTTTTTCCGCGTCTGTAAACGAATTATCTACCTGCAGAAATCTTGTTCCGATCAAAAACTTTATAAGAATTTTCTTGCGTAGCACTTTTCATCTAGTTTGATGCGTTGCTGGGGATAAAATTTTCGTTGTTTTGTAGCTATCATTTTCATGTAATTTTTGTTGATTTTTCGGTTGTTATAGCAGTTTAGAATTTAGATTCGGGGAGTAAATAACAAATTGATAATTGATTCAGTAATAATTTACGGAGAGGTTTTTCCAACATTTATACCGTTTTTGTATCTGGGTTTAATTTTTTTTTATTGCGATTTTTTCGTTCACTTTTCATTTTTATTAATAATAAGTAAATGTACATACTTATATTCATTAATAGGTAGGTAATATTAAATATTTGCAAAAAAAAAAAAAATGTTATTTTCGAATCCAGAAAATTGATCTGAAAATATTAAATCAATAGTAGATGGAATAGAACGTATTATTTTTAATCATTTTTTCGAGTTTTTCGGAGCAAAATGGTGCAGAAAAAACGGACAGAATATTACCCGCCTCGTTTATTTATTCGTTCCTCCGGTTATTTTTCATATTTTATTTTTAATACTATTGCTGTTGATATTAAAAAAATATATAAACGCAATATTTTAAATAATATCGAAACCAGAAAAGTCATTGAAATTTAGTATATAGATATTATAGGTGTATAATGTAGAATATTATAGAAAAACATAAAGTTTTTTTTTCGTTCTTTACGTACACACATTATAATAATGTTATAAGAAAGTGCTTTAAATAAAGTGAAAAAAAAAATTTCCGATATTATTATAATTATGTGATATTGTTATGTAGTGCGAACGAGAGAGAGTGAGAGAATAAAACACGGTAGACACGAGTTAAATAATAACGGAACGGTAATTAAATGATGGATTTTAAACACGAATACAGATTCACTAATATTTTTTTTTCGGTTTCTGACGTTTTAGGTAAAACAAAATTTTGTGTCTTACATCTCAATGCCATTTATCTTCGGTTGCTTTCATCCGATTAATTTGCGGGACTACCACTTTTACATTTCTTGTCCTCACACGTTTATTTATTTAGGGTCGTTCTCACCATCGTAAAATATGCGTTTATCTGATTCTTAAACTAAGTTTATGGCTGATAACCGATCACGATTGGTCGATTATCTTATAAACTCCGTTTAAAAATCAACGTTTACGTCGGTAAAAACGGGCCTTAGTCTTCTTCAAGAATTACCGTACGTTGTTTTTCGTATGTCATTTTTACGCCACTTACCACGTTTCGCGCTGCACCTGATGGCAAACTTCTTTTCGTGATTTTTTTCGTAGTACACGGCAGTTGGAACACATTATGGAATTTTTTTATCGCGTACTCCAGTCTGCTCCACTGAGGCTTTATGGATCTCGGCACAGGCCAAATATTCATGCTTAAGCACTTTCTTTTCGTAGATTATAAGTATTACCTAATATTATTCGAAAATCAATATGTATTAAAATAATTAGTTTAAATCTGTACTTCCTGTGTTTTTTTTTTTTTTTTTTTTTTTATAAGATTATTCGAAGGACTGTTGATTTTCAACGTTCAAAATCGTATACATTTATAGTTTACACTGTTGTATAATCGGGAAACCGATACGGTTTTGTCGACGCGAGCGGTCCGTTGTAAATAAATAAATACATTTCAAGGATTTGTATTATACGTAACATATAATGGGCTTCTAATCGTCACTCCTAGTGAGACTGTTTACTTAAAATTATTTAGAAACTCGAATATTTAAACGCCATGTATAACCGCCTATACATAGTATAGGCACTGCACGTAATTAAAATGTGTATACTCGTCGGTTCATTGGACATCGGCGACGCGACGTTCAACGACTTAAATAATATTACAGTATTATGTAAACTCGTAGTAGGTTCTATACTAGAATGGCCTTTATTCAAAAAAAAAAAAAAAAAAAACCTACGGTAGTTTCAAATTCATTAATTTATTTCCTAATATTTTTATTTTGTTTTGGTTTTACTATGATGCGTGTTTTTTTTTTTTTTTAAATTTAGATTCTGAATGTATCTTTTTTCCTGTGCATAAACTATAATTATTTCTAACTTCTAAAATATTACTTCGGCCATCAAACGCAGCATATACTATCTATATAAGAAAATGTGGTCTTTAGTCCGTGCATCGGGGAGGTCGTTCTTCGATTTTCCTTGTATTATTAATAATCGAGAAAAACGGGAAATATATTGTTTAATTTTTGTCGTTACCTTGACGAAAAGGAAAAAAAAAACACGACTATTCCGTTCGTAATTTGTTTTCGTTATACAACGATTTATCGTTGTATACACATTATATGTACAGTATTTAAACTGAAATACCCTTTATATCTTATATATTCGAAACTAAAGCAATATTGTCTTTTTTTTTTTTCATAAATAGACAAACTTCACATAAAATGTTCGTGATTCACAAAATGTTTAGTTTTTGCTCATGTGTCGATAACATTGCTACGCTTTTAATAGAGAACCGCATAGTCTGAATGTATATTTCGAACAATCGTCTTTGTCTATAAAATATAATGATAATATGATGCTATTATAATAGGATGGGCGAAATACGCATAATAAATAACCACCCGTACCTACCTACTGTAATTATTATATTTTGGTGTTTTCACTTCGATTGTGGTAAACGGGACAATAATTGGTTCCGGGCATGGTAGTTTGTATAGGTATAACTAGGGGAAATGTGACTTTCGGAAAACCCGTTCCGAAGATAATAATTACTATACTTGTCCGGACTAGCTATTATTTGCTATCCCCCCCACCCAAAAAAAAAAAAAAAATTAATTTAAACTAATCGTTGCGACGACTATACTCGACTGCATTATTTATATAAAATATAATAGCCGGAGCTACTGCAGGTATTGCAGTTTTACAGAATTATAATATCCACCAAAAACAATATTACCAATATTACCAAAAACAGGAGAAATGCATGGGCGAAAAAAACACGGGAGTAGATTGTATATATATAATAATGTTAGGTATAATAATATTATACCTAATTACAAATTAACAGATTTGATAAGAATATTGGGACCGTACAATGTAGTCTTTAAAGCAGCGATCTGAAAGGCAAATAATATGTAAAATCTGTTCAAAGCGTATAAGTAAATATAAAATATAATATTGTGGAAGAAAAAAAAGATTAATCAAAGACAATTTCAATTCGTCCAAACAGGATTTGTACTCACATATAATATTTAACACGAATTACGGAGACCGGACACGTAACCAGGAAAACATCGTAAAACGATAACGGATCTTTCGTGACCATATTTTTAAATTCGATTCGGACAGTCCGGGGGCGGGCCAATTTGTCAGCGGACACTAGCTGACGATTCCCCGAGCGAGTTTTCGACGACTAAACGTGAATATTACGGGTAATATTAATTGTTAAATTTCTAGTTCTGTTTACATGACCATGTGGCTCGGTAAAAAATTCTATTGCAGAAGACTTATATTATATGCAACAAGTATAAATACGCGTAAAGTTCCATTTTATCGATCATTCGCATCAGTTAAATATCCGCAGGTTTCGGGTCTTATATGTAGCAATTAAATTCAACAATAAAAACGCTTTGGAAACCACATTACTTACAAAGTACCTTAAACAGTTTAATAAACCTTTGAAGTGCTGAAAGAAGCATTTAAAACCCATCGAAAAAAATCACTTTCAAATTACATATTTGATTTCGTTGTGATATGCCATATAAATTCCCATAACATCTGCTAGATTTAGTGTTAAGCAGAAAAAAAAATAAAAATGTCCGAACTCTGGTTAATATGTATAAAAATAATCTTTTCGTTTTTTCGAGGAGACACACACATGTGCCCTTTAAATTTCCGCCCCGAATAGATTTTACACGCAGGGATACATCGCGCAAACGGAAAACAACAAATTAATACCGATATTATATTATACGCTTACCAACGTGAAAACAATTCGTACAAAGAAATATGTTACTACATTATGTACACCTATCTATCAGCGTTCCATTGTTCTTCGGCGTTTTAAATTGATTTTGGACAGGCGGTAATAGAGTTGATCGAACACCGAAGTGATGGTGGCTATAAATATAGTGCAGGGTTTTTTCACTCGCGAATTATGTAGTTTGTCCGGAGAAAGGCCCGTCGCCAACTCGATATAGACGTACGAAAATAAGAGAAATAGTATTAGGAAAAAAAAAAAAAACTCTTCACAGGACTGTTAGGCGTGGAAACCACGTTTAATTGGGAAATCAATAAATTTCTCTAATACATTATGTTATATTATTATTATTATTATTTTTTTTTTTTACGGTAACGACGGGGATGCTATTCTGTTGGTAGTTATTTCATATCGCGAGCGACTGAATTTGTCCGACAACGGTTTTTGATATCAATACGTCATTGTGTTACCTATTTATCTCTACAGATGAAATTACGACCACGACACGATTATGACGTCAACGGGCGTAGGTACGTCGTAATATTTCCGTGTGAACAGTGCCTGTATAATATTTTGCACATTTTTTGCAGTCGAGGAAATGATAATTAAAATAAAAATACAGTTTATAGTTTGTGTATCGAACTGTTTAGCAAAAAAAAAAGTATACTGAATTATATACAGCCTCCCAGACGAGAAATCACAAAAAAAAAAAAAAAAAAAACGACTGCAGTTACCTGGGTTAACGAGCATTTTTTCGTATGCATTTTATTATTATTTTTTGATGGTTATAATTTGATAGCGATGCTCGTTTTACGCGTTATATAATTCTGTCGTGCTCTGGCTTTGTATAATATTATAACAACCGGATGACTCATGCGGGAATCACGAATAATTATTATTATAAAATAAAGATTATTAACATTAAAATGGTCGATATAGCCTTCTGAAACCGACACTTATATAATGTTAATTTCTGGAAACGATATATTATCACATTAATCGGGGAAATCGAGTAGACCGAATAATTCGTATTAGTAGTGTCTCACCTTCGAAATGTCAAAATGGTACAATAAATTGTTGAGTATTCGAAAATGATTTTTCGGTCGTATAACAAAATATATGCGATTTACAATTATATGGCACCTAATTAGATATTTATACTGTATTACGAACCGTATATCGAGAAACACGTTTAAGTCTCACGAAAGTGGGTTAAACTAATAAGTACGCAGCATGAAGAGGAAGCGGCAAAGTCTATAAACGCTGGTAATGTATAGAAGACTGTATAATTTATAATGAATTGAACATCGATAAAACGATGTAGGTATGGCAGTTAATGGTGTTGAATGTTTTTATTGTGGCGTTTAAATGACGACAAAATAATTGTGTATACAAAACCAACAAATTATGATAATAATATGGTATCTACATATAAACGCGGTACGGACAGACGAAACTCGAAAGTTTAAAAATGCGTAGTTATAAGTCTATGTTATAATAATGGCATAGTCAGAGGTGGGGGACATTTCTTTAAATTAAATCTGGAAATTTCGATATTCATTATTTTTTCGACTCTAAATTCACTCTCGTTACAAATAATATTGATAATCCTACCCACATACATATTCATACGCCGTCCCTCCCATTGAGAAATTCAAGCTACGCCATTGTACCCACGTATACATATAGTTTTAATAACGGATAACCTAATGATGGTTTTCGAACGATTTTCGAAAAATAACGACTAATAAGTCTGTAAGTTCGTACTATAGGACTTGTTTGAACCGTACGGGTAGTACAACCGTTTACATTGGCATATTAATAAATTTGCCGCCTACAAACAGAAGGAAATATTTCGCTCCTTCAACAAATGTTTTTTTTTTCTTTTTTTTTAATAAAAATTTTAAAAAAAACCGTAGAGAAATTATATTGTTAATTAAATCATTATTTATTATTTCAAAGTATACAAAAAGTAGCTAAGAATGTCGTTCTAATATTTTTACCTAAATAATGTTAAATGTTGAAGTAGGAAACGTTTTAACGTACACGAAGTACGTTTTCAACCCTTATCATTTTGGAGCTTGATAAGATAATTCAAATTTGTAGTTTCCCTATAAATTTGATTATAATTTCATTATTATTATCTGTGTTTTCTTCGGGATTTTATATATATTTTTTTAATGCCTAATAATTAACATTAAAGACATTAAATATTTCAGTTTATAAACGTTAGCGGTACGTCGTTTATCGGAAAAATGTACAAAATTATCGGCACAAGAGATACCGAAAAAAAATTCTTAGAGAGCATTGATTGTTGTATCAATAAAAAGTTATATATTTTTATACGACGCTCTTACAATTAATGTAAGGCCGCTCCAATCACCTGCTTGTCGGGTTATAAACACGTTTATAACACGTATAGATGATTGATTATGAAATGAAATCGATATCTCTAGCACCCCGTTAAAATACGCCTTCAAATATCGTATAGAGAATATGTTATACAACGGACACGAACTCAACATTATAAGTGCGTGAACCGCATGGTATAATCCATACATCAATATTATATAGACCCATATTATTATGTTACTGTTTCGTTATTACAATATTGTGTTTAATTCGCACAAACTCGCGACCGAATCAAACAACAATTATTATCGTATTGTTATTCGCCTCCGCGAGTGACGTCGAAATAATTTTTCGAACGTTTTCCTCGTTATAGCCCTCGTCTAGCCGCAATAGCTGTTATCTAACGGATCTTTCGTGCACCGCTGACTGCTCCGTGTACACTCGTAGTATTATTTTTCATACGCCATAAATTTCCTTATTCGCCCGGGCGAAAGTGCCTGTGTGTACAACGTCTCTAAAACAGTCTCCACTAGCAGATTCATCATCTCCGTCGCGCGTTTTAGACCACATAATTATTATATTATTATCACGATGATGTAACGACATCGCTACCGTGACTCGTGCGACGCATATTATTTTTACGATACAACGATAAGAAGAATGGGGGAAGAATTCAAAAAGGCTGATACTGCTATGGGTGTACTACACTGTTTCAGGTGGAAGGGAAAATGCATATTTATACATAGAGTAATTTAGTTTAAATCCGTATGGAAGGATATAAACCATTGCTAACGTAAACCGATTCTTAGCAGAATATATTATTAGTCGTATTTTTCACTTTGTTGTCAATATTACCTGGAAATCGATTCAAATTTTATGAACGATTGTTAGTTTTTCACATTTATTACGAAACTATTAGGAAAATTAAAAAATAATATCTACAAATCTACAATGCATCAACTAGATTAAACATGCTACAAGACAATTCCTTTAAAGTTTAGATTGGAGTCAGATTTCTGATAGAAAAATTGTTTACAGACGCATACAAAAAAAAAAAAAAAACATCATATACAATCGAATAGGATGTAACGATATTTATTTAAAGACGAGATTTTATTTTTAACGCTAAGGAAATATTCACGGAACACAGCCGCGTTAACTTTCTATATAATATAATCATAATATATTGATGAATTGTATTCAGACTATTCAGAAAAAAGATCCCTAAAGACATTTGAGATGTAGTGCCTGTGACGCACGATGATGGAGAGAATCAGGCGGATATATATATAAAAAAACGAATGTAGATAGGTGCTCAACGCACGTTGGGGAAGTACAAATTATAACGACTATAGTACGTGAAAGGATGGGGTATAGGAAATGATTGGCCTTAATAGCTGAAGCCATAACAGAAGGACGGAAAACTGTCAGAAGACCAAGAAATTCATATATTATCGCACGATTAAAAAATGACGCAGTAAAGATTAATATATACACTAACGTTGAGCTAAAACGACTAGCAGGAGAAGATCTATAGATTTATGTTGTGAACCAATAAAGCGATTGAACCCTAAAAAAAAAAAAAAAGAAGAGTTTTAAAATAATTCGTAGGTATCAACCGCATATATATTTATTTATTTTAGGGAAAAAAAATCCCGAAACCGTATTAAAAGGAATCGAAAATTATAGTTTTAATTTTTGTTATTAGGTTTATGCTATAGCTACTTTCTCTTCGTTCTGTCAACCCTATTTATAATAAATTTAATTTTACCATATACGTTTTGCCGTCGTCGTCATCGTATTTATTGTTAATAAAGTCATATTTTATTTAATGTATAGGCGATATTTTCATACAGTTCAATCTAATAATAAAGAAAGAGGCGCTTCGCGTTATACATTATGGCCCTGAAGTTTGATCCAAATGCGCCGCCGAGGGCTTGATCTTGAAGTGTTTATTATCATAGTTAGGTATACCTATACCGATAAATTATAAATTAAAGTAATAAACTAACGATTTCGAGGTCGTCGAATGGATAATGTTAATATTATATATGCCTACCTAACTAGAACAAAGCAATGTTATATTATATTATATATATTTCCCAAACGAGATTTTTTTTCCTCCCGACGACTTATTTTTTTTTTTTTTTTGACTGTCTAACGTTTTTTTCGGCTTTTGTCCTATGCATGTTATTGTAGAGAAAACGACGAAAATGAAAAATGATTCATCCGCAGAGAAATAATCATAACTTGGTCCTAGGTGCCTATACATAAACATAATCATGTAGTGTCGATCCTTATTTTCTTTGTGGACTTTGATTGATCACGGCATAAGCTAATAAACTAAAACCAAAACGTGACTGCGTATATAATAATTAAATCATCACAGTATTGTGGTATTCTGTCGAACTTTCCTCGAAAATCATGATAATCGCACTTTATTTTGTCTGGTATATGTATGTACATATCATTTTCCCGCTAATTATGGAATTTTTTTAGCGGATCGCGGCTCTGGATCAAATGAACACAAACTCGGGAATTAGAATTGTTTTATAAGCGGATTGAAGTGACACAATTTTGGTTGAATTTCAAAACGAATTTCATCGTGTTGTTGAGGGAAACTGGTGCTTTTGTAAAGCTTAACATCCTTACACACCTCCAAATAAAGTCGGGGTTGACGAAATTTGTATAAGCATATTGTTAGTACCAAATACTTAAGGTGTGTTTTTTGGAGGTTTCAAATCCATAACTATTTCAGATCAATTGGAAAAAAAAAAAATTAAACATTATATAACTGCAGCGACAAGTCGGCTGGAGAAAAATTCGAGTTTAGTGACGGATATCTGATGCTCGTGGGTGTTTTTTTCACCGCGTTGAAAAAAAAAAACTCCTACCTTTGAGGCTTTAACTGTAATTAATAATTACGATTCGTCGACATCGTCTCACAACAATATCATTGTTTAAAGTATATTAAATCGAAATTTTAGTATTGTCGCAGCGTTTCAGCTCATTATCAATTATCATATAATGCTACAAGTTTGGACTTTTACAAAAACGCATTGGCAACGCAGGGCACGGACTCGCAGTGACAATACGCACCGCCGCCGTCTCGTTCTTCTCAATATTATGATATCGTAAAATTGTGTCACACGCGCACGTTGTATTTTCCAACCGAAAGATCAATCTTACGTTTTGTTCATAGTAATATTTATTATTGCGCCGATGGTTTGTGATTCGAGCGAAGGGCACACACCGCAATAGGTACCTATTATTATTATTGTATTACAGCTGGGCACCTACAGTTATTGTTCTTTAGGCATTTCCTTTAGACGTGATTGGAATAATTTTTAACGCTGCAGTACGTAATATGTATGTACCGCAGCTCATACTACTCAGCTCAGGATCGTTTTTCATTTACAACGGTTTGCTGCTGCGTTATACGGTGTATAAATTAAATAACACGAATAATACACGATATTATCCTTTAAATTCCACACTGTCCACCCGTAACAGCCATTATATATTATAATGGCCTGTCCGCCGTACGAATTACGCGCGGCTTTTACTTTTGTGTTTACACAAATCAGAATATAGTTGAACATTGTATATTTATACAGGTACAAATAATTGTACGGGTACCGCTAAGGAACACGAGTATATGCGTATTGCAATGACGATCAACAATTTTCCCAACGTATTTTACGTCGAATTACCCGCGACGCTTTCGGACGAGGGCAATTCGAAATCCTACACTGCATACGCATTAGAACGCCTGTCCGTTTGGGGCCGTACTGCCGCCGTAGCATGTTATAAGAAGCCCGGGCACTAGCGGCCGCCAATGGTGACTAATCATAAAAGCCTCATAATCGTTTGCAAATATTTAAACTCCCGAATAATGATAACGCGCCGTGTGGCGTTTGACGTGTGTTACGCTTCGCCCGATTAAAGTGTCGCGGCGAACAAGCGCGTAATACGGACGACTTAAACATGATATAGCAGTAAATACGAGTGTAGGCACCTACCTACCTATCTGTCTAATATATTATTATAGGGACACGAACCGGCTAGATTTCGCGTTTTTACGGCAAATTCGCCCGGAGAAAAATGTAATATTTTTACAGCGACGACACGTCGATATTATTATTTTTCGGATATTTATCGCGCGTTAATATTATACAGTATACACACCTGTGTGTAGTGTATATTTTATATACCGAAGGCAAATTGGGTGATCCAGTGATCTGATTTCTCGCCGACTTGATTGATGACACTATAATATTATAACTGTTGCGGTGGGTTTAATCCTATTCACAATGCGATTGCGGCTCCGGAGCAGCATGAAAAATGAAACAAAACGATTGTGGTCACAGCGGTATAACGAACGGTTTTAACCGCAATGTTATATAGACAATAATTGCAATCTCGTTATAACCTATGTGGTCCGGGCGGGATATTTCCTTCTAGTTTTCTATATAAAAAAAAAAATAATAATAATAATAATAATAATAATCGATTATTATTACAGCGTCGTGTTTGAAAAATTTGCGAATACTTAATACGAACGCCCGCCGGACTGTTTTCTTGTATAAAATCTATACAATTATTAGTTCGAGGTTCGAGTTTTGCACAAAGAAATTATTAGTAATACATTTGCAATGTGCAATGTGTATAGAACTAAACCGCTAGAATTCAAAGTTTCGTCACGTCATTTTTTTTTTTTTTTTTTTTTAAAGAATATACAAGAAAAATCGTATATTTATGTTTATAAATATATACTGCGGCGATGACAGGAATACAAAGACCATCATCCAAAGATCGTTGCCAATCTATTTAACTCGTTTAGCCCCTCTAAATAATATTCATGGTTGTCATTTTTCTTTCGTATTTTTTTGACGTTCTAAAGACGAACTACTTTGTATTAATAATAAAAGGGTGGATTTCGTACTTCGATATAATATTTTGAAACGGCGTGATTTTTGGCGGTTAAAAAAAAAAAATACTTGGCACATTAGAAAAAAAAAAAGCAAGTTAAAAACTCGTCGACGGCGAGTATCTCCATAGCTATCTATTATTATCTATAGACTTAAACATCAAATGTATGTATCAGCCTCATAAAACCAAATACTACTAAAAAAAAAAACCTAGTTAATTTAAACTGGCGAAAATTTCGCTTTCTGAAAAGATGCTGTTCACTAAATGATCGGAGCAAGATTTCCTGGCATCGTAATAAAACCAAAAAGGATCGGTACTTTATCGTTTTATGTATGCCATTCAGTTATTTTTTTTTATTATTTTTTTTATTTTATCATTCTGTTTAATTTGTTCAGTAACGTAGAAAAAATTCCACAACGTATTTCGAATTTATTTCATTTACATATGCATATAGGTAATATATGTAAAAAATCCTATCTTTCCCTTGAACACGTTTGACGACTGTTTCGACTCGTTTTGACCCCAACCGACGATGATGACGTCGACGGTACCTATTTATTATTCTGGGTATTGGGTACCCAGTTTCCAAAATGTGTAATATACGTTTGTATAACTGATTTTATTAATTTAATATTTTTAGTTTCTCGCGATTAAAGTATTATAATTTAATAAGATCATGAACTCCGTCGACGGAATGCTTAATGCGTTTTGTAATAATTTATTTTAAAACTTGTTTATATTTACAGGTAGCGGTAATCGATGTTGCTGACGACGAGTTTACTATAATATAAAATAAATATGTATACGTTATTTAAACAAAGCTCGAGTGGATTATTATAATAATTCATGATATCAAATAAGTTCAGATTTTCGTTTTGTAGACAATAATATGTAAATCGTAAAATATCGAATAACTCGCACGACGCGCATCTGCATCAGTGATCGAACATTTTTTTACAATTTCATCCCGAAAAACGAATACTCACCTTACAATAACCATTATAGACGATACATTTATCAGCAAGTATATGTATTTGTATTTGTATCTTTTCAAAGGCTGATACTGTTGACGGGTGTCCCGTTGTTTTAGGGGGAAACGGGAAGGGAGGAATATACCGTTATTCAATACACAATATATGTACATATATAATGAAGTCGGACTTTTTCCCATTTTGCCAAGGTAACTCGGAAATGAACGTTTCGCCCAGAGTCTAAAAAAAAAAAAATAATAATATAGTTACTCGATGATTATTATTATTTTCATCGGTTCATAACGTAAACCGTTTCAAATTTCTAAAAAAAAAAAAAAAAAATCCCAATACAATACGTATAATTAATATAGTGCATACCTGTATGGATATGATAACTATATATGAGATATCTGCAATTATTATTATTATTTGAATTGTCATATTATATTTGCCGGTAACTATTTGATTTCACGCCGTCGTTAACACGATTTTCGGTCGTTTGATTTTAGAAATATTGTATCACATCGGAATCCTCTTCGCGGTTCTCGCGGCAGCATCACGTTCGGTTTGACCTTTCGAAAACCGTCTGCGAGTCCGCGACATAATATTCTATTGATGAGCGGCCGGCAGCAGAATTGATAACCACAATAACAGAGATCAGCGGATCAGTCTGGGTCTGCGAGACGGGCAATTCTACTCGCGTTTGCTGGAGGCAAATAGGAGTTCTCGGGGATGACGGACCTGCAGCTGTAGCAGCAGCAGCAGCAGCAACGGCAGACGACAGAAAATCGCCGCGTACGTGACCGTATCCGATGGTACCACGACGACGGCGGACAATAATCGTGTTCACCGCCGTGGCCGACTTTTCGGCTGTCACTTGTACGACCGAAAACTATAAATTATTATTTAATGCACCGGTACGTATTATTACTATTATCATTGTGTCGGGTGATCGCTTTTTGCGCGCGGTATTGCGTCAGAATAATTATTTAATTATGTACCGGACGCAATACTCGTGTAATAAAATTAGTGATTTTCAGATACACACATTATAGATACTTATTTGATCGGTCGTTTACTGAAAATGAATGTCGTACGATTGTTGTCCTCTCCAACCAACTCCTCCCCTCCCAACACTTCGATCCAATGTCGCCGCCGTGTACGCTATTACCCGGCCGGCGAGTCGGACGATTTTACGGTTTGTTATCGGAACCCGTTACCTACACGCCGCTCGTATAAAATATTATCATTTCAATATCATCGCTACTACTGCACCTATATTATACTCTCAATCTACCGACGAACGGTCGTGATGTTTTGTAACGATTATTTTCGATGTGCACGTTTTGCGAGTCGGTCGCCCAGAAAAATCTCGTGGGTCGAAATTTAGGCTTTTTTTTTTTTTAATTTGATAATTTTTTAAGTCTGTCGCAGTTTTTCGCTTCTCCTGTAAAACGTGTTAAATAATCGTTACTAATTGTTGACTGAGACGAAACCATTTGGGTTATTAAACGGTTATTTTGTCTATACTTGCATATTTTATGATGCCATCATGCTGGTAGTTGCAGGTTATGAGTTATTATTGCTTTTTTTTTTTTTTTCACTGACTCGATCAATTCTAGTTTGCCTACATTATGTATCTCAGATTTTCTAAATTTTATCCCTTTGGTTTCAATGTTCTTTGATTAAACACGAAAAAGCGATAGGATAATAGAATTAATTGTGCAAGTAATTTTTTGTCGACAGAGCATCACTTTTTATATTATTTAGCAACTTATTACAACTGCAGCGCATTTAAACATTTGATAGTGCTTAACTGTATATTTGTTTTTGATGCGCATAAATTCCCAAACCCCGATTACAATATAATATGCAGTTAATTCGTTTAGTTTTGATCTGCATAACATATATGGGTAAATAAAGGTAATGTATAATTGACTATATTCAATTTATATATATTACACAACAATATATTTGAATTGGACATTGTTGTGTGCATTGTACTTGCCTACTGTTTTTTTTTTCCTTTCGTACTTCGTTGTATTTAAACTGCAGTCTGTGATGTTAAAATCAAATATTACTTATGCACCGACGTTCGGCGGGCAATCACCGTGACATTATTACAGTATTATGCAATTTGTGCAACGCGTGTTAATATAATAATTTACTTCTATCGAATTCGTTAATCAATAACACACGACGGTGTATATTATAAACGTATGCTTATTTTTATTTCGTCATTTCTCGTCCGTCACCATCACTAACGTGAAATAATAATAATATTAAGTATAATTACGATTTACATCATTATTTTTGTTTGATTGTTGCAAGTAGTATCATTGAGTAGACTAGAACTTAATGTTCTAATAATCGCATTTTCCGAAATACTATAAAACTGGGAAAGAAATTTTACTGTGCAAGAAAGAAATCCAAAACGCATTTTTCCAATGTAGTTTAGAAATTCTTTGAAATTAAAAAGTGCCAACAAAAGTTATGATTTAGGTCGTTATCCATCATATTATTTTGTTCGAGGTTTGAAACATGTTTTTTGATACGAGTTAAATAAGGTCCAGTATATCAAAACTCACAGGGCCCAATGGAATTTGTTAGTTTTGACACAAACCGCTACTTTCCGATTAAATTTAAACCTGCTATTGAAACAAACTGATCACAGAATCACACTCACCACCAATAAAACACAGTCACTAACTAGTTTTCTAATTTTTTTTTTTTTTTTTTGGAACATGTGCATTTTGAGTATTGGCTACTCAATTGCATTGTGTTATTTACAGTATTCGGTTGTTTATTGTTTTACAAATAATAGTTCAACAATATAAACGAGAGAAAATCGTACTGTATAGTGATGACGGAGCTATGCTGCTATCGCGGGTGTTTAAAAATAATAATATATGTACTCAATTATTTACAAAATACTATTTTAATCGCGACGAAAATGATATTATGATAAAATATATAACAAAAAAAAACCGTTTTACAATGACGACGATGCGCTCATGTAATATCATTGCCGCAAAAATCGTTAACAGCGCAGTTATTATCCCCCCTCCCCCGACGCTTTGACGTATATATTATTATAATAATCATCACTTTTTTCTTATTTTTTTTTTTTTACTCATTTCGTCGTTTTTATTATTCAATTTCGGACGATGTTTTTTTTTTTTTTCATAATAACATAATATTATTACCAAACGAAAAAATATTGTTTTCAACACATTCGCGCGGTTTTTAGAACGTTAAAATCTCCGCGATGGCCGGTACGCACTATAATAATATTGTTATCATATTATTGTATTCGTATGCTGCGGCACAACGACAACGAGCGCGATGATGCAAACACGATGAAATTGCGAAAAAAAAAAAACACGGTATATAATAGGTACAATATGGTTTATACCTGCGTGTCCGTTCGTTAATACGTCGCGGTCGTGTACCGCGAAGATCGGAAGGTAAAAACGATAATAATAAAATAGACGAATAAAAATATATACAGGGCGATTTTTTTTTTTTTTCGTGAACTAGCAATGATCGTCTGCGAAAATGTCGAGTGAATTAGATTTTTGGGTTTATTTTTCTTCTTTTTTTTTGTATGAAATTTCTTTACAGCACTGCAGGGTGATTAATTTAACGGAAAGCAGCATGCATAATGCACAATAAAGTGGAACTAAAAAGCATAATATTATTAATCATTACAAACTGCAACGAGTATCGAATATTAATTCACATTTCGAATTTTCAGAGATAAACAAAACCAATCGTAATATTTTTATTACTGCACTCGGTAGATCGCACGGCATACCGCTCAATGTGTACGAGTACAGCTGATATTTAAACGAATTTACCTATATAAATTAAAATGTAAAATCCCCGCGACGTTCGTCGTAAAACAGAATCACCCTGTACAATTCGATATACGACAAAGCGATCCGCCGTATAGGTATACATCTGCGCGTGTTTACAGTCACACCGGAGTAAACACGACAGAATCTACGGAGTCTTCGGTTTTGTAAACGCGAAATTAAGTAACCACGGCGTGGCGGAATACGAGGATATTTAGAAAAAAATATATTATATTAGAAAAAAAGAAAAAACCGAATAATAGCGGATATCTATCGACTCGACGCTGTACGGGAGTTCACGGGTCCGTGAAGTGCGTTGCGCGTTTTCCCCTGCCCGAATTTTATTATTTTTTTTCCCGCCGTCCTATCCGCGCAGTTTTGCATCGCGTTTCTCGTATATCTATATATACGGCGTGTACTATTATATAAAACGACCGAATAATAATATAGAAAAAAAAAAAAATAGTAACAAAACGAACTCACAATATTACGTACATAATTTTCGTGTTATTGTATACTGATTGTACATATATGTATTGGGTATTATAATACATATACGTTATAATAATATACGAGTATACCCAATACAATTATCTATGAGAGCGACATCCGGGCGACAACGGTCGGAATCATCGGCGGAAAAAAGCAAGTGAGATGTTACCAAAAAGCAGGCACGTAGACAGGGGGTCATGGGGGTCTTTGGGATCTGCAACCCCCTCACCCTTCGAATTCAAGCTTCTCGCCAGAAAAATTCGATTATTGGTACAACCGTTGGTATGGTTGGTAATAAATTGTAAATTGTACGTTCGGACCTCCCGTCTCCGAAAAAAAAATCCTGGCTACGTCGTGCCCGCCAAGAAGCAAAATGGAAAAAAAGCGAATGCGATAAAATGAAAAATTACGGACTAAAAAAAAAAAAAAAAAATAAGCCGTGGACATACTTCGTATCGTGATTGGGCCGTACTGTTATAGGCGGGAATAATTCGGGAACGTAGAATATAACGTTATAATATATATATGTATATATATGTATCTGAATAATACCCGACACATAAAAAAACGGTCGGTTCGACGCGTTTCGACAATATTCAGAATTGAAAACAAACGGGCACACTTTTTAATCGCCTTTTAACCGATTTAAATAACAGAAATTCCGCCGGAGACGACGCGAAACGTTTTCGACCACACGAATATTGTTATTATTTCACGCGTCAATATTTTACACTGTCGGCCGGCCGTAGTCGTTTGACGCTCTCCTCTACATGCGTTGCTCGGGTGTTGTGTTGTTATTATTATAATAATATCATTTCGCGTTCACAACGCAGCAGTACAATTGGACGGTGAACACCACACAGACGACGCGTTTTGAACGTGTATGTGTAAAATAACATAATGTATATTATAATTGTATAACGCACCGTAGTACGGTCCGGTTGCCGGACAATTAAACGTATACATTATACGCGTCTATATGTACTGTGACGGATAAACGTGTACGATTATTTTTTTTTTCATACGTCGACTTAAAAAAAAAAACAAACCAATATGCTATTGAGTACTCATAATATTACAATCGCGGTTTTTTTTTTTTAAATAATATTATCTTCTGTTCGATATTTGGACCCGCGGCCTAAAACGATAAAAAGAAGAAGAAAAACGGACATAGTTCGCACGTGGGTGCGGCCACTGTTGCAGGTGAAAATTTGGCGAGGTTTAATGTACACCTGTAAGCAACAATAAACCCTTGCTAATGAGAAAACGATTTTGAGCGGAGTTTAGTTGATAGTATTGCTAAAATAAACATCTTTGTTAAAACCATAACTTTCTTCACTCCAAAGTCCATTCAGAATCTAAAACTACCTATACCTATAATACCCTCGAGAGAAATTTCCCGCGGTAAGGGCTGGATTTTCATTTTAAAAATATATTTTACTCAGAGGACGCCACACTCTCGCCCCACATCTATACTGACTTAGCCCAATCAACGGCAGCACAGCGCAGTTACGTTATCTTATAGAACATAAGTGTGGTATTATGGTTGAAATTAGAATTTGAACACAAATATCCGAAATTTAAAGAGAACAATATTTCCGATGCTCATACATATCTGTAGGCTTTCTAAAAGATCGCTATACAAAAAAAGTTACAGCTATTGAAGAACAAAAACTTAACATGGTTAGTGGCTATAACTCTTTTGTGTGACATTTTCTTAGAAAACAAATGTTTACTATGTTGCCCGTTAGTAAAACCGAGATGGTAGATGCGCGTATGGCGTTCTCTTAGTTCAAATTAAATATATTCAAACAGATAGTTCGGAAAGTGAAGTTACAACGTACCTGTAGCTCCGAGGAAATTTATAATTTGTGTTCAAATTTAGCACTTCTGCGAATAGAGAAGGAGATTCTAATGAAGAGACTGAGTGGCTGTTGGAATGCAGTAGCCTGCTGATGGATAGTTTAGTCAGAATCTTTTTCCCGATCCCCAAATTAAAAACCGCGATAGTGTCGGTTTTTCGGGATTGAAAACGGATACTCATCTTTGACTTTTTATCAGTAGAATGACTTTTTCCTGTTCGTATTTTCTTTCAATAGAGCAAAACGAAAAAATACATCCGGCGTTAAGTGTTTGGACTACGAGGAGGGTGGTTTAAAGCATTTTAACTAACGGGCATTATTCATTAACTGCAGGAAAATTGTCCCTGTTGTCAGGCTTCTGCCTTTGTTCTGAATGGTTAATACCTACTATACAATCATTTGCGTCGTAATTTTATCGAAATTTGCTATTATTATTATTATGTTCAATGTACGAGTACACTTGTAAAATCGCTGAAATTTCATTATAATTAGAATATTATATTGTTGGTACTATGACAACTCTAATATACGTACGCACTACACGTGTTATTTATAATAATAATAATAATAATAATGATAATTCGTTAAAAAATGTCAGCTTTATATAATTATTATTTGACACGAATAATCTTTATATCTATATAAAATACGAAAATTCAAAATTGAAACTCGTTAATATTATATTATTCATACCATGTAATCCGTATTGATGCATAGAGATTCCATAACACAATAATAATAATAATGGTCGTCGTAGGATTATTTATAAGAAATTATTACGGAATAATTGAGCTCTGAATACGCACTTAAGACGTATTAATCTCTCGAGTCAAGCGATCAGAATGAAACGAAAACTCATCTTCTGTAGCAGGTACTCGAGAATAATTTTACGTTGAAAGCCGGTTGATTTTATTTTATTTATAAATGTGATGAAAAAAATAATCTATCTAATAATTTTGTAGTATTTTTTTTTTTTTAGATTCTAATCGCTGGTGTTACCGTCATATTATAATGGGTGTGCCTTTTTTCTATCCGTAAACAACTTTTCTATTAGAAGTCTTCCTCCGATCTTCAAATTCGACAGTGATTTCTATAGTATACAATTTCGTCTAGTAAGCCCGGGGTATTAAAGAGGTGAATTTTTTTCTATTATTTTTTTAAAACCGGGAATAGAACTTCGGAAAAACGATAATAGGTACTTTATAACGTTATAACGTTTCTCCGTTTTATTTTTGATTTGGTTTTTTTCGTTGTTAATAATTTAATACAAAAACTCATAATTAGTTATTTTTACGGAACTATACAAATATCGTAACGATTTATTTTTTATTATCAGTGTAATAAATTTCAAATTTTGATGAAAGTGGCAGTTATGTTTGTCTACATTTGGTCTATGGCGCGTTTATACGAGGAAAACTATCGATACGAGTGATGTTTGGTGATGAAAAATAAGTAACCTACATATACATAATATACACGGTATCGAAATACGTCGAAACCAAAAGTAGGCGAATATATGAAAAACGAATTTTATTCTCACGCGCGGACTATATTGTATCGACAAGGTGCGGGCATAATCAATAAACGTACATAATATATATATATATATATTATATAGATATAGTGCGCGCGCGCGTGTGTGTGTGTGTGTGTGTGTGTGTGTGTGTGTGTGTACACTGTACATATAGCGCAGTATAGGTACTGCACAAGACCTAGATATTCCACGGACCGAGGCCGAAAAATCACATATTATTTCGTTATTTATATACGACGTTTTGTGCACCATAAATAATATACGATATTATAGTGTATTTTTTTACAAAGAGGGGAAGAGGGGGAGGAAAGAAATCAAAAAAAGACTACTATAATATAGTATACCGGCAGCTATCCAAGTACAATAATTACTTATCACCCGCAACAGGTAGCAATAATTGTATATATACCTATGTATCGTAACAATCGCGTCAACTAACCAGAACGGTTACCATTATAATGGGAGGTAAGCACGCGGCGAGTACGTACCAATATATATATTTTTTATATAATATTATTGTGCATTACATACGCATAGACCACGGACACGCGTTTAAAATTAGTCTACTTTTGCGACGTTTGTGTGTGTGTGTGTGTGTGTGTGTAAAAAAAAACCAGTGTTGCAACGTACAATGACGAAAGTTCGTCTTCGAGTAGGACGATTTTTTTTTTTTTTTTTAATTGTGACGATTCATTTCCGAAAGCGTATAGATAGATATAGTGATGGTTTATAATGTATTTTGGAGTATTTTATAAGGAGTATACCTTAGGCCGTTTCTTATACGAAAGTACTTCGTTCTTTTTCAACGCACATAATTGCATGTACCTATTGTAGAGCATTTATTAATGGTGTGTATTTAGTCGGGGTGGTTTTTTTCCAAGAAAAAACGTCGGTCAAGAACTGAGATAGGGAGACATAAGGGGGACACCGCGGTGTGATACCAAACCAATGGAGAGCTTGAACCAGGGCTTGGAACCGAAATTAAAAATATCGGTATTTGAACGGAGACCTTTTGAAAATATCAGAACACTTTTTAATTTATTTTTTTTTTAGGAACCGGGAACCGATATTTGTTGGAAGTTAATCGGTTCTGTATATTAATAATTGATATACTCGTATACACCTATTTGTTTATAATATATACATATACATATTAAATATAAAATAATATAATATGCTTAATAATTTCTTATAAAAATAGCGACAACGATTCATTTAGAATTTTATCTATCGAATAAAGAATTGCACGATTTAATAATGTTATTTTTATTGGTATTCGAATAATCATTAATAACATTCAAATATCACCACTACCGTTGGCTTTCGAACTTCACAACACGAATCAAACCTATTTTTAAAAAAATTGTTTTGGGCGTTTTCAAAACAAAACAGTAAACTTACTTAAGTCCTTTTGCTCATTAACAAAGTTATAATTTGATTTTATTATTTGAGATAATAGTATGTGCGCGATTTTTTTTTTTTTTTTTTGAAAACCCGAATTTGAACCAAACCGAAAATATAAAGGTGTCAAGCCCCGATTTAAACGCGATTCAAAATCGTTATCACTAGCCACTACGTTAATACGAGTGAACACCTCCTCCCCCTTCCTTAATATAATAACCCAGATATCCGCCTGGTTGGCTGGCCCAGCCACGCTCTATAGCCATACGGCTACTACATACTACGGCACCCTAAGCTACGCTATTATACACGCACCGAATTTGATATTATTAATTCGATTACTGCACTGCGCGTTTCGGTCTCCGCGATTAATCGAAATTTGAAAGTTTACAAAGTCATAATATAATAATACGATTATTGATATATACCGACGACTCGCAGCGACGACGACGGAACACAATTCGATGGGAAATGTATCGACACATTATTATTCACGTTATTGTACTCGGCAATTGTCTTTGTCCGGTCAACCGAGTCCGGCGGCATCGGAAACGACACTTATTATATATTATATTTTTGTTTATGTATGTAACGAAACGCTATAACTCATGGGACGATAAACGCGCGGTGTACCGACATGTTTTGTTCGGTGATTTTTTTTTTTTTGGAGTGACCAATACTGATGACCACACCCCGTCTCGCGTTTTGTGTACGTCTTGGGCATATGGACCGCATGTGTACAGAAAGAAAACGAAATCGATATTGAGCGAAACAGATAGAACTAGTGGATGAACTTACTAATCGTGGAAAATATTTTTATTTTTTTTATTCTACAACTTGTACTATACTGTTATCACGAGTTATCTATAAATTATGTCTACAGTATTTGATCGCATGTAGTTATATCTATGGAATAAAGAAATAATAATACATATTCTCTTTCATGATAGATCCGATATTCTATCTCTCCTACTAAATATCTTGTCAAGTTGTCGTACAATAGATAAAGGTGGTTGAATGCATGGTGCATAGTCTATGGTCTTAAGCGACTCGAAAATCAGACTGAACCTGATAGTAAAAAAGGAGTATCCGGGAAGAAAAAAGACAATTTAAAAAAAAAATATTTCTTTCTCCGGATATCATACTTGACTTATCAGGTCCACTAGTTGATAAGTCCATGACGTATACGGTTCAATTCTATATCAGACATTGTGCACGATCGTGTTGTACAAATCTAATATGCAGGATGATTGGTTTTTTTTTCACTCAGATCACCCAGTTTTAGGCTTAAATATTAAAGGTAGATTTGTTCGAACTTTGATTGATTTTATTTCCATACGATTTTTTCAAAAATACTTGCAGTTTTGTAACAATATTGCATAAACTTTTGATTTTCAAACAAGAGTACGCAAATATAAAAATTATATAATTCTTCGCTATTAATGTTTCTTTGTGTATATCAAAGGCGAAATTCGAATTTAGGAGTTTATATCTCAACAGCCTTTTCAATAATTCAAGCACACACAGATTATGTGATTGCGTTTGCGCTTTAAAATGATATCATATAAAAACAATCAACGCGATTTGTCTTGTCAAGTCTACTCCATGTCCCTTTCAATAACCTCTTGTTGTTGCAACCAAAAAGTTTAAATTCTCAAATACGTTTTTTTTTTTTCTTTAATATAACCAATAATACGATAATTTTCGTCGTTTCGTCATAGTCTATTTTAATTTTTTTTATTTAGCAGTTTGTAATGATATAATAATAGTATTGACTTCAACTGTACACGAGAAAGGAGTATATAGTTATTATTACCTACTATTATTGTTATTTTTTTATATTTTATTAAAGGAATACTTGTATTCATTTTTTTTAAAATTATAAGTATATATCTATATGGAAATAATATGCGTCTCGCACAAATGCTTTAAAATATTATATGTTATTACCACGCCACATTTAAAATCATACCAAAACGGCTAGAACAACACAAATTTCCTTTCATAAAATAAGTTACACTTGATACATCGGAGCAAAATTTCTGGTAGAAAATTTTGCACAACAAATCGAGGGGTATTTTGCGATTAAAATAGTCCGAAGGAGCGATGACTTGAGTCTCTAGGTACATCCAAAACGCATTTGTTTTTTCCTTATTTTGGTAAAAGGTGTTTAGTGTGTTGCAGTTTCTTTTCGGTTTCTGCAGTCGAATGCTGGTGAAAATATCAATACCCATTTTCCCCTAATTTTATTGTAATATAATTGCCACGCATTGAAATTTATTACTGTCATCAAAGGACAAAAGAATGGCTAAAAAACGTACCTAGTGGGTAAATTATTGGTGTTTAGAGAGAGCAAATTACTCACACTCCTCCGACGATTTTCGCTAACGCCGGTTTTGTGTTAATTTATGAAAAATAAGACGGAGTGCGTTTAAATGTTTTTTTAGAAAAGATGAGGTACTTTGGCCGTTAATTCAAGCGATGGTTATTATATTTATAATATATTCATTCGTTAAACCATGTTTCGGCGATACGCTTTTCGTTAAACAATTTGCGGCGTTGTTTACGGTCGTTTGTTACTCGGTTGCGATTTAGCGAAAACGTTTTGTTTGTCGTCCACTATTTTGTACCAATAGATAGCCAGTAACCGAAGAAAGTAAAGTCAGTTTTTAATTGTCTGCTGATTCTCCGGAAACGCGGCCGTCGACAAGTGCATTGAGTTATCAAACAATTGCGGTAAACAATATCATCGAAACTGCAATTTGTTCGCCATAAACTAGTAACAACCACCTAACCAAACCGCGTCGCCGAAACATGCGACAAACGTAATATTACGCGTGTGCTTATGCGCGCAAAAGTCGATAATACGTAATACTGGCAATTTTATTCGCAGTTATGGATTTTTTTTACATACACATACCTACAGGCGAGATGCGTTGCGCATTTATTTTAAAATGTCTATTGTTTTTTTTTTTTTTTATTATTATTATTGTTATTTGTCTATTATAAACGTCGGTTGACTTTGCAATAATGTTGTTATTAAAAATAATGTGATTATATCATATGCACATATACACGATAATAAATAATTCCAATTGCATATAATATTATATTATACACCACGGTCAGTCGCGGGATGCATACCATCACACCTCGGGGCATGGAGAAGAATGAGAGAAAAAAACAACACGTTATTAACATTATTATTGTAGGCTGCGCACATACGTAGGCAGTTGTGTCCTACCATATACTAATATAGGTATACGTAGAAAAATATTCTAAATTTTCCGATTTTGTAATACTGCGGCAACAACCGGCTTATCCACAATCACGCAACGTCTTTAACACACTCGTCGTGATAATGATTAATGAATCGTGTGGCCTTATCTTTATTGTTTTATTTTTCGTTGTCGCCGCCGTCGTAAATGAACTAAACGTGTAAACGACACGTTTGATGATGTTTTGAAATTACACAGGTATTTATTATTATTATTGTTATTAATAACGGTCACAAAGGAACGCGTACGAAACGATCGTAAAAATTAAAAAAAAACGTTTTATTACAAAAAAAAAAAAAAGCCCTAATGGGTGTGCTACTGTTTTAGGAGGATTTGTTTTCGAGTGGTGGCGTATTATAGGTGTGTATACCTATAGTACCTATAGTCGAGTACTTATTAACTACGCGTATTCAATTCCATTCATGAATAAAATTTGTTTCATAAGGCTGATAAAAAAAACCTAATGTAGCAGTGGCGTAATAACGGGGAGAAGGAGTGCGGCTGTTTTGGATTTTGGCTACTTTTAGTACTTTTATAAATTATATTGCATCATTGTTTTGATGAAAATTAAATGACTGTATACTTTTTATTACCTATCTTGTTAACAAATCGACGATGATTCAGCACACGTCCTCGTCGCGATTCGGTGGAAAAACGCAAAGAAAAATGCCTATACGTTTTTTCTGCACTTAGTTTATTAGGACTTCCAGTAGTACTTATATCTCTACCTATACAGTTTATAGAAGTGATGAGTGGCGTCTATCACCACCTATTTATTGTGCACCGCGGTCACTTGTCGCTGTATTAAGATGGGTAGAGAAAAAAAGAAAACAAACAATAATACATAAATGCGTCGAGTTTTGTTTGTCATGTCGTCGTCGTTTCATCATCACACTGCACCTATACGAACGTTTCGAAACGACATAAACGCATACATTACTCATATTATTATTATAATCACGCGTATTATATTATGATATAGGCTTCGGTAGAAATAAAAAAAAAAAATAAAAAAAACAATACAAAAAATATCGAACGAGTAAACATATAAATTATTCTAAATGCATAGACTATAGGCATATTGTAATACGTCACAAGTTCGCAAACCGATTACGTTATTATAATAATGTTGTAGGGGAAGAGAAGTATTATAAACGCCTATGCAATAAAACGTAGTGGAATTTATTTTATTATTTTTTTATCCTTGTATTATTATCGCGATTAAAAAGTGTTTATATACGTGGAAAAATATATCGTTAAATTGAAATCAAATTCGAAAAGCTGACGATATCGGAGCGAAGAAAAAAATACTCGTAATAGATTCTAAGTAATAGCGACGAAGCTCTTAGTTTTACAAATATATTGTGTGTTTTGCCCGTCGGAAAACCTTTCTCGATTGTTAAACATAGTTGTTTATGAAATAAACGAAATAATTGGTACAATATAGAAATAAACAAAAAAAGATAAAATATATTAAATGCTAAAATGAATTACGTTAAAACAACTTGTGGTCAGAAATTCATGGACTATCTAGGCCCTACTACTATGTTTAACTCATTCGATTATGATGTAAAACAAACATTGTTTGTTTATAAAAATAAAAATTTTAAAAAAAGGGCATACTTCGCACGATGGATAGGCCACTGTTGTAGACGAGAAGTTGGGAAGGTAGAGGGGAAATTTAATGTATATCTACGCAATGTATATATATGTAATCGTACGCAACGATTAATCATTGCTAACGAAAAACGATTCTGAGCAGAGTTCGGTTTTAAATGCTTTCAAAGGCCATAATATTTACGATTTTAAAATACTATACTTCATAAATTCTCCCGTTTTAACTACGTTTTTCCAGGTTTTTATCATTTATTGTGAAAACTCCTGTAATGATTTATCGCCCCTAACTTCTTGTTACATATAGTGGTCTACTCATTCTGCATAGTATGTCCGACTATCTTTTTATTTATTTCTTTGCTAATAAACTAAGGAAGTTTTGCGTCAATAATATCTAAAATACAATACCAAACATCAAATTTACCATCGTCGTTTAACAGACGAACGCGTTTCTATAGTCAAATCAATTCTCGTTTAACATCGATCGCGCACATACTTAAAATATTTTCAGTATTAGCGGTACCTACCTATAGTTATTAGAAAGTTCGGTTTTGTATACTTAGGATTGCCAAATACATGACACGGCCACCGGACTCTTCGCCGCATTCCGAATCTGAAATTAAATCGTATGTTTAACTATTATATAAACTATAATAATGTCTTAAAAAAAATCAAATTCAATTTTACTCGAAATATTATCGTATCAGCGAATATATTTTCACTGGTTGTTTAACAATAGAATACAAATCTAATACATCAGATTGCATGTTATATATTATACAGGCTATCGAAAAAAACAATTATTTACAAATGAAATCTTAATATAAAAATTTTAAAAAAATATTTCCAAATGTTATGTGTGGAGTGTGCTGTTATATGATTGTAAAACACGGACCATCCACTAAACTGGACAAGAAAAAGTTAAAGTCAATGCAAATTTGCATCAGAAAAATAATGATCAAGGTCAGCCGGACAGAAATGAGAAGTAATTAATAAAATAATAAAGTAAAAAGAAAATTATTAGAATGATTAATACTCGTACATAAATAAAGTAAATGCATATATAAATAAAAAATGTATACACAAAAATAAAATAAATAAATGAATCAATACGTCGCCTGGAGTATTATGATAAGTGATATTACACGACTGGTTTAAAAAACCAAATTAAAAAATTCTTCATCGGGTATATCACAGTCAAAATGTAAAACGCGACTGAATAAAAGAAATTAAATGAAGGAATACATGGGAAAAAAATTTGTACAAATTGGTCATTTTATATAGAAATAATTTATTTTAATAGGAGAGATTATTTAAAATTAGTTATTATTAGACATAGATATGTTAAGAAATATAAATAATTTGGTTATTATTTATTATCTAAAATGTATTGACGCAAGATATTATNATTAAAATTATTTTTCTTTATTTCATTGTTTATGTGTAATTCTTCTAAAACCGAATTAGTGTAAATGTTATTTCGAGTACTTAATATTTCTAAGTCTGTATTAATATCAAAACTTACATTATGGTTATTTCCTAAAACATATTTAGCGAAATTTGAATTAGGAGTAGTATTTTTTAATTTTAGTTCAGAAATGTGTTTTTTAAAAATGTCTATTTATCTTACAATATATTACAATTTATGCAATTATTATTTATATATAAATAATGTAATATGTATAACCTATATACAATTTATTACAGTTACATATAAGTTTATATATACCAGCATTTTAAAAAAGGAGGATTTTTTGTGAAGTGTTTAGTTCTATTGTTTATAAGTTTGATTAAATTATTATTAGTCTTAAAAGCGATTTTTACATTATTTGTATTATTGTTCAGAATTTTATCGAATTCGTTAAACATATTTATTTTGATATTTCATACTACAATAGTTAACAGCATTATTTGATGAGTTGTGTATTATTTTTTCTTTAACACTTTTATGAATGTTTTTCATAATATTTAAATTGAAATTATTTTTATGAGCTCGTGTTGATAATTATGTTTATTTAATGGAACACGTTCAAGCTATATTAAGAATATTGAATTAAAAAATGATATTTTTTGAGAATAAGAATGATTATTATTAGAAGTGTTAAAAAAAATGTAGGGGAATAAAGATTTTTGTTCAGTGCTGTAAGGGAAAGGAGCGGACAAATGTTCGGTTGCCTGTTGAGGCATGATTCGTTTTTCTCAAACTATTTGAAGGACGGGGAAACGAGCAAAAGTGAAGACGAAGACCCAGGAAGACATTTCTCAAAGAAACGATGAGACAGTCTGAACTGCGTGCATCATGATTTTTCATCCAGTATGCCGATATGAAGATTGATTGCCAATAAGAGATTGGATATGCACAGAGTATAATGGGATCCAGATTGACCGCATTACATGGCATTTCGGGAGAAGAAAAAGATACGGACTATAACCGCTGGAAAAAGCGTGCGTTCGATCGTTAATGCGAGTTACATTCGTGACCTCTGATGCGGTATTTTAGAACTCTAGACGTATATGATTACTGAACGAGTGACCGTCATTTTTCTATTTTACCATTTCGCTGTCGTGTTTACATACTTATAAGCGATTCTTGACAAATTTTCGTTCCGTCTTTCCGCAGACGGTTTTCGTTGGACCGATTTTATTGTAACCGCGCACGCGTACCTTTGTAGTAGGTACACGTTATTCGTCGATTTTTAACACTGTACTATATATATAAAAACTAAACGGACATTTTGACGTTTTCACGTCAGTTAATATTATAATGTACAGTTAAAAGTTTACAGCGATATAACTATCTTAATGATTACTATAGGTTTATGAAAATGCTAAAAAAAAAATGTAAAAATCGCATGCAACGCGCAATATTTATAAACTCGAAAGTAGGTCGAAAAACGTTTTATAAATATATATTATTGTTTTCTTGTGTTTCTTTTTTTCGCGATGTTTGGAAAATCGACAGCGTTCGGTACTGTGTGTAATGTGTATTATGGTCGTATACGTATAGATATTATTGTGTTCGGCACCCATATGCGAAAAACTCATTTTTTTTTCTTTTTAATGAAAATCATGTAGTCATATATTTTGTAATAATATTAGGTAGATGTATATTATAGTATAATTTGTTGCAGACGAGTTCAAATAGATTATTGAAGTCTACAAAATTGGTTTTCCATTGTACGTCCGAATACAATGTGTGTACACGTCATATATAGGTAAGGTATAGTGCGGTAAAAAAAAAAAAAAAAAAACGACTTTATATTTATTGTGCGATGGTGCCGAGAGAAAAGAATACATAAGCGATACGAAGAGGTGGCGGAGAAACTACAAATGCGACTATCGGTACAATAGATGTATAAAATTAATTATGAATTTATTCGGCACCCATATGCGAAAAACTCATTTTTTTTTTTTTTTTGTTATCATTGTCGAACGGAGTATAAATGCAAATCTTTTAGTGTCGCGTGTGTACCGACTACCGGTCGACTGTTGTACAGTACCTATATACCTAATCAAAATATCGCCAACACAATAATATCCCAATGTATAATTACAAATTTTATCTAGTATGCGTTATTATTATTGTGCTAAAGAGGAGGACGTGATAACGCAGCGTGTACCGTTTCCATCTTGCGTACGCACGAAAATCGATTGGGTTCAGCGGGGACAATTTCTTGCTGGTGGTTTTGTACAGTGGATCGACAAACTCAAGGGTATAAGAACATGCTAGGATATCGAACGTGTCGGGTTTTTTTCGAAATTTCAGTTTTCAATCGAGATACCACGATATAAAAGTGGTCTTCAGCTCATATTACCTAATTCCTTTTCTCATAAAGAACAGCGATTTGTATCGCCTTGTCTGAAATGTCGGTCGTCGTCATAATATAAAGTCTTCTTTACTGCGTTTAATCGGTAATAGTGAGCATTTAAAAAGATATTGCCTGCGTACTGTTCCTCACCGCACACATATTTTTAGGCATCTTTCATTCTCCAATTCACCATATTATGTTGACAGAGTTTTGAGCAACTTGTTACTATAACGAACAGTAAACACTATAATATTATTATAGTTTAGCGAATAAACTGGTTTGACGATGTTGTTTACTGCATTAATGACTTATAATTACTGAATGCATTTTTCGACAACCGGGTTGCTGGAATCGATTAAAAACTACGTTCACTGTTTTCGGCTACTGATCATCCATTGATAAAATACTCTATACTGCAGTAAACAAAACGTTTTGGCGATATTGAAACCAAATAGCAAATAATGCAGTAAACAAATACAACTGATTATCAAAAACTGCATCCCCAAAACGTGGCTTAAAATGCTTATTTACCATTAAATTTCATTGTATGATTCACTTGTAAATTCACTTTTGTATTAAAACTATAATGGTACGAAATTGTCTCCGTCGAACGCAAATATCATTCGTCATGTCGTGCGTTTGTATGGTATCAAGCCAAGTTCACATGATGGTCAAAATACTTGATATGTGTCAAACTTCGAATATTTTAGAACCATACCTAAAATATTTGAAGTGTTCTTGAAATATGTGATTACTGGATCGATAATAAATTTCTTTATGATCGTTTTATATGGGCGTTCTTGTGTCTTATTTGTTTGTGGTATGTATAGTATCACAGTTTAAACAGATGTAAGATTTGACCAATCACTACCATCAACCATAATGGTTACTTCGATATAATATTTGAAAGAAATGTTAACCGTGTGGATTCCGGGTCAAGACGGAAAGAGCATACGCTTGCTGCAGGTATCACGTCCTCTAAAATTATATCTGCAGTGATACCCGATAACTGTGGTAACCTTCTAATTGACTTATTCGTGTCCTTTTTTTTACGATATAATTTTAATAATATTTTCGGTATTATCGTTATAATATTATAATATATATTTGATAATTTTGAAATTCCGTACACACGTCAGTACCGGTGGCGGCGTGGCGTTCACGTTGAATTGTAATACGCGTTCGTGTAGAGTAACTTGATCGATAGCCAATATTTTTATGGTTTTTTTTTTTTTTACCATCGCTTTATAGAAAAATTTGTTTGAAAAAACTCGTACTGAATTAATATATTTTTTTTATTATAATAAAATAAAAATTCGGTATTACACGAATGTTTCGTTTTTATCACTGCCGTTAAGTTATTCAAGTTCGTCGTCGTCGTCGTCGTCGTTGGTCGTAACAATAAAAAAATACACGCTCAAAATACAATACAATACGTATGTTAAATAATTTCCAAATGACATTATTATTGTTACGCGCATTCAATACACGACGATAAATACTTTTTTTTTTCTTTTTTTTTTTTTTACCAACCTTGCGCCGATTTTTATACCTATAATACGTTTGCGTTATAGACATTGGAAAATATGACCAGTGTTCTATATATTATAATAAAAAAAATCCGCGATTTTTAAACTAACTAGGTACCTTTGTGATACGTATCGTTGTCGTGTGACGTATATTTTACACAAATTAATGAATACAAACACATTATAAGTGTATAAACACGTACAAATATATACTCAAGGTCAATTCTGGGCAGGTTTCAAGGTTCTTCTTGGATAATATAATATTCTCGGATAGTATAATTGGATATATACAAATTTGTTTATAAATATATATCTTTGACTTTATCTTATTACGTACATATATATATATATATACAAATATAACAATATTATTTGTCTATAAAAAAAACAGCGACAGCTGCAGCTGCTGTGATATCAACGGCTACAGACAGTATAATATACAGTAATACGTACAACAGGTACTTATAATATTGTAATACCTTGTTGCAGAATTTTCTCGCAAGAAACACGAATACGACTCGTGTACAATAATCGCACGTCTACACTTAAAAATCGCTTTATGCATCGTATACGTTCGAAAATCTCGTCGTCGTTGAAATCGCATCAAAGTCGCATAGAATACTATCGTATCGTCGACTGCAGTGCCCGCGCAAACGAAATAAACGAGAAGTTGATTCTGTGAATTTTATTTTTTTTGTCCGTTCGTCGTAAAACGCAACCTTATACAATATAGACGCGGACGTAGTACAATCGCTGCGAACTATTACGGCTTTCTATGTGTATATACGGTATATTTAAATATCAGGAAACTCCCTTATAGTTCCCTTGCCTTTCTCTGTATAATCTCCCCACAAGTGGCAACCACCTGCAAAAATTGCGCTACCTGTTGCCGCACAATGACGTGTTAAAAACTAATTAATAGGTTAATCGTGACGCGCGTCTGCACGTAATCGCGAATATTACCTATACCTATATGTGTACTCTTATATACACCCGAACTTTGCCGAAATAATATTATTATTATAATGTAACGTTTCGGTCGGTGTTTTATTGAAATATTCACACACGATTCCGTCTCACCGCGGGCTTTGCCGTAATATACGCGTACCTACGAAATATTATTATTACGACGATCGTCTCTCGTCCTTCCACTCTTGGTCACGACTCGTTCGGTAACCATCGTGCGCATTAGGTACTTACTTACTGGTTAGCGAACGTAACCGCGCGCGCTCGATCGTGTGTAAATCACGACCTATCTTAAGGTATAAGGATATATGATATGTATAGACAACACGAACGAAAATCACACACCGAACACGTTTAAATGCGCGTGTAATTAACGCGTTATAATTATAGCGAAGATCTTAGTTAAAGATCTGAAGAACGCGAAACGGCATAGGAAAAAGAAAATATATTATCGTCGAGGAGGATTCAAGGGGGTTGCGCACTATAAATTATTATGGTGTAGAGATTTTAACGTTCGGCGTTTTAACGTTTGGCTCGCGGACAGCGGCGAAACCGACTAAAAACTCCTAAACTGAATATTATTGATAGGAAATGGCACAAAAAAAAAAAAAGTAAATATCTCAAAGAAAAAACAATTTATTTCTTACAAGAATACCGTAAAATTTCGTGTTTAGACTCTTCGGCGTGAGGTAATAATATTGCTGTATATTTTTTTTTCAACAGTAATCGTTCTTATTCGTTACAAGTCCAAATAAGCTCTAAAATTCTCTCCGCTCGACGATTAATCGCATTATATTAAACACGCGAATAAAGAATTTTTTTTTTTTTCGTGTATTTCATACTACGAGTATAAGTATATAGCTGTCCCGTCTGACGTTGCCCGTGCCAAAAGAAATACAATTCCACAATGAACAAAGTAATCAGTATCTGTAGTAGGTACTGTGCGTTATAACGGCCCTTATGCGATCTTATTTATTTGATTGTTTTAGATTCTGAGCGGAGCGAGGGATGTATATTGGTTTTACAATGATGTTTATTTTCATTTATTTTTCTGTGAAAAACTTTTCAACCAGAAACTTTACTCCGATTTTCGAGTGTACCGCATTTCTGATAGGAAATTTTATTTGGGAGGTAATTTTTCAGTAGTTTTGTGATTTTTTTCAGCGGATTATTGTGATTATGACCATAATGGTCATATTGATTGTGAAAAACCATACAAATTTTTAATCATGAAAAGTGAAAAAAATTATGAAATTTTTTTCACTTTTCGCTTATTGTATTCGTCCGGGAAAATATCGCGCGGTCGATTATTATAATAATTGTCATCATCTACGACAACGGCGGCGACGTGATGAATCCTGCGGGCCGAGGTTAATACCGTCTGCAAACGACTGCGTCGTAGTATTGTTATGATCATTATAGGTAGGGTGTACGCCATAAACGCGCAGTTATAAGACAAAACAAAATAATAATAAAAAAAAAAAAAAAAAAAAAACTCTTGAATATACAGCGAGTATTAAAGACCTAATGGCGTGATGTTTGCGCGCGTTCACGGCCAGACGAACGTCGTCGTTTTAGCGCCAACTCTACGCGGTAACATTATTATAATATTATCCTCATGCTCTTCGGACTCGTCGAGTCAATTTTTTTTCCTCTCCGCGTTTTCACGGCGCTATTATTTCTCCCGGATTTCTCTCGGTCGTACGGTTTTATTGTTTTATGTTCGCGGCCGTATTATATATACTGTTGTTTCGCGGGACTACGACGACGGTCAATCAAAACTATATGTATGCGTGCGTACCGTTCCATTACTATACGTCTATCCGCAGCGATCGTTAGCCGGACGGTAAAAAAAAAAATACAATAATGATTATTTATATCGTCCGCGGCTACTCGCCGACCGCCGGCGAATCGCGCCGTCAGAACATTACACGGCTAGCCGTGGCGTTGAAAACCACTCGGAAAACCGAGTTAGTTCTAATGTGAGTTAGGTTTGTACGCGCTGTTCTAACAAATATAGACGGGTACCTCTACCTGCGAAATAATATATTGTAACATTTCGCCGTCGAATCGAGTTCCGAATTTGCGTGCAAATGCAATATTATTATTATTATTATTACGCTTACATACGCGAAGAGCGCAGGAGAATAAAGGTCCGCGTTTTTTCCAACTGTTTGACACAACGGTACCGTTCGGTGTAAGAGCAGCCGACCGCCGGGAGAATCGGAGGATCGGGTGTGCGACGGCACGGTCCTGGTGACCGATGATCCCCCCCCCCAAATGGAAGAAAGAGGAGAACAGAGCTTTGGCCATTCGACGGTACTTTGAGACTATCTTATCGAAAGTCGAGTTCCGTCCGGCGAAAACATGTTTCAGTTGGATAATATTCAAGGGAAAATACTGCAGAATGCACTGGTTAAAAAGTAACGTAGTCCGTGCAGCTGAATATTATTAGAAAAGTTTTGCTCTACTTAACAGTTTTCAGTCATACGACAATAACTATCCCACCTTCATTATAGCGCTTTTCACTTATTTAAACTGAAAAAAAAAAAATAATAATGAAAAATTGAATCGTCTCACAATTGAATTGACTTTTTTTCTAGTTATCATTGGACCACTATAAACCACATTTAAGCTATCAATTTTTTATCAAATATCTCCGATCTCCCGCATTTTCGATTCTCGATCCTATTGTCTTAGTCCTTTTACAATTATCCGTTTTCTATATAATGATCATCGTTTATATATATAAATATATTTTCTCGTTCAACTATTACATTTAACACTCTAACTCTAAATCGACGTTTCGTTTTATTGGGCTACAACACCGCGACGTTCTGGTATAATTGCGGGAAGAGATACGTAGATTTACGTATAGCTTAGCCGATGCGATATTTCATATATATTTCGTCGATTGGCAAATTGTGCAATTACGCTCGTTTCGCGTTTTTTTTTTTTTTTTTTAATGTCCCCTTTGTTGTCGCAGTTAGACTTGTAATTTATTTTTTTTTTTACACGTTCCTATAACGATATTAAATTATATTATACAGTATTCTAAGAATTGGGTTATATTTATGTTTTACGCGCGCGACGACCATGAATTGTATTATTATATTATAACCATTATTATGGTCGTTTTACTAAATTATTTACATTGTATATGGGTAATATTGCAATAATTTCCCGAAACCGCATTATTAAAATATATGTCGCTGATCGTCGTCGGTATATTTTCATTTTTTTTATTTGTTCGTCGAACGAATATTATTCAAATTATTACTCTGTACGTTTATTATTATTATTATTATTTTTTTTTTGTTGTAGTATAAAACCAATACCCATTAAACTTACTTGCGACGATGATTTATCGCTTATATGGATACAAACCATAATCGCACTAGTGCCATTATGATTAGACCGTAAAAACGTCGAATCATATCAAATGTTTCGTTTTTTTTTTTTTTTTTTACTATTAAATATTTGCATTTTATTATTGCGACAACGCCATCTCGTATTATTACATTATTTCCATATATATCTACCGTAATAAACGATTGCGAAATCTGCAGTGCAACTCAATGACATCTAAAGGTTTTTTTTTTTTTTTTGTTACTTTTCTCCAATTTTCATTGTTTGATTTCCATAAAACGACCGTCGATTTCATACGCCGGCAGTTCTCCCTGATGTGTGCGACGATTCGTCAAAGATTCGCGATAATTAAACTCCCAACGCTTATGAATACATATACACAGTTATACATCGGCAATACCATAGGTACCGAAAAAATAAAACAATGTAACGAATACCGTCGAATCGACTCCCAACTTCCGCGGTTAACTACTCTGTCGACCACCGCCGGCAATCGGCTCTCTGTAAATATTTTCAACACGCGGTTCGAGTCGTATATTTCGAATAAAAGTTGAAAAAGTACGTGTGATTTTATCCGTGACACAGTACCGGATCACCGTCTAAAATTATCCAATCCAAATAGTCCAATTCTATTCGATTAAATCTAAGTATAAAATTATCTCGGAAATTTAGAATTTGGCAAATAAAACAAATGTTTGGTTTTTTTTTTTAAATTACGTATAAATAATTCGTATCTAATAGGCTACAGAAAAAAAAACAAATGTGATAATTTGATTTTTAAATTATTTCGATGTAGGTATTAATTAAGTACAATTGATGAATGAATGAATTTTGAACGGTTTTCGCCGTTTCAACGCGGGAAAATATCGACTACCTGGGTTTTGGGTGCCGATTCAAATTACACCGAAAACAACAGTTTTAGGAAGTTAGAGATAAACGATCTATTAGTAAAAACCTTACGGTTTTCTATACGAACAGCGTAGTATATTATTATTCAAAATAATGCGATATCACTTTATATAATATGACTTTAATATTGACTCCAATATTCATTTCTACCGAGACACGAACATTCGAAAAACGTTAAAACAAAAATAGCATAAAATTAATAAAAACAAAAATACAAAACAAAACAACAAACGAGTTTTCCGTTAAGTAATTATATTTTCTGAACAACACCTCCTCCGGGTTTGAAGCTGCAATTCATGTAGAAACATAATCGTTCGATTTTACAATAAATACCTGTTATACGCAATCGTATGATAATAATTAAATATTTTGTAGGGACTATTCGTTTTTTGTCAGTACATTTTTAAACGCTTATAATAGTGTACATATTCTGTCTTGCCAACTAGTTTTTTTCACGATTTCGAATTAAAGTCGTTTAATCGTACGCGTACTGTATCGTATTTTTATATTCCCTACTCTATAAAATGTAATACATTCATTGAGATGTGAAAACTACGGGTACAAACAATAATAATAATATTATTATTTCCAATGATAAATTCGAAATTAGATTTCAGATTCCGAGTGTAGCCATGAACGTTATGGCGAAATTCGATTAAACGCTGACCGCCGCTCGTAGCCCATTTTTTCGTATTGTTTATTTGTTTGACAGACATATTTTCCCATTTGCCATAGCATTGCTCATCTGTTTATTCTAAAATCAATGGGTTTACTGAGATGCGTTTTGTTTCTTTCTCGGGAAAAAACGTTTTTGGTTGGTGAAATTGATGCAATTTTTTCACGCTGCCGTACGAAAAGATAGGCATTTTTTGCACTAGATATGAAAACGATTCCTGTAGCAGATTTCCGACAGTTTTTCTAAAACATTAATTAATAATTAAAACAACGACATTGGTTTTATTTTTGTTGATTTTTGGTGGACCTATTGGACTAATACAACCTTACAAATTTACCAAGCTCCGATCAGAATCGTTTTTCGATTGTAATTGTTGCTTTTAGTATGTATAAACTAAATACTAATTTATAAATTTCCGTGTGGCTTAAAAAAACATAGGTATATGTTTTAAGAAATACCTAAATGAATTGCGTATTTCAAGCCTCGTAGTTCTTTCTGTAATGTTTAATTTGTAAGTGAACATTGAAGTAATAACTATAATGGTGGGCATTCACGAGTTAAAAAATTAATTTTTTTAAACATTTTTCATTTAACTAGCTAATTATTTTTATCGTTAACTACTTATAAATAGTCATTAGATCGTCACCTGGGTATCGCTATAATATAGTCGTGTAGGAGTATGTTAAATTCTAAATGATTTTAATTAAACAAACGGTATAAAATTTAAAAAAAATGTTCACACGCTATCGATGTATTTTATTTTTTATTGACCACTCAAACATTAAGTACCCTTACAACGAGCCAGTAGGTATATACTATATAGTAATAAAAAAATAATCGCGCACGGTTTTATTCGGAATATTTAGTCACTTATATTTCCTACTCTTATTATATCGCAGTCACTTAAAAAAATATCTGATTATTTTAATCGATCACGAAAACTAAACGTGATGTCGAAAATAGATTGCAAATCATCGTGTACTTAATGAAAATCCAGACGGTTAATTATTTTTAAAAAATTTAACAATATTTGTATACATTATATACGAATATTGCTGAGAGTACGCGATTTTCTTTTCAATAGGTGTTTACGTATATAGTGTGTACGCACACACAGACACGCAAATTATTATTATTATTATTATACGAGTTATATTGTTATTTGTACGATCGATTCGATTTTCGGACGTACGGAACCTCCGAAAACAAAAAAACAAAAAACCACGAACCTTTTGGATGTATTTGACGCGCAAACTGCTACAACAGCATTTCCTGGCGATAAATTCCGAAAAACACCGGTCCCGCACTCGACATTTAATTGGAGTAGCAAGTTGAACATGTCTATGGCGCAACGGTGAAATTTCCCTGAAATTCTGCGGTAACTACTCCAGATCACTCGGCTAATGTGCGCCACTGCTTACAAATGTTACAATAGAAATATAGTATTGTGGCAAATTGATGCGTTTATGCGTGTACAAAGACGCCAGGTTTCGAAAACGTCGTGGGAGGCTCACCGTCTTATATAAACACGTGTACATTTTCACCTAAATCTTACCGTATATTGACTATTTTTATTTTCCTTAAATTTTTCGTTAAACAACATTGCTGAAATATTTAGTTACTTGTTCTTTTGTATTCAACGAAAAACCCGGTTGATTACCAAAATCTACAATTTTTCTCTGCTATCAATATCGGAAAAAAAAAAACGTTTATCTTTCTCGGTTAATTTGTTTGTTATAAATAAAATAATTAGTATTTTGAGAATATGTGCGACAGTTAAATATTGATTTGATTTTTTTTTTTTATAATATGAGAACCGTGGGAGAGGGGGCTGAGCTCCGTCTTACGTGGGGGGGGAGGGGCCGCGGCCCCGGAAACCCTCCGTACACGGTGCCCCTTCGTATGCAGGTATGCGTGCATACACGTGTATACCGTTTTGTGTAACCACGTTTCCAGTCACGTCTTCCGACGCCGAAAGTACGTTGAAAAACACGAGATTATCGTAGCGCCAATTCGGCGACGGCGTTACGCGGGCACACATTACAATACGACTGCATAATATGACATTGCGCGGGGGCCGTCCGTCGAACACGATTTTTCGGGTATCTCGCGGGTCTGCCGCGCGTACACCTATTTTATTATTATTATTATTATTATTACGTATAATACGAGCGACATTATAGCAGTCGTAAATATACCGTGTCTCGTGTGTGTCGTACACGTCGTCGTCGTCGTGTCGCAAGTACGTGGGTTGTTTTTATTTTTTATTCTCTGTATAGTCGGTCGTACATAATATTATCGCGCGCGCGTCCGCGTGTATTTTGCGAAACCCGCCTCCGGGAGTCTCGGGACGACGCGGACCCGTCGGACTTCGTACGTCGCGTCTCTTAAACGGTTTGATAATAATTCATCGGCGGGCATACTGCGGTGTGTATGAAATATATTGCACGTGCATCGACATCGGCGTACACCCGAACGGATTCACGCACACCGCGGGCCAAAATAATAATTATATTATTATTATGCGTCCGAATCGGCGGCGGGGCAATGTTGCGGGCAGAAGAATCTTTTTCTGGTCGTCGACTTTCGCTTTTATGCTTTTTTTCTCTCTCTCTCTTTAACCGACGCGTGTGGTGTTCCACATAAACGAGCCGCGAAAACCCGCGCGCGCATAGGTGCCTAATAATAATAATAATACGAGTATAATATTATTATACACACGGTAATCATATTTCCATCGTTTACTTTTGTTTTTTTTTTCCACATTTTACGACCCGTGTAACGTTTTAATGATGTAAAAATAATAATCGGTTTTTTTTTTTATTATTATTATTATTATCCGTCATTGTGTGTTGTTCGCGGATTTCATTACCGCGAGCAAGCGCGCGCGCCCGCCGTTTTCGTTATTCGCGCGCCGACCGCGCGGATCACCGTGAAACCGGAGAAATTTTTCCGTCGGCGCGTGTGCTCGCATTATATTTTCGTACAAATGTATGTATACCTATATAATATACATACGTGCGTGTGTGTTATCGTTACTAACCGTATTATACATGCATCATAATAACATCTATATCAACGTACATTCGTTACGATGTCCGTACGCTTTTTTTACCATTGTTAAAAAAAAAAAACTACAACAGTTTTTCACCTTTCGTGCCGTGTCCGCCGCAGCGGTCGGACGGACGAGGAAAGTCTCGGATGTGATGTCGTCGTTTCGAATTTTTTTTTTTTTCATTATCATCATTTTTTTTTTTTTTTCACGCATCGCTTAAAATGCGTTAAACAGCCCTCGAAATGCATAATATGTACCGTAGACGAACGCACGAAGAATTTTACACGTGCATTTCGTATGAAACTGTATTACTATATGTTCGGACGGACCAAAACGCTTTTTGTTTTACGCAACGTATCTTTATATTGTATTTGTGTGCGGACGTATAACATTATCGTCGAATCACATTTCGCGAAAAAAAAAAAAAATTATTGTTCGCGATCAAAGATTCCAAGGGAATAAAGCGATTTGTATTTATTTGTTTTTACTTTTTTACCGTTTGAATTATTATCGACGAACAAACGTCGGCATAAGAATAAATCATCGGAATATAATAAGGAACAAATAATATGGTCCTATTTCGATTTCCGTTTTTTAGATTTCGTACGAAAAAGCTATAAGACGTGTTCTTGATTACTCTCGGAAAACACTTTTTCGGTTAGTAAAAGTGCTCCAAATCGTATAACACATTATATGTTAAATGATGCGGACTTTTCGTCCGATGGTATTTAATCTGAAAAAATGTCTAGATTTCCCCGTAAAGTTTTCTTTAAAACAATAATAAACGCCGATTCATTGGTTTAAATTTTGTTAATTTCCTGGTTACTTTATTTGCTACAAAGGTGAAAAAACACGACTGTATAATATTTTTATAACCATAAACCGGTTTACCGAGCTTCGTTTAGAACCGTTTTTCAATTGCAATGAATCATCGTCGGTTTCAGTACACTGAGTAATTGTCCTATAACTTACTTATGTTCATACCTTCAAAACTCCCCATTACCCGCAACAGTGGCCCGCCCGGGGTGCGAATTATGCCCGGCTTCTTCGTACATAAATTAATATTTTAACAGTTTTTTATGTATAATTCGATGTTTGTCCATAATTATCAGCTTATTATTATATAATACGAATATGTCTATTCCAGTTGTCTGCAGTATAGCCTACAGAACGAGGCGAGAAATCCAATATTCCGATTTGTATTCGTTTTTATATAATATATAATATGATTCACAATTAACCGTATCGTGTTTTTTTTTTTCAACGTGCGTACACATTTTCGCAGATATGTAATTCATGTTTTTTTTTCTTTATATATGTTGGAAGGCCGTAGTAGCCAATAGGTATACGTAAAATAAATGTATAAATGTATAATTAATTTTGACAAATAGATTTTTTTTTTTTTTTTTATTAATTTGTATGGACCGTATTGATTTGATTGTGTATACCTATATTCTGTATGCTATACTATATACCTACTTACCCGACATTTTATTTTAATAATTGTTTGAAAAAAAATACGAGTACGAGGTATATTATGTATAATGATATAAACTCGATTTTATTTTCTTGTTTTGTATCGTGCCGGGTCAGTGATCACAACGCTGCCCCGACTAATGTTCACTATACGGACACGGCGTGATTTTGATCTGGTTTATCGATTTATTTGAAATGTTATGTAACCACAGTACTGTGTTGGCTATTAATTGGCTTGTCCGACATAACAGTTTTTTATATTCTAATATGAGTATCAGTGCAGATATATTCCAGTTCGCAGAGGGGAGAGACGAATTTTAGGTTACAGGGGTAATGGAATACAATTTTTTAGTGTTAAGTTGTAAATAATAATGCAGTAAAATGCATTAAAAAATGTATGTGTATCAGTCCCGTGTCTGGGAAAAACTTTCCCAGCATACCGACCATGCTCAAACAAGCCGGCTACCGGTTTACTTGGTTGTTATTAGCCGTTAGTCGTCAGTCGTGAAGGCAATTTATTTCGGCTAAAGCTTAGTGATTTAAACGAAAGTTCAACGAAATTTTTGCCAAATGGATAGATTTTTAATTAAAAAACATAAATTAAGTAACGAATTATCTGATCTTACCAAGAACTGCCGCACCGACTCAGATCTTCAAAATTTAATTTTAAATAGACTAGTTATTGATAGAAATATTTAAACTTGTATTATGATCATCGTATTCGAACCAAACAATATTGATTATAAAAACGCCACGTTAACCCGCCGCCAATCAAAAAATTGAATCTGTATAGTTTGTTTCAAGTATGGAACGTTAATACACCATCCGGTTGAATAATTTATATATAACGACGTATTTTTATTGTTATATTTTACACGATAAAGACCTAATTGATAAGTTTTATTCGTGAAAATGATTTACCCAACCCAACCCAACGTTGAAAAATAAGTCCACGAATAAAAATAATTTATAGCAAAAAATACATGCATCGAACAGATTAATTTACGGTATTTAATCGATTTGTTTTCAGGTAAAAATGCAGCGCCGCATGCCACGATACTCGGTCATCGGTCGTTTTTAGACCGTACGATTTCTTCATGAAAAGGTTCGTTTTCTACCCGGCCGTCGTATATTTCTGCTCGAGAAATTCGTCAACCATTTCAATATTCCATCGATCGAATTGAACCAAACAAAAGTAAGATACAATATTATAATATACAGTATATAACGGTTTATTTTGATATGATAAGTGCTACATTAATTTTTGTTTATCCTGCTCAAATTAAAAAAAAACGACAGGAGTGACCAGAAAATGATCAGAAAATTTACAGTGGGTAAATTGTATTGATTAATCCGTGAAATAAATGCCACGAATTGTTTCTATAATAAAATCATCACTAGAGCCCGGATTTCGATACAAAGTGCAGGGTTAATCTAAGACAATGCTTTTCAATTCGATGTAACACATTATTTAAATGTGAAACTTTTGATTTATATTTTCTAGAGAATTTTTTAGCACTTTTAATAGATAATTTTCTAAGAGTATTGTTTCGTTAAAAGGCATTTAAATCCGAATTCTATAACAGTTACATAATTTTTAGCAAAATCAAATATTTCATTGGTCATAAATTCAATGAAATTTGTCCTCTAAAAGAAGTATAATATACTATAATACGTATACTCATATATATGGCTGCCAACTGCACGCCTAGCATGCGACTCACAATATTATAAACTGCAATCTACGGTTGTAAATGTATAATTTTATTATATCGCTGTGATAATATTAACGCTCCGTCGTCGTAAAAAGAAAAAAAAAGTATTAATGATTATTGTGTAGTATTGCGCCGAGGTAAAACTGAATGCGTTTCCAACCCATAACCACGCGAAACGCATACACGCTTTTACTGACCGCGGTTCAGTTTACGCGCGCATTTCCTTAACTTACCTATACGCGCCATTATTATTGTTATTATTATTATTATTATTATTGTAATACACGTTCGTGAAGAGTATACCTGCCTGTAATGCGTATGTAAACCACGGTTATCTACTAGATAGTGATGTAAACATAGGAAATGTCGTCACCGGAGCAATCGTTTCGACACGACGTTTAAACGGACGGCGTAGGTAAGAAAAAAAAAAAAATTCAACACAATAATAATAACGAAATTGTACGCGAACGCACGGGCCGTCTCTTAACGATCTTCGAGTATATAGGTACCTATATAAAGGTATAGGTAGGTAGGTAGATGTACTGCATAATATACTTACGCCCGCGTGCGAATATTATTAATATTTTATCTGTCGGCGCGGAGGTCGCGGCCGACCGAAAACAAAAGCGATCGACGATAAATCATTCGGCGTTTTTATCGACGAAATCCTCTCTCGCCAGGGAGAGACGTAGTCGTCGACGGGCGATATCACAAAACGATAGCACCGCGTACACGATACCTATTATAATACCTATACGAACACAATCGTACAACAAATTATTATTCCGGCCGTCGGTTTTACCGCAAGTCGGCATACGTCTACTCGTATTAACAGGTCATCCCGCGATGTTTTCCCCGTGCTAATATACCTCTGTTAACGTTCGATTTTTTTTTTGAATTTTTTTTTTTCTAGTCAATAAGAAAATAAAATATTTATTTTCAATTGAAACGAATAACTTTTCGTTATTCCGTTCAACTTTTGACAATTTCTAAAATTAAACCGCTTTGCAATCGATATTATTCTAAAATATATCAATGTATCGTACATAAAAGGAGGGGCATAAATTGCTTTTATATTTACGGTAGAATATTCACGGTATCTATCGTGCTTTTATTATATTATATAACGCTGCAACTGGCATTGTTTATCGTGTACCGTAATGGTAACCTGCTGAATTTTCTTTTCTTCACACTAAGAACCAATGTGAATCGAATAAAATGAACAAATAAAAATGTATTATTTTTTTTTTCAGCAATTAAGGGACGGATTAAAAGGAATTAAATTTTTCTCTAAATATATGTCCCACCCTCACACGAAGACATTAGCATCGAGAAAACACAGTGTGACACTCTGTATAATATAAACCTGCTTGACGTATATAATAATATTATAATGTGTAGGTACACGTGTATTCGGTTATCGCGGCGTAGAATCGGCAACGTGGGTATTTTCGCGCGGCGGGGCGGTCGAGGAGGGACCGTGTGCCATATTTTCATCCTGTCGTTTTCTCGTCCGTCTCAAGGCAAACGTGTTTTATTATGTTATATTTCGTTCACAGCGTACCAACACGCTAATAACACTATTACACATTTTATATAAACGCGAGTATGCGCATATCGATATCCTTTCCCCCGTACCCCTTCTCAAAATTCGCGGCGCTTACAGAGAAACACTCGCCGGCGAGAATACTGCACCCTCGCATATATTTCGGACGGAAATCGTGTTCGGCGCGGTCCTTTATTATAGTTTTACACATCTATAAGGCTATTATAATACACGTGTACGGTTGTGGGGTAGTTTGTTTTCGGAAAACGTCAAGACATTTTCGGCATTATTGCGACCTCCTTTTGCGACCACTTCCGCTGCACTCGTCGACGCGAATATCTTCGCAATTATTTGAGAAATTTTTCCGCGGCCAAAATTGAAGGGTCCGAGTGTTATGGCATTGGTAATAATACATTTATCGTGGCTTTAGTAGATTGAAAAATTCCACGAGAAAAAAATCAATTTTAATATTAATCTTTGAAATTGTATCGGGTAATTTTTCGCAAATGATTAACTGTGAAAAGGGCGTTTTTAAATAGGATTTTATACGTTATATACGAGTATATAAGCATATCTCCAATCAAAAACTAGAAACTGATATTTCGTAATTTGTTCATAAAATTTTCCTACATTTTTTCCTGATTTTTCCGATTATTAAGAAAACTACACGAAAATTCAAAAAGTGATCTCATCAGTGTATCAACTATGTAACATGTTCTATCAAAAACCATCCCTAAAGTTTGTTGATCAGAGCAATAATTTCTGGTAGACAATTTTTTAACAGACGACAGAAGAAAATAAACACAATATTAGCAAACCCACTAAATTCCTCAGAATCTCAAAAAAAAATATTGCACACAATATAAATACATTTCAAAATTATCATACTCGTGACACTTGTCGTTTCTCTAACAACTACCGGGGATTCCTCTTAAGGTAGCGGCACCGATTCTATGGGTCATATACTACAAAGTATAATCAGATTCGGCGATTTTTTTTTCCACATTTCGAATAATTTAAACGACGGTGTCAAAATATTATTATATGGCCCTGCACACAAATCGGCAATCGAAATCGCCCGCGTCGAAGTCTCCGTCGCCATCGTCTCGTTTATGCGGTTACTGTTCCGCCAATTTCCGTTTCACGTAATCGCTCCAAACAAATCTATAGGCACAAAACGCGTCTTGTTGTTATGGTGCCACTGCACACATTTTAAACGATTAATAATTTAAAATTGGTTCACTGTACACAATCTTACTATTATACGTAGTTTACATTTTTATGGGCTAGACTGTAAAATTAAATTGTTAAGAGGCCGTCACGATTTGGCATTTGCCATCTCTGTCTTTTTATAGCGGGTTATACAATAACGCAAACGCAATCACGCGAAACGAACGAAAATACTTTTAAAATAAGGATTTTAAGGATAAAACACCTATTATACATTTTTTTTTTTTACATTTTTTTAGTGGCTTCGACACTAGTTCAAGTTAAAACGTAAAAAAAATATTGTTTGGTGTTATCTTATTGAGTTCCCTGGATAGATTTTAATCTCCAGGCCTTAATTTGGTTAATAATGCATTTCTATAATTCTACATTTCAACAAAAGATGCGGTAGTATCGTTTTCGGTTGTCAACAAAACCGATAAACGTTCGCGGTTAAACTCTGCTGCAGCAGAGCGCAGGTACAGTCGTACGAATATCATATTGTTGTGTAACGAATTAAAAGTTGCCGGATCTAATATGCAACAATACGTTTTATTCCAATTAGTGAATGAAAAATTCCCAACGAATTTTTTTTTCTTTTAGATGCCTACCAGAGTACTAAATATGTATTTTTTTTTTTTTTTTTTTGTCTTCTAATTTCACTCTTATATTTACAAACAGAGCGTGAAAACGTTGAACGAAATAAAATAACAATATTATTATTACGTGCATTACTTATGTAAATTATTATTGCACGCGTATTATAATATATTTTAATAATATAATACAGGTACGTCTAGTCGCACTTTACAGTGTCAACGAACAATATATAGGTTAAACAAAAAAAAAAAAATTATTTTTTTCACGTAAGTACCATAATCATATTTTAAACTGTTGTTATAAACTTCTTAGTTCCATAATTTGATTATAATAATTTTCCAAATCGTTACTGTCATTTTAAATATGATATAGTAATTAATATGCTTGTCCATTATTGGTCCACGCGTAGGTATTCATATTCCATACACACACTGTAATTATTATCTTATAATAATAATAGTATTACTATTGTTATTAACCTTGCTTTAATAAATTAACTCGGTTTTATCGGTAATGTCAATTAAATTAATATTGGCACAAAATCCGTTTAAATTTGAAATTTATAATCCCTATAATATACGAATATTCGTGCTCGCGTAAAAGGTTATAGTTTACATTAAACCTCTTAATTTAGATAATATTTTGCAAGAGTCATAACACGCAAGGTAATTTTTAAAATAACACAATCAATGAATAGTAATTTTTATCCATTCGGCAGTATAGACACAGAGCGTTCCCAACGGCTTGGCAGCGGCAGCGTTATTGTACACGATCAAACAGAAAGCGATATCCTTCTCAAAACTGGTTTGAATAAGAACACATATTGATTTGTTCCTCCCGACAAACATTTTTTCTTTTTTCTTAATTACACATATACGTATTATGTATATAGTATATACTAATAATATTAATTATTGATGAATCATTGACAGCTGTAGTTTGCCTATACTCTTCATTCCCATTGGCACTTTCCCGTCTATTCGGGGTCCGCTATTCGGATCTCGGTTCTCCGTGCTTAGTTATCCATCGCACCCTGCGGAATAATATTTGCGTTTTTCGTGTCTTCGTCACACACTACATCCGTCTTTTCTTTGGTCTTTCATAGCTTCGCTTTCTCTCTACCTGCCATTCCTAGATTATTGGTTATAACCATTAGCTATGTGGTTATCTTCCATCGTAGATGCAAAGGCTAAACTATTTTAATCCAGCGTCCGTTATTTTCTCAGTTATTAACACAACTTTGAAGCTCCCTCTAATATATTACCGTTTCTTATCCTATCTATCCTTGTAACTCCAGATATCCATCGTAACATTTTCGTCTCGTTTACATGCATGTAGTTTGTTACACCCACTTATTGATTACTCAGTGCCCGTCCCATACAATAAACTCCATAATAATGTCTAATACTCGATCAAATTAATAGCGATTGTATTGATTTGTATTTAAATCCATGATAAAATAGATATATGATCAAAGTATGTCACGTTATCATTTGGTATGCGCACCTTCATCTCGCGCTGCCCATGCCGTATAGTTCTCCGCTCCTAATTTATTTATCGGTAGGTTGGTCAATAGCTTATAATAGTGGCAATGCAAATTTTAGTCACCAAAAAGTGTAAAACTACAAAATATTATTAAATGAAATAATAAAAGCATATTTGAAAACAATATACGTATTAAAAAAACTTTGATTATACTCGTATCTTATTTTGTCATGCATAAATCAAAATTCGTCTTCCACATTGCACAGCAATATCAAAACACTGTAATGATTTTCGTTTTTTTCTTAATGAGACGCGAAAGTTTCATGTCAAACCCAATACGAGTTTCACAAGATTGTTATTATTATTATTATATACCCAATAAGAGTGTTTAATGCTTTATTTTCAAAAAAAAAAAAAAATGAAGGACCATTTGATTTACACGTACATAGATACTCGTAGTTATTATATTATATAGTCTTATCTCCTTCTCTTCTTCTTCTCCTTCGCCTTCATCCCAACAATTTGAGTTCGGCCATTCTCGTTCTGAATTTCCACTCGACCCGATCACCCACATCGTCCTCGCACACACCCGCCTTCCTCATATCATTCTCAATCGCATAAAACCACCTCTATTTTGGTCTTCTTCGCCCCTTCTTTCCTCCAACGTCCATTTTCATTAAAATTCATATATGCACACGGTAAAAACAATAAATAATTGTTAGTTTCCCAGTCATAGAGATAAACGTCAACATTAACAATATGTCTACTAGAATAATATATCCAAACATTTATAATACGTATTGTAATTAAAGATAGCAAAAATCGTTAGTATTTATCTCCTCGATCGGTTTTCGTTTTGTATTAATCATTAATTGATCTGTGCACCTTTTCGGTTTTTACTTAAAATACCTACTTATACAGATAATTCGATTAGGTACGTTTCGTTCGATTATTTATATATTTATTCCGTACGCGGCTTCTCTCAAATCAACGTTGCAACAATAGTTTATGAGCGATATAAATAATTGTATGGTTTCGTTCAACGGTGCAATAATGTTTCACTCGATTTGTGAAAATACGTATTTTTTTAAAGTCTGCTAGTACAGTCGGTTACAGTTGTATAGCTGAACCATTCAGCATGCGTAGTTAGGAAATTAGTGAAAACTAAATATTACTGCAAATCTTTACAACAGTTATAATTATTATTTTTGTAAAATAAGTAAACTGAGATAATTCACACGCATTGGTCACTTTGTTTAATTTAAAAAAAAAAAGTGCTAATCGAATGAGTTTTATTGTATTTTAATACGTACGTACATGTATGAGTGCATTTAATGCAACCGAAACATGAGAATTGGATTACATATATTATATTATATTTCTTTTCCAAACAATGTTGCGTGCTTAGTGTTCTTTTTCCCCGAAATTCTCGAGAACCTACTATAATTATTTTGGATTTCCGACGTATTACACATTATTTTGATAATTTTCAAATTACATACGTCTTAACACACTCTAAACTATGTATTTCTCGACGGTCGAAATGTTTTTTTTTTTTTTTGGTGTACAGAACCACGTGTTACACACATGTCTCTTAAGGATGTAAACTAAAAATAATTATGGTTGATCGGCGGCCAGGTTTATGAACAAATAAAAATATATATATATACATATCATGGGTAATGAAACCCTACGTTTCGCTTTTGGCTAAATCGGGTTATAATAAAATATTACCCCGGCATGCTTTGAAGTAAATTATATTATTTAACGACTGGCGGAATGGAAAATAATATCATTACTTATATTATATCTTCTGATAATTCAAATTTACTGGTCTGTAAAGGCGAGAGCACATCACGCACACGTAACACGAGATGAGGTTTATTCTCTCCACGACGATTTATCATTCGTTCAAAATTCGTTTTCGAATGGAATGAATACGCGATAAGTGATGTTTCCTATTTTATCCGAATAATAATTAAATCAAGTTCTTATCGATGGCAAATACTCTGTATACTTACTCTGTAATACTCTGTATTCTATAATCGATATTAATCAATATTGTAGGAGCTTAAGCCCTGCCATCCCCCCCCCCAAAAAAATGGGATTTTGAGGCTGTGGTTATTAGGTCACATATATCATAGCAATTACTTTTCGAAATTCTTATACGTATAAATGTACGTACAAAGTATTCTGAACTGCTTGTTAATTATCACTAAAACATCAGAGTAGATATTGTTTAGAATAATTTTCACAAAAATGAATTCATTCGTTTATTAGTTATTAATTAAGTTATTAATTTGAATACCATAAATGCAAAAACTAATATTATTATAATTCTTACATTTTTTTTTTCACGTTTCTTTAAATTATTATTATAATAAATTTCGTTTTATATATTTTATCACCGGTATACTATATTAAGTATATTTTTTTCGAACTAAATAATATTATAATACAATATTTGATACTGTAACTAATTTTCTATTATTTAAAAACTACGCGAACCACTGGATAATTATTTTCACATTAAACGTTATTAACTTTCATTGTGTATTGTGAAAATACGACCTGCAGAATATAATAAAGAACAATTATATATATATGTATTAAATTATAAATAATTTTTTTAAAATAATTTATATTAGTTGGGTACTTACCTTTCGAATTATTATATTATGAAAATACAAAAAGTAGTTTGGAATATTGTTAGGCATTACAATGTTATACTATCGACGATGTCTTATGGAAATAATTGAATCAATTAAATCATTTTTCTCGATTTTTTTTCCTTTTTTTATTAATTTGATAGCAGAGTGAGTAATGGTGAGTTTTGATTTCACTTAAGTGTTTATGCGCGTGTTATAATGTAGTTGACAAAGTGCTACGAAAATATGATGGAATCGTGACGGAAAATCGAACATCACTTTAAATACAGACAAGATTGCAATGGTGGACTAAAGGTTCATTTAAGGAAGAGCGCGAACTAGTATTATAAGTTAGATTTGTATAACCAATGTAGGTACTTCAAATACAATTCGAGGGGAGGGGTTCCAAAATTTATGAAATATATAAGTACTACACTCGTATTTTTACATCATTCAAACATCCACCATTGAACTCTTCCAACTCCCCCTCCGTGGCACGTCAATTGATCCGGGATATAATTTCCGGTGACATATTATGATCCGAATGATTCGGTTCGGTTTAATGAACCCTATTTCTTTCGAACTGGCCTTTTTTCCACGGTTTCACAAAACAAATATAAAAATGCTAGAAACCCTCTGCTATATTTATTATTTAATTACTCACTTGATTAGTTCCATTTAATATTTTTCACGTTTATTTACAAATAATAACTTAAATTATTATATTATTATAATATTATGATTATTATGGAGAACAATTACATTAATCGTTGTGTCTGTCACGTTTTAATAATTTTTATAGTTAACCTATAGTTTAAATTAACTCGTTTTTAACATCTTATTTTGTGTACATTTTGATCATGTTTTATTTTTTTTTTTTTTTTAGAGAAAAGTGAGAGGGCATACTAAATATTTTATGACCAGGCTATGAATTAAAATTATATTATTAAAAACAGTATTATATGGCGATCGTATATTATAATTAATTATTATATATATAGGTACCTATTCGTGTATGTGCAGTTTTTATTATTTTTTTAATTTACGATCGTGTATAATAATATCATTCAACTATTATAATCATAGCTACTCGGTATAAAAAAAAAAATCTGTAATAACATGAATTTCATCGTAAAAAATTCGAATTAATTAAAATATAGATATATATAATATAAAATACATATTATATAACCGGCTATTTACTATATACAATAGCCGGATTCTATCCGTTATATTTATTTACTGACCGTATGACAGAGACAATCGACTATATAGAACAAAACAAATTGATGATACAGTGATAAAAAAGCATTATTTAGATTTGTTAATATCGTAATGAGATAAAAAAGTATAAAAAGTAAAAATAGTGGTTAATAAAAAAACAGAAGTCGTTATAAAGTATATGTTTTAGAGTTTTAAATCCAGTGATTCTGTTTATGCGATTGTGTCAGGGGTCGTAGTGAATTATGGATGACTAATTATCTCATCCGTCCACGAATCCTCTGAAATTTCTCATGGAGCATTCCTGAGCGATTTACTTGACATTTTTTTACTGGGTTTCCGCAATCGTATTGATTGGCATTTTTAGTTCGACATTGAGTCCCATAAGAAGTATACAGTTACCACCGTTTATATGAGTATATATTAATGAGGCGATTACAAAATTGTATATTGATTAACCTATTATGAAATGTTTTTGTTCACGCTACGAATATTATTCATTTGTCACACAGCAAAAGTTTAATTTATCAAATGTATGCACAAATATAAACAGTCGCGTCTGCAGGTTACAATGTACGCATACATATATTATAATATTTATAAGTATAGTACGAGTAGGTACTCGTATAAATAATTTGTGATTGATTGCAAATATTTTTCATATTATTCACGATATAAACAAATATTTCACGGGTTAGTCGATAAAAATATGTCCTCTCGACACGTGATGGCTGCCGAACTTCAGTTATTTCATGCTCGTAGATTCGACTGTTATCTGTGTGGCATAACTCATTGTTTCGAGCGGTTTTCACGTTATTTAACAATAATATTGTTATCCGATTTATTAATAAGTAATTATAGTTTATAGCTTGTAACAAAATTAGGTTGTTTTTTTTTTTCTTTTTTCTTTTTATCATCGTCGGTAATTTCCGACTGCGATATCGCAGTGTATGTTTTTTGACGCGCGGTCGCCCGCCCCCTCGAGGGAAACCCGATCGGAATTCGGATTTTGCGCGCAGTGGGTACCTACCTATAACACACCTTGTTGCACAACGTTAATCAAAGAACGCCGGAGATCAAAAAACCCTCGGTAATTATATATGTAACCCATAACTATATACTACCGCAGAAGTATACGCGGCGCAATAATAATAATAATAATGACGATCGTACATTATTTTGTATTCTCCGCCGTATATTACCTATCCTTTAGCTACGCACGCCGAGAACCCCCCGCCGCGGCTGTTGGCCGCGCGCATCCCCCCCGGGTTGACCTTATAATAATATAATATCCGCGCGCTCGGAGAACTATGACATTTCGTATGTATAGCATATGCCTGTACGCAGTTACTAATTATATTACACCGCTATCGTGCATTATATACAGTTGGGTAACGAAGCAACTTTAAAGATCGAAGAGAACGGGCGGGAATCGAGGATGCGCGCGACCGGACGAGAGCTGTTCGATGAGAGCTAATGCGAAAAGCCTTAATGGAATCGCCCGTAGAGCGCGAAAAAACACCCGAACACGCTTGTTCTTACGGGTAAAACCACTGTTGCGGGTGGAAAGTTTGAGAAAATATACGACGGTATACGTATGGTAATTTAGTTTAGGCACAGGTACCTCTATTTACATTTAGCATTGCGTCATTTCCTTGTAGGTGACCCCGGAAACATCGAAAATAAAACCAACGTATCGTCATTATCGTTGTTGGTTTTTACCGATACAATGTGCCATTTTAACCAAACGAAAATGTCTATTTTGAGAAGAAAAAAAATTCTAGGGGAATGTACTGTAGAAAATTTCGAAAAATGTTCCAAGAAATGGGAATTCCGCGTTTTTTAAGATATATACAGTGGTATGGACAAATTTGAACATTTTTATGTGACCAGAGACAAAATACATCTTATAGAAAAATTCTGTAATTCGCTATACTCGTAGGAATCTAACATATATGGTATTATATTGTGAATTATGAATAGTTTAAACTGTTTTTATTGTAAAGCTCCGTTATTAGAATTTTGTTATCTGCCGATTCAATATTTTTTGCTATTTCTTTAGTCGATTTTTCAAGGAAACACGGTCCGCGTTTTATACGAAACAATTTTTTTATACTCACGCGATAAAAATTGTTATCCTCACGCACTAGTATACATTTCATACTTTTCTAAAAATTAGTTTCGCGTCATCAAACGGTTCCGCGTCCTGTAGTCGCAGCAGCCGAGTAAAACGATCGACTTATAATCAGGTTTTCTAATATTATACGCCTATATTTATCAATGTTTATAGATTTATATTTTAACGCGAAATCCTCGGGACATTTTAAATTGCCGGATAATACGCCACCTCAATTTCGGAAGTAGATTAATAAATATTTTTCTTCTTGGTGTTGGTCTAAAATAATACGGTGATAAAAAAAAAAAAAAAACAGTAACGATGGTAGTGCCTGCGTAGGAAAATATTGGTCGATTCAATTTATACGCATTTTCAGATACCGTAACGCCACAGAAAATATAGGTTAAACCGATGAACTTGAAGTCATTTTGTATTGCGCTTACCGCCCGTGTGTTCCGTAGAACGAGTTTGGTCACTTTCTCAGTCTCTCCGCGCTATTATGTATATGAATTAAATTGTATCTTCAAAGACACAAATAATTGTCTTTATTGTAAAAGTAATAAACGTAAAAACTTTAAATCCGCTGCCATATTTTCTCGTTTTTCCTACGTTTTTTCTCGGTTTTCGCTATTTACTATGAAAATCTCCGGTAAAATCAAAAATGACCTCTATAAAGTACCGTTCCAGTCAAATTTCCTTTCAGAAAAAATGCTACACTTGAAAATTGAAGCAAAATCTCTGGTAGAAATGTTGTTTAAAGAAAAAAAATATAAACATTATTATTAAACCAATACATTATCCACACTCCGCACAGAATCTAAGATATATTTAAACCGGGGAGGAGGCTCGGGGTTTTGATTATGGTGGATACATTTTGTTTCCCTCCCCCCTAGATTTTTATCCAATTACGCCACTGTTGATAGAATCGTTAAGTTAAGAATCACATTTTGATAAACTTATACTTATATATATATATATATATATATATATAGTTATTTTTTTGACCAATCAATTATAATACGGAAGTACACATAAATATCCATTCTAATGATGAGTTGATTATAGCGAAAAAGTTAACGAAGTCTAATCGTTTTTCCAAACAGAAATCGGACTACAGGAAGTTTATTATTTTACTCCAGATTATATTGGTCTGTTAATGTACGAAAAGACGGATCGATGTCAACCATCATAACTACACGGTCTCGAATTTTTATTCACGCGCGAACGAGTATCGGAACTCGAAAAAATTATTAATAAAAATACCTACTTAACTATAATTATAGGTGTATTATCTTTGTGCCGCATATACAATTTAATTTGTAGTACCTATATAATAAATTGCATCACGCGTTTTATATCGTAAATGAAAATCATACATGAGTATCAATATATATATATATAGGTAGGTATACTGAATTGCAGTGATTAAAATTATTATTGTCTGTATAATATAACTGCTATGCAAATAAAACGGGGACTCGTATTGAAATAACGTATCGAATAATAATAATAATCGTACGTTTAGGTATAGATAAAATATTAAAATTAAAACATTTTGCAACGCATATTAGTAATTTTTTTTTAAATTTGTGCATATATATATATATATCGTTGATAATACTAATACACTATAAAAGCGAACGTGTGCCCGAAGGCTCTTACGATATTTACCTACGTATGAATACAATTACCGCACACAATATAGTTAACTTTTAAAGCGAATACACAATAAATAATTTAAATCATTTTTTAAACATTTTCATTGGCATATTATATATCATATATATCCGATTACAGCAATCCGACCGACTTTGCTATTCGATCTGGTGATATTTTCGATAAGATATCGTTTAAAAAAAAAAAAAAAAAAAAACTACCCGATAAATACTCTGTAATATTACATTATAATTTCAAGGACGATAATCCGAATTGAATACTGTGCGCGGTTAAACAAACAGGGTGATTCGTTAATATAATGTTCGATTTTTGATTTTTTTTTTTTTTTTTTCGTGTCGGAGTATAATAGAAAGTCTTTAAAAACTATTAAAACGTCGGACACGGTTAATGAATCACCTCGCGCGCGCGTATAGTGTAATGATTTGAAAGTTGAACACACCTCAGCATCATATAGCTATAGCTGCGGTGTGTACATAAAATATTTTAATAAACACAAATTATACATCATATTGTGATTAATATCGAACGGCGGCGTTATTTACGATATTACGACTATTTTTTGATGATAGCAAAGTCCTAATTAAAGATTAATTTTATCTCGTTTGTAGCTGTGTATTTTATTATTATAGCCGTGGTTTTGTGTTACATATTTTTACTTTTATCTTATCTAGCTCGACGAATGAGAAATAACTTTTCTGAGCCAAATAATTGAATCATCTAGATAAATCTTATTTTACGTATTTATTAAAAATAATAGGCAAACTATTTAATGTATATTAGTATTATATGGTTTTATAAATTAATTAAATTAGCTACATTACTCGCGAAAATTCTATGCGAAATCTACGTGTATATCATATATTATTATGGTACACTTACTTTTAGCACTTATTGTATGGGTGACGCACAAAAATATCTTTTCTTTTTTATCTAAATAAATTTTCCTGGGTATTTTATCTTCATCGTCTAGATAATTACTTTAACAATCTTTTATCTCTTATATAATCTCTTATCTTTATCTAGATATTTTAAAATCTATATCTTTATGCGACACTGATTTCAGGCCATGGAGACTGACGTAAACCAAGACTTCGAAGACTATTGGAACGAATACAAGATCATCCAAGAAACGAGGCAACTCGACAGTTACCTGGACGAAGAATGTCCGCCAGAACAAGAATTTGCCGTCGCTCATTTGCCGGAAGGCGCGGTGGAAGCCGATTGGTTATCGTCCGCCGGCCTGTCGTTCCTGACCGAAGCATTCGAAAACGGATGTGAAGTCCCAGACTCGGAACTCGAACCCGCCATTAGGCACCTCTCCACCAGACAAGCGGACGCCGTCAGATTGAGAGTACACTCGCTCAATCACACGGTCCGACAAAGAGGTAGACAACTAAAGGCGAGGCATAAAAAACCCGACATCAGGGACGTTTTCCGCGACTTCGAAGTGAGTTGAATAGTGTTATATTAGTTTGTTCTGTTGTATATTCCTGCAGGGACTACGTGTAATGCGTTAAAAGGACGTCATACCCGCGTGTGCTGTATCCGTTTAATAACTGCGTGACATGGCAAATTTTAAAATAATTATCTATTTCGTATCATCGTTTTGTTTCGTAATTTTAGTTTTTATCGATATATGAGTGTTTGGAATATCAAGGTTTAAAAATGATATCACACAAATAATGTTCTCATATTAATGTTTGATAAAATGTCAATTCGCTTCTAATATTGAAACTAATAGCACAGAATTGTCCCTGCGAAGATTTGCTATGCCGCGTGGTTGTAACACGGAGACAGCACATGCGGGTATAATGTCCTCTTAGCCTAACGCGAGATGGTTATTTTAACAGAAGATTACGGGTTTAATCATCTCTATCTATGATATATTATTACAATCATATTGAATCGTTTTTATCAGGTATAAGATAATAAAGTTTAAGTTGAATTTTCTCCGAAAATAGAGACCGTTTGCACTGCAATACGTCTACCATATATATTTCTCCAGCTACTTTTGGACCAAATGAACTCAAACTCGAGAATTCTAATTGATTTACAGGCAGATAGGAGTGATACAATTTTAATTTTACCGTGTTGTTGCGGGAAAGAGATGTTTTTTTTTAGCTTTGTACTCCTTTAAAGACTTCTCGCCACAAATTAAGCCAGAGGAATGAAATAGCGTATATATACATGGCGTTGGTATCAATAATGTGCCTTTTGAGTAGAGTTTCTACTTTTAACCGTCGCCCTTAAAATTTTTATGAGCCAATTTCACCGTCTTTTGGAAATAGAATAATTTTAGTACATATATAAGTATACTGTAGTATCATATTATAATTTCGGTTATTTATTGTCCCGCAAAGAATATTTCCGTAATACAAAATAGACGGAGGTAAATTCGACTTGAGTGAAGGAACTCTGTTGCTCATCACGGGTGTTCAATTGATTTATGGAGATTATAATTTATTATGCATTTGAGAAAATTCGATAACATGTATTGTGTAAAGGTGTACAATCAAACATTTCAAACACGCGAGACAACAGGGTGAAGTTATATATAATTTTGTTTAGAATTATATTTTGATGTACAATTTTCGGTGTTCGGCGGCCGCACTAAACGCTATCATAATTCACGTTTCTTTTTCCTATAATATTATAACCGTAACATATAAAACATGACACCGGATAATCCTTATTATTAAACCTTAACACAATATGCGCACGATAATGGTTTTTGATAACGCGTATAATATTATTTTTAATACATAATACCGGCTGTTAGCGTCTATATTATATTATTATATTTTTGTGAACGAAAGATTATAAGGAAATTAGAATATAGGTAGGACACCTATAGGTATCTATATTATAATATAGATTATATAAGATTACAGAATATTATGTATTATTACCTATGCGCGTATAATAGTAGTTATTCATAACGTACCCAGACGAGAATAGTATTTAAAAAACTCGTACCTGACGGAATTGTTTCATATTTTGTGTACCTACACGCCTTTTACCTGTATTTCACATTTCGAATATTACCTATTCGGATTTATAATACGTTACGTTATACGCCATACCGAGGTGTCCGCCTAAAAATATATACGTAAAGCGACACAATATTACAATGTTCGTATTGGATAAGCTGTTGCCGAGCGTTAAATTATTTCCGAGCGCGATGTTGAGGTGTAACCGTATACCTAGTTGGAACCACAAAACATTTAATACATATCAAAAATAAATCGGATTAGTGTATATAATATGATTTATAGTCGAATAAATTACATACAATGTACTTACCTTCTAATTTTTTTCTGTTTTTGTTATGAGCATATTATACAATAAAAATAACATGTATTTATTTATATTTTTGTTGATACTTAGAATTACTATTACATTATATTATCCAGCAGCTATACATCTCTAATAATATTTCAAACTCGTTATAGATAGTGATAAAAACTACATGTGCGGTGGGGGAAGGAGTAGAACCCCCCCGGGGGTCACTGCAACCGGATATTGTTAGTTGTCAAGAAATTGATAAGAGGCTAGATACAATATTTCACTGGTGCCAACTGTTTCCTTTGAAAATATCATAGTACCATCATTTTGTATTATGGTCCTTGTAGATTTTTCGACTTTCCTACTTCAAAATGTGACCTGCTGACGTGATTTTTCCCATTTCGTTCCCTCCTTCATGTTCTACCACTAAAAGTTTTAGGTTTCAAATGTTCACATAAGACCCATAATTACGAGCTGTAGATAGAGAGTCAATATTATATAGACTCTCTAGCTGTAAATATTAAATATGTTCGGATTTAATTTTTTTTTTTCGAATTCGGTTTTCTGTAGCCGCTGTGGCTACAGTTCCCTTATCATTTTTCTGACAACTAGGTATAAAGGTCTCTACTGTAACATTATGGCACTATGGTTTCTAAACTAAAACCGGCGGCCGTCTTCATATTCGTTCCCAATAATTCTGGCGACCTATAAACAATTAAGATTATAATACCTAACAGTTTACCAAAATCACTTATTTTCGTCTGTAAAAATAATACAACACCGCGGAGTTTTTATCGCCGCGGTTAAATTCCCACTATAATAAATACACTGCTGCAAACCCGCAGTATGTAATATACGCGATGGTACGATACCGTAATTTCGGTTGATTCGCTATCACGCAATAATTTTTATCGAGTCGGTAAATTTTTTTGTAATTTTTATAATATTAGGCGCGATACAGGCGGTATTAAAAAATATCGTGTTTCAGTTTTTAACTGTAATTTCGTACCCAGATCGTGTTATTATTTTCATTACATGAGTATTTATACTAATCCGATGACGTGACGCGCGTTGTCCGCGTTATTGTTTCAGAGTTTGAGTTCTAGCTCCAGATCGAGAAGCGCGACGCCGGATTCGGACTCGAACAGTCCGCCCATGTCGTGGTCTCAAACAGAAATAGCAGTGCCCGCGCCGTCGTTATTACCAAAGTGAGTAGACGAAATTTTCGAATTTTTTTTTACACGCGTACAGGTTATTGACCCCTCCGCGCGAGAATCGCAAAGAAAGAATTGCATCATAACGTTTTGTATGTATCGTACCTGCCCAACCTGCAATACAGTACAAACGTCGAATAAAAACAAATCGTACGTCTCCTAATAATAGATTAGGTATTGATAATATAATAAAGGCACGAATACAATAAAATAATAACAATAATGATAAAAAAAAACACAAAAACACGCACACGAGACGCGCACACGAGACGCGCAAAATAGCGAATTAATTAGGTATATACCCGTGCACTGGTTATTGTGCGGCGTTTCAGTGATAATAAAACCGCCGCCGCCGCCGTGCCGGTATAGAAACGGTGTGCGAAACGAGTGATGTCTAATGAAAAATTATGGTACAATTGATAAAAAAAATTAAAATTAAAAAAAAAAAAAAAAAAACCCAGAAGTCTTCCATCACACCGCGCGCGTGTCAATCGATTACGGTGCGTTATTATTATTGTTACGCTAATACGGTTTCGATATAGCGTATTATAATGGTTTGTACAAACGGTTCGGCTTTGTTTATTGGCGATAGTCATTAATCAAACGCAATTAAGAATAACATATTAAATGTTCGTGTGTATAGCTATTAAATACGCTTAGAAAAAAAAAAAAAATGTATTCACGAACCGTAACTGGCGCGCAACATAGGTGCCTGCCTATCCGTTTATTCTGTGTGTATATTATTATCAGTTCTTCTGCAGTTTTCAATTTAAGGATCGGTTCCCATGGTTCTCGCTCGTCCTCGACCTTCCGTTTCGTTTATCGGCATGAATAATTACATTCTTCGGTCTGGTCCACGTACGTATTATATTATTACAACCGCGGTCTTCGTGCGAGTGTGATGGTTTTCTCTTCTACCGCCCCCTTCTAAGATTAATCGCGGTTTAGTCGTCACCACCCTCCGCGATGGTGTGTCTGAAAATACGATTGATTTCGTTTCCCCAACCCCCCCCCCCCCCCCAAAAAAAGTATTTTTCCTCGACAATCATCTACTTTCCGAAACTTCTTCATTTAGCGATTCAATCGGTTTCGTATCTATCTGCAACACGACATTCCGAACGCCTACCTGCTGTCTGAATTATTCCGGTAGATCGTTCTTGACGCGATTTTTCCGACAAAGTCGCGGTCTTCCGATCGGTCTTTTGTCTCGCGGATTTTCGGGTATCGCTTTTATGACCATCGTACACGTCTTGTTTACTGCATACATATTCCAGCTTGTTTCCCGCAATCTCGTTTTCAACGCTTAAACGGCTTCTCTCATCCCGCGCCGTTGTGCTTTTTCTTCCATCCGTGCGTTTACGTTCCTGTCCGTCTTAACCACGTCCCTTTCGAAAACACGTATTGTCGATTCTTTAGACGCGTGTACCTTTTTCTAATATTTTGTGTTTGGCGCGCGCATAATAATATAATAACCGTACTTTTTTATACACATAACACGCGGATTTGCTAAACTGCATTATTCGTTCGATGCGAGTTTTATGATTCTGATCGCCTCCATTATAGTGTAGTTTTACGCGTGTAGGTAGGCGTTTAACTCTCGCGACGTTACAGTTTGTTCTAAACGATTATTTATGCACATCAAACATTTCTCCGCATAATATTATGAGTCCGTCCAATGTTTTAAAAACGTTCGGTTTTGCTGAAAATATCTAATCTATGTTTTTTTTTTCTCTCTCTTTACGGTACTTTAAATAATAATAATATTTATTGAACGCGATATAATAATATTATACTACTAGCTTATTGTCCACTTTAGAATTCGTCGCACGAAAAACCGCTTGGTATGCTATATAGTTATACCGTCCAAAAAAACAATTATAGCACATATCACGTCATCGTGTTTTGATAACCGTTATGAGTTTCTAAAAAAAAAAAAAAAAACCAAACAAACAAACAATAAAAATAGCAATATCCATAATTTATACAAAAAGAAACAAGAAACATCATTCCTCGCACTATAAACAATTATAATATTGATTACGAAATTTAAAAAAAAAAAAAATGTAGAATTATTAGTTTTATACACAGGTTTAAAAATTTTAATTTTTTTTGGTTCTAAATTTAGAATTTATTTTAGCCAAACGCTTTTCGTAAAGTACTATAAATATTCAAATACGGCATTTTAAACGGAATATTTTAATGTTGGTACTTGTTTTCCGCATATCTTAGAATAATTAGACTTATAGTGGGAATTTTGTTCACCTTAGTTGTGATTTCTCGGAATAAAATAAAATGACTCGGTAACCATAATAATATGCTAATATAAAGTTTTATTTCAATAATCTGACGAAAATATCAGATAATTGTATTTAAACGAATTACAATAATTTTCACCGCGAAATTTCCAATTTTTTCTAGGGTATGTTTTTATGTATTTATGCATTTTTATGTAACTTGTATTCAAATACATTTGCATAATTGTCCAGATTTATGCATATATCCGCAAGCATATAGTCGTTTAGTACTTATTAAATTCACAACCTTGCATCAGGCAGTAACCTTAACTTCTTCTTTCATGCGTCACAACCTGCATAGCTTGGAACCTTTATGATTTTTTTCAGTTTCAGTTCCAATTTGGTATTTTAAAGAAAAATGTCAGTTCCGATTATTAAGATTACAAAATGATAGTTTCGGTTCTGGTACTGGTAAACACCGGTATTAAGAGGTATATTTTTTTCCAAAAGTAAAAAAAAAAAATCAAGTATAACATCATACTACCTAAATGTTACGACGATTATTTTTGGTTATAGGTATTGAAAAAATCCATTATCTATAATGAGCGTATTAAATTTTTATCGAAATTAATATTTGTTTAATGCAGTGTAAATTTAATTTTAAAATAACAAAACTACTTTTTTAAATTTTATTTTTCCTATAAGTATTGAAGTCACGATTTAGTAAATAAAAATATGACACTTTGATTGTAGCGCAATATTATGTTCGTATAAATACATAATATACATAATCGAGTTTTACATTTGATTTGATAATTTTGATTACAAATGACAACCATGTCACAGCCGTCACAACGTCCAATAATCATTGTATTCTCCGTACGTTCGCAAAGTGTTATAGTTATCTTCGGTATATAGGTACTCCCGCAGTTATCTCCCGGATCTCTTTGTTTTATCCCTCACCAAAGAAAAAAATTGTCCCTTAAATCCGATTTTTTGATCGAAAAATTCTGTGATGGTGATGTTGGGTGTGCAAAACGAAACAGAATGACGAGCACTATATGTATATGTAGAAGTGAATGCGTCGAGGCGGTCGTTCTGCAATGACGTGATTCGTTATTATATGATGGGTGTACCTACCAATAGTAATATAATATACCGACTTTTCAGTTGCCTACGTGTAATATCGTCCGATCACGATGCCAAAGTTAATATAAAATTGGCCGGCCGGCGCACACAATTATATTATTATAACTGTGCACCCGATGAATTTCGTCGTGCGTGTAATATTAGGTGTATATAGGAGGGCAGTCAGGTATACAGGGTGATCAACATAACGTTAGACACTCTTTATCTCGGAAAATTTTGACTTTTTTCGCAATTTGTTTTCCAGAACACTCGAGAAACAAACAGATCTAAAATGCTACATTTTACCGTTATTTTTTGTCACACTTATTTTTGGGAGTGATACCACTATCCGTTTTTGATTTTCAAATAGCGACCTTTATTAAAAATTCCATAAATCGATGAAGTTTTAGTTTAAATAAAGTATATCGATTTTGCGGTTTTTCAGCAAGAGGAGAATAGTGGAACACTGTTCAAACGCCGCGCGCCGTGCCGCCACACGGATGATTCGTCACTACTTTTCTCCTGCCCACACTCAAAAGCGGAATATCTCATTAACGTGTATTTTATATGTTGCTATTCGAAAATGAAAAATGGATAATGGTTTCACTCCCGAAAATAAGGGCGACCAAAAAATAACAGAAATGTAACATTTTAAGAGCGTCGCTTGATTCTTGAACGTTACGAAAATAAAAAAAAAATCGAAAAACGTTAATATTTTCCGACGTGATACGTGTCTGACGTTATATTGATCGCCCTGTATATGTACGCCAGAAATATATTATGTATATTATATAATAGCAGGTGTATAATATATACGCCGGAACGTCCAGCGTAAACGATCAAACACAATGATGATAACAATAATAATTACCGTATACAAAAGACGGAAAATAACACACGAGCCGTTCGGATACTAATTTCGTCGATAATAATCGGCCAAATGGACAAGATATATAGGTATGCAGTCACAGTGCATCGGTTGAATACGACCGCGAAACTACCTGTGCTGTATAGCCATATACTCGGGTGGAACCGTACGACGGTATTAGCTGCGTACGGGCGTGCCCGAAACACAATTGATTCGAGTTTAGAATACTTATTATATTATGATTTTAATAAATTCGTGCGTAGGTACGAGTAAAATCGCAGAATACATAAATCGGCGGCTCCCGAATACCGTCCCGAGTATTTGGTGAATCAGTCCCGAAGGAGGTGGAGCAGTAACGTCTGAATTCCGTCCCCTTTTTTTTTTTTCAATCTAATAACTATGAGTATTAACTAGTAACATGTCTTTATTTCTTCCAGGCTTAGGACCGGCCGCTGAGCTGGAATGTTTAATTTTTTTTTTCACGGGCTAAAAATACCCCGTATGTGACCTGTGTCAATTACAAACACATGTCTAATTTTTTCTTTTAAAACAAAAACGACAAAAAAGTTTCGAGTAATTATATCACTACAGTGATAGCAAGAACAAAATTAAAATGTAGCTGCTTCACTCTCGGGACCAAATTCGGGCATCAAATTTTGTGTTACAGGAAGTTCGGGACGGAATCCAATAAAATTAAAGCAATTTAATCGCGTATAATAAGGTTTATACATATATTATAAATACCATAAAAAAAAACCTGTTAAAGTGAAAAAAAAAAAAACAAGCTCAAAACGAGGATTCCATTCTTGGTGAAAGACAATACACTGAATTTGTAAATTCATTAACTTGTAAACATTAACAGTGTTAAATAAATGTATATTATTAAGTTAAAAAGAAAAAGATATATTACTTTCTATAAGAAAAAAGACATCAAAATTTGCCAAGTTTTTTTTAATTTTCTCAATTCTGAATTTAATTATTCTCCTATATCGTCTCCCTGTACGTTTCTTTTTTTATTTTTATCATTTACCGGCATTGTACCTATTTTGCCACAAAATCGCTATTAAATGCTTGGTGGGTGTTTTTGAAGATTTTATCGTCCAGCAATGAAGATGCGTTAAATATGTGGATGTAGAGAAAGCAAAACATATTTGTAGAGAAACTGTTTTAAAAATTACGCGATTGATATCGCCAAATTTATTACACATAGAAGGATACATGTCATAAGTACGTATACAAATCTCTTGTTATCGGCGAATTTGATTATCGGAGTCCGTAAATGTCTAATGACACCCCTACGTTTATTCTTGTTAAACAAAGTATTAGTATTCGTATTTTTCCCCAAAAAAATGTGCACGTTAATTGCCAGTTTTTCCCATTTATTAAGTAACCAACAAAGAAAATCAAAAATATCAAAAATATTACAATGAAGTTGATTGGAGTAAGATTTATGGTAGCAAAATTACTTACAGACACAAAAAAAGCACACACGTCATAGTTAAACCAAACACATTCCTCACTTTGTTCAGAATCTAAAATACTATTTTTGATCGCCGTTATTTCCTTGAAAGTGGTTCGGAAATACGGTAGTGAGTTTTTGATTTTGTATATTGTTTTCAAATCGAAATAAACCAAACGCATAAATACTTATTTTAGATTCTGAGTGTAGCGAAAATTGTATTGGTTTTACAAAGATGTTTATTTTTTTTATTTTTATATACTGTGTACGAAAATTCTACCAAAAAGCTTACTCCGATGTATACGAAATAAGAAATACTCTTTTCTGAAAGGAAATTTTCTCGGGGTAGTACTTTAGAGAGGTTATTGTCGATTTTCTCATGAGTTTTTCCAATAAATGGGAAAAACCGAAAAAAACAGAAAAATAGGTAAAATATTAAACAAATATTATTCAAGAAAATATATAATGCCTGTTTAATTGTTTAATATTTTACGATAATAAGACATATATGTTGTAGACAATGCATCACTATCAACTGAACTCCGCTCAGAATCGTTTTGTCGTAAGCAATGGCTTATCGTTGCTGAAGTATGTCCGTCTCTTTTCTTTTTTTAAATTAAATGCGAGTATACACAAGGTGTAATCGTGTTCATTAATTTCCAATTGACATTTTCGAATGTGTACGAAATATACACGTCCCACGGTCTTTGTCGTTAGAACTCCGCATGTATGGATTTTTTAAGATTTTAAGGTTTTAATTTTAATTTTCTTTAACTTGGCGCGTAAATTCCTACTAAAATCGGCTATTGCATAGGCGACGGAAGGAAAACAATAATATTATTATAAATTATAACAATAACATGATGTGTAATGCGGCGGCGGCGGTAAACCTCTTACCGAATATACCTATGGGTAACAATAAATAGTCATTGTTTATGACGTAATGTCAGTTCGCCTATTACGGTGGCGCCGAGTGGACGTGCTTACCTATTGTTAAAACAATTAAACACTAATGGGAAGTAGCCGGTACCTGTTTAGTACGGGTACTCCCATGAAACGTATTTTGTTGGTAATTGTTTGTCGATTTATTACCGGTAAAAAACGCTCAAAGTGGCGGCGACGGGTCGGTTGTAAAGACGAGCGTGTTACAATAATTCCACTCTACAACAAAACACAATTATTCGTATTTTTCACTTTACATAATGAGAATATTATCATCATTATCATTTTACGCCCATGTTATAATACCTATGTCCACTCTATTGTCCGAGACAAACTGGATAATTGTTATTTTGTTTACGTATGCGTCACGGTGGAAAATATCGAACGCTCGAGATTTTCGTTGTTTTCGACGACTATTTCAATAATAATGAAACCAATTATGCAGATCGTATAGTGATTATAGGTATATTATGGTATTAAGTTTTACCTATAACTATTATGATCAGGACTTGTTAAAATTGTAATTTTTAAAAAAAAAAAAAAAACATAAGAGGACGCCAGACCGACATCTCCTTTCTCCGTCTTACAAACGCGAGACATAGCTAATTTATGTTCAGTAGGACACATTTTGTGCCGTTGATTTTAATATTAAAGCGAATTGACCTATTGCCAAAATTAAAGGTAATAAGATTATATGCGCTCTAACGTTGATGATTTTTCGATATTTTTATTTTTAAGCAAAATATAAATATTTTTAAATTGTGATATTTAACATACTCATGTCTCATTAAAAAAATAAAAATATCGAAAAATCATCAACGCTAGGACATACAATATAATCTTCTTACCTTTAAGTTTGGTGATAAGTTTATTTGCTTTAATATTAAAACTAACGGCACAAAATGTATTTGAACGCAAATTTGCTACGTCTTGCGTTTGTCTGACGGAGACAGTAGATGTCGGTGTGGCGTCCTCTTAAGAACAATGATATTGTACTCTTACAAACGCTTAAAATTCACACCATAAATGGTAAAATATGCCGGAAACGTTTATTAAAATGTGAAAAAAAAATCATTTATTATTGTAATAAATTTAATTTTTCTTTTAAATAACAATATTAAGAATAAAATAGAAAATACGGTAACAAAACTTCAAAATACGTAACCAAAAATGGCGAATTTTACTTTTCGTGGGTTATCTGTGAAAGATTTATTCAGATAACTTACTTAAGCTTCTCTATATAGTACGTATCAAAACAACTAAGGAAATGCTACAAGATCATCGTGCTCGTTGCTACGATATTGTAATTTTTTACGATTGTAGGATTTTATCGGAACATATCCGCCGAATCTGTTCTGCAAACTGCAGCGAAACAAGATTTCCAATGCAAAACCCGCGTAATAAAATATTTGTGTGTACTTTTTTTTCTTTTTTTTTTTTTATCGATAGGGCGTGCTTATTATATATTATAAATTATGTATAGCGCAACTAGAGCTATTAATTCGCGTGTAAACGTAGAGTATACCCCGCGATTTAACCGTATAAATAAAAAATACCGTTTGCGCGTTTTCTCTAATACCTATTCCATCCTCGTGTTTCGCAACGAAACGTTCCCGTCGCGTCGGTGATTTTTGTTCGTATTTAATATTCACAGACGCGCGTTTAAAAAAAAAAAAAAAAATGTGTGTTTGCGCGTTTAAACCCAGAGATCACATATACACGCGCGCGCACACACACACACACACACACAAACAAATTATATAAATATTACACAACGATCGATGGTCTAAATCGATCTCAGGCGCAGATAAGGTATCTGAATACCGCGGTTACACGCGTGAGTGCTCTCTCCGTGTTACGAACACGGGACATATCAAATTTGCGTTAAGCCGGGACAATTTTGCGCCGTCAATTTTCGATACCCGAGTGAATTGACCTGTTATCAAAACTTAAAGATAAGAACGCATTGTCCGCGGCAACGTTGGCGAGATATTTGTATTTACAAGCGACGCGTGCATGTAAACATTGTACCGCGATATATTTCGCACGCTATCGTATCTCGCTCGAAAATATCGAAAAAATAGCGCCTACGTTGCACGGATAGTATTGTTCTTATCATTGTGTTTGGCAATCGGTAATTTCGCTCCGTAATCAAAACTAACTAACGTTATCAAACCTTTGCAAAACGGAGACGACCATACGCACACGCGCGTATTACGTCCACTTAACGCGCCTGTTTACCGCGGCCGATCTCGGATCGAGGTGTCGCGCGCTGCGCCGGCCCTCCTACGGTCGCCGCCGCTGCGTTCGGGGACCGCTTTTTATGCCGTTCCGAACATGCTTTTCATCCGTTCCGAAGCTAATAACGTTAATAGTAATACACACGGCGGCATTGGTTCAATGTGCCGACACACGCTATAATAGTAAAATAATATTTTACCGCAGGAATGCCGCCGCGTGTACGTTTTAATTACCTGTGTATATACAGGCCTAACCGACCGGACCCACGTTGCGCCTAAATAAACCAAAGTGGCGGTAACTTTGACGATATTGTTACGCGACTCTCCGGGGAGCGGATTTTTTTAATTTATTTTTTTCGGCGGCGGGAAGATGGGGGAGGGGAGGAATGCGAGGACGATGCGAAACTGTCCAGTGTTTTGCAAAAGTCTTCTTTAAAATTATCATAGACAAGTTGACAGATAACGCGTTAATAATGCGTCTATTGATAATTGATAAAACTGACCGAATTTCATTTGGATAAAATAATAAAATAATCTCGTCGTTATCCAAACACAAAACGTATAATTTATATTTTAAAGATTTTCACGAAATTTAAACCTTGTGATGCGATGTCTAATACCTATTGCGTTTTGAATGCAAAATATTGCAGTATAATTTGTAAGTTAAATTTGAAATTGAAAACCACTTAAAATCTCTAAAATTTACATTACGGGAAGAATTCAAAATACATATTATATCCTAGAAGAAAATCGACTAAGTAGCTAGGATGCAAAACCTGAACTTACCCCAGAACGCTTGAATTCCTAACTACACAACTGCTTTTTAACGATACAGTTTCACTATTGACTTTTCGCATTTTTCTTGGCTAAGTATAATATTAAAGAGAGGAATACATCCTATACGTAGATTGTACATGGGATAAATTTGATTGTTGTTAAATTGCGTCTAATTGTGTTTATAAGTGATAAACGCAGATTCTAAGAGATCTTCGACATGATAAATATAACTCATTAAAAACCTTTATTTGTATCCGTCCAACGGTCCGTTCCTAAAGATTAATGTAGTAGGAACACAGATATAGATAGTATACTAGATTACTAACTGCTATACACTGTCCGTATAACTGTTTGAAACGGACGGCTTAATTAAATTGTGAATAGAAACTTTACTTCACCAGTTAGCAATCTAATTTATTGTATACAAGTATATCAGTGAATAAGAATAGCCGACCATAACTACTCCGATTTTTAGATAGGATATAAATGTATCAGCCCCTTACGTTCTATTGGGAGACCAAGATATATTATTGTAAGACTGCAGTGCAATTAGCGGCTTTCTCAAGGGAGGTTATGCGAGCGATACATCACCCCCCGACGAGGACTAGAACCCAGTCACCCAGACCTTTTTTTTCTATTTTGCAATTATTTCTTGTCACATACAATACGAAATGCAAAATATCAAATGCGTATAACATGGCACATTATCAATATACCTGTTCATTTATTATTAATATTAAATGTTAATAAAATCGTGCGATAGGTAAAGCGTATAATATATTAGTTAAGATTTTTTTTTCCACGGCATTTTGATTAAATATTAATATCACTCCCCAACCCCCACCCCCAAAGAAAGATCATGGTTACGTCATCGGGTGTAAGACATGAGATATTAAATAGCTGTCACACGTTTCGGTCGTTAATGGTTCAGTGGTAAGTGCTTGCCGAGTCCAAAAATAACGTAGCACGTGACGCAGCTTTAACGGTATATTTTATCTTATTCCGGAATAATGATGGCCGGCGAGTGCTGCAACGACGTCCCCTTATATGAAGAGACGATGACTGCAACAAGAAACTTTCGGTCGAACGCATTATATTCCACAGTTAATGCACTCTCGTCTACCGAGTAATAGTATTTTATTATTTCCGTTGATAATAAGTATAATATACGGTGGAATACACGCCGGTTTTCTAGATTCTTATATTTATTATCCGGTTTTCTTTTTGTTACGTCAGTGGTACCCAACCGGTCAGTGGCGCACACGTTATGGGTCAACGGGGTCAGTCGACCCTCTAAAAATATTGAGTGGGTGAGTGGTCGTCGATCGTTGTTATAGCCTTATAGGCTGGTGACGGTGAATATTATTATACATTTTTTTTAGGATGGGAATAGGATCTTAAGTGCCCAAATGGTCTATATTGAAGTTGATTTGCTAATAGTTGGTGGATAGTAGTGCTAATAGTTCGACCCATGTTGGTAAGATTGATTGTGTACCACTGCAACCGGTGGTCTGAGGGCCTGTCATCGGTGGTCCACTGAGCAATTTCACTTATACTACTTCGGGGAATTCACTCACGTTATATCCGTATATTTTTTATATGATATTTGTCCGAGCAAGCATTTTTGAGTCTGATCACAGCAAAAAAATAACCAGGGGAGTCGATTGGACACTAACAACAAAAAGCGTATAGCATTGAGCAACAGTATTCTTCTCAGAATTTCAAAATTTGTTAAGGAAAGCAATGCTCAGAAATCACCCGTTGAAAGTTTTCCAAGTGGTCTGTATATGCCGTCCAAAAAGTTGAGAAACACTGTATTACACGATGAAAATTTACTCGTCCGATTTTAGTAGATACCTACTGTATACCTATAGTTTATGTTGGTTTTTTTTTTTTTGTCGACAAGTACTTAAAATAATATAAGTAATGATATCTGCTTTCCGTATGTTTCCCTGTATATCTTTCCAAGGTTCTCTCGTAATTACGCGCGCGCTCGCTCGCTCGTGTTCCCGTATATAAAACGTACGGGCTCTCTCGCACCATCAGTGCGCGCGCGCGTTTAAGTACGTTTTTATTATTATCATTTTTTTTTTTCACTTCTAAGCGTGTAGAGTACGGCGAATTTTCCCACCAGCCAAGGTTAGAGGAGCGTTAATAAGCCACGGACACGACGAAACAATAGGTTATGAATTCACCGCCGCCAAACGAAAGCCGCGGTCACGTTTTTTTTCGTTTGTTTTAGCGAACCCATTTTTTTTTTTTTTTTTTTTTTTTCCATTAGGTATGCAATATAACTTTTTTTTTCGGCAGCGGCGGTACGTGTACGATACTCTATATCTGATATCGGACCTCGTTATTAAACCCGAAAACCAAAACCGAACCCGCATAGAAAGCGCGCGCGCGCGCAATCGGTTTAAAAGTGTTGTTTGTGATACATAATATTGTGTAGATCCACTACGGTACACCCAACTACACGACAAACAAAAGTTCACAAGTACAAAAGCGAAATTTATTGATCCCGAAAGTAATACCCAACACGTCATATCATATCTTTGTACACCGAACTACGTAGTATTATTATTTATCGTGTTCGATAGGTCAAGGGCATTGCGGGCGATTAAATAAATACCCGGGCCGTTGCTCGTAATAAATTATTGTAAACGCGTTTCTTCGGGAAATTGAACATACACCGTTCGTTGTCCACCTTCGCATTGAAACCGATTATATTAAGCTATCATCATCATCCAATTTATATATACGAACGAGATTATACACTTGACGAGTGTTCGATTGACCGGTCGTGTGTGTGTTACAGGAATCACGTTTCACACGCGCGACTCGTCGACGACCGTTAATGTAGTTTTAACAATACCTAATTCAATTAACCGCATTTTCAAGTGCAGCGCTATTTCCGTTAATGCATTCGGTTTTACGTGCTACACGTAAACACAATATTGTAAACAGCGTGTAGTAAATATTCGTTTTGATAAAGAGAAAAGAATTTAAAAAAAAATCAAACATTGAATTATTAAAAACGTGCCATATTTTTCCGCAGATTCACGGATTCTAATCACGACTTGAGAATATATTCAAAAAAGGATGTCCGCCGAATGCCCAGTGCGCCAGTTTTACCGTCTAGAGACATATTCCGCAGGAGCAACCGAAGTAACAACGGTATCGTCGCTTCTGAAAGCGGTAATTAAAATTACAATACCTAACACGTGTTTTAATCGTAGACCCGTCTTATATTATCGAGATGTCCTCAACCGTTCGAATTTACCGTCGAAAACAGCAAATAAATTATGCAAAATAACATTAAATCTTAAGAGGACGTGTACTCGCATTTACTGCAGTCTACTGTTGGGCAACATAGCAAAAATACGTTTACGCGGACTGAGCGAAACTCGCCGAATTTCAGTTTCAGAACAAAAGCACCTATTAAAAAACTGAAAGGGATGATATCCGAGAAGGAACCGCGCGTTTTCGCCATCATACGTGTACGCTCATGTAGTCCATCGTTAAGAAATAACGGCAATTTCGATATTTTAAAACGACTGGAACTTTACAAAAATTCATTTAAAAAACGCAGAATAGCGCCCTCCTGAATATCGTCCGCTTTTCGCTTTATAATTGGCGATTTTTCTCTGAAACCAAAAATCAAACGATGCTATAATCAGTCTGCGTAAGCGTGTGTTCGCTATGTTGCCTGTTAGTTGAACTTAAACAGCACGCTTTGCGGGGTACCGCGTCTTCTCAGGATGTTTCGTGTTTAATAAATAATAATACAATCAAATAACACTCGATGCAAAATTACATTATATAAACCGACATCATCAAGTATTATTTGACGGAGAACAATGTCCGAAAAAATAATTATATCTACAATTCTACACATATCCGGGTATAATATTATCTTAAAATCACGCGGTTTGACCCGTAGTGACACCGGTCATTACCTAAATCATACAAATTAGTGTATAATACGCTATTACTGCTCCAATCCAAATCTCAACAAAACACATTATACGATTACGATCGCATTTATCAATCGAAAGTTTTACTACAAGAAATTTCATAGACATACTGCAATGATTTCTCTACTTTTCTACTTGTATTTAACACTCTTACTTCTATGTAAACACAATATTGTATTATTACATAGGTACCTAATTTTTTTTTTTTTTTTTTTTATAATAAACTGCTATAAGTGTACTCGTACATACCTACGAGTATGTTTTTACTATAGATTATATTTTTGAGAGTTCAAAAAATATAATATAGTCGATAATGTTAAACGTTAGTTATGTTTTCATTTTTTTTTTTTTTTTTTTTTTTTTTTTTGCACAGACGGTATCACAATGGTTGGTTTTCAAAGACTGGGCACCATACGCGGTTTCAAGTTTGAACAACGGCCGCTCCCTATGGTCAAAGACAGGAATCGTAGCGGTAGCGATCCACTCCACTTATACTCGAGTTCTTCCGACGAACACGTCGGCTCTCCCAAGTACGTATATACCAATAATAATAATAATTTCGTTTTTAAATTTATAACCAACATAATAATAACGTGTTTCATTTTCATTTGTCTGCATAAGCAGTATGGACTTAGTGGCACCTCAATCCGCAGGTTTGACCCGTAGTCACGGTTGTCTATACGAATCGAACGATAATCACCGGGACAGCTCTCAGTACATGGGATTCGAACAGATGTGGCAAAACAACAATTATCATTTGGAGGTATTTTAATCGCTGTACTTTAGCCGGCTTAACGATACTGACGCGTAAATAATATGTATATATTTATATGTATATTATATATTGAATTTAGAAATCCTATTCGTCCGTCGACGAAAACACCGGGAGAACTTGGCCAGATTCCCTGAGTGACGAAGATTTAGCCAAACTCCGTCCTCTGTTGTTTCTCGAACTTTCTGCCATGTTCGACAGTTCCGGTATACCGTTCAACAAAGGGAAACCGCACAAACGCAAAAGGAGAGAAGGTGAATATAAATGCACGATTAAAATTACTATGCAATAATTTATTTTTATCTAATTAAATTACTCGGTTGCACAAACAGAAGGGACGATTTTCGGTGTTTCGTTGTCAACGCTAGTCGACCGCGACGAGTCTATTACCAACCGTCGCGTCCAAGTGCCGCTGATCGTCCAAAAAGTCCTCGGACAGTTGGAGAAACGCGGTTTGTGCGAGCAAGGCCTACTACGTATGGCAGCCCCCAAAGCGAAAGTCGACAAACTTTGTGGGGCCGTGGAAAAGTTTTTCTATGCCAAACACGAAGAGGCAGATCAGCTGTTGGAAAAATGTTCCGTTCACGATCTAGTCGCTTTGTTGAAACGTTTGCTCAGAGACTTGCCCGGACTGTTGCTCACCCACGAACTCGTCAATCTATTTTACCAGAGCTACTGTGAGTGCTACTGCATTTATATAATAAATCCCCTGCGAACCGAATGTGCGTTTTTTCCTCCCTATAACCGTTGTCAACAATAAACTTACAGCCGTACCGGATACAGTGAGGGCTCTTAATCTACTGGTGCTGCTATTACCTACGGAAAACCGGGCCACTTTACGCGCCCTTCTTCAATTCATGTCCAAACTAGTCGAGTATCAGCAAAGACACGACCTAGAGAACAAAATGACCGAGCACAATGTGGCCATGATCATTGCCCCGTCTTTATTTCCACCTAGGTAAGATTACTAAAAATTACTAAAAATAATTTATCATTATTATACATTGTAAATGTAAATAAATGAATACTATATTATCGTGGCATTTTAGGTCCGTACATTTGGAGAAAAAAGACTTGCAGTCACATTTGGACCAGGCTGCCCGTAGCTGTCGCCTAACCGAAACTCTGATGAACCACATCGAAGAGTTGTGCCTAGTTCCTATCGACCTCATGACTCAGCTTAGGCATAACAACGAGCTTTACCAATGCAGACTGAAAGAAAATAATAATCCCGTAAGTATTGGCACAGAATATCTTACAGAAATCTATAAATTTAATATGTTTTTATTTCCATGTAATAATTATAAAGGCCATATACTAATTCCTTTTTTTATATATTTTTAAACTAAATATAAAAAAGGCCGGACATACATCGTACGTGAGTGCAGCTACTTTTTTAGGTGAATAGTTGGGAAGGTAGGATACAGACGGGAATTTAATGTATATCTGTAAGCAATGATAAACCATTGCTAACGAAAAAACGATTCTGAACGGTGTTTAATTGATAATGTTGCTTTGCCAACAGTTTATATTATAGATTTGAAGTAATAAAAACTTAAGAATAACAAAAATTAAATAAAAATAGTTGCCAATGACAACCATAATTTTAAATCTTTCAATATTTGTTTAACCTAAAGAACCCGGTTTTTCTCATTATTTCAAATATTAATGAGAATTTCAAAAAATGACCTCTTTATAGTACCACCCAGAGAACATTTCCTTTCAGGAAAGGTGGTATACTTAATAATCGGAGTATGCTTTCTAGTAGAAAAGTTGTCTACAGAAAAAAAATTGTAATATTTTACTAATATATTTCGGACATTTTCCCACTTTCCTTAGTTTTTCTTTTTTCGGTTTTTCACATTTAATGAGAAAACGCTTGATAAAATCAAATTTGTTATGATTAAATTGATATATTTGTTGACGTTTATGGTAGTTTAAATTGCTTTTATTTCCACTACAAAATAATATCAATCGATTCACTCAATTTTTATAAAAAATAATTTTGGTAATGATTTTAGTAAGCTTCAACAAATTATAGAAACTTGACGATTCATAATTAGGAAATATTTTTAATACCAACATTTTGGTTCAATAAATGGTTATCTTAGATTTTGTAAAAACCATTATTTATTTTTATTAAAAAATATATATAAAGTAGAGAAATCATAGCGCAAGGCTTTTGTAATTATTACAAGAAATTAAACTTAAAAATTTGAACATAACTAAAATCTATGCCATATATACCTAATAATATTATTTGATTGCTACATCATGACAACAATATTATAAACAAATGATTTTTAAATAATTATAATTTTTTGCGTACGTTCTTGTACAGGTGAGAAGGTTCCTAGGAAAAAAGAAAACGGATATCGTCACCAAAAAAATAAACAACGAGACGGATTACCAAGAGGGCGTAGTTCGCGTTGATGCCCCTCAATTCCGAATATCTGGAATACCGTTGTTTTTGTCGGACACGACCACGGTTGGTGACGTAATACTTAAGTAAGTAATTCATTAGTTGGTCGTTGGGGTTTACAAGTCTGAAAAATATTATAATTTTGTTTGTGTTCATTTATAGGATCGTGGAGGAAGCCGCCAAGCAGACAGTGACGAAAAACGGTCATACGGCCAAACCAGGCCGCAAAGACCTCAAATCAAGGGCACTAACTGAACTCGCTCCCAACGGAAACCTGTCGTGCTTGTTGACGACCGCTGATCCCGATATGGCTACTAGAACGCATTTCCTATACGAAACTGGCGGAAATATCGGTAAGGACTATTATACCTAGGAATATCATATTTAATAATACTACTCTTGTCATACAATTTATATATCAAATCCTAAATTATACTTGATTCATCTAAATCTATTAATTTATACAAATTGTAAATAGTAAATGTATTCTAATAAGAAATAACAATAGAGTATAATATACAGACTATAATATTATTATTTATTTATAATCCACTTTGAAGATAATTGATACTTCCAAGTAAAAACTTATATTAAACATAACTTGAAATTAAATGTATAACATTCTATATAGGTAATGATTTCCCTCTAAATATTCAACGGAGCATTGTTGCGAATTAAGTCAAACACGAATTTTCAAGTTTTTAAATTGCAAATATATACTAACGGATTATTAGGCATAGATATTAGATTCTAAGCGAAATATGAAATATCAATACATTCCTTATTTTTACTATTGTTGTTTTATGTATTTTTTTATTTTTATTTTTTATGTCTGTAAACAACTTTTCTACTGGAAATAGTACTACAATCAATAACTTACTTGATGCATTTTTGATCTAATTTACACATTAAAGAGGTGGCCACTTTTTGATTTTCCTTGCAGCTTTCTTAATATTTTGTGTATTTTTTGTGTAATAATGATTGGTTTCTGGATTCCCTTAGCAACCGCGGAATAAACACGACTAATACTACTCTGCTCAGAATTGTTTTTTGTTAGCAATGATTTATCGTTGCGCACATGTTATATAAATTAAATTACTCTGTATATCCCATATATAGTTGCAGTATCAGCCGCCTTTTTTTACTTATCTAATAAATATTATATAAATTACGGTTTGAAAATATTTATCTGAATGATTCAATTATTTATCTCGTACAATTCATAATGTTTCTATTGACAGGATAAAATATAAAAATACACATATCTAGGTAAAACTACTGGATAATATTTTATTAATATTATCGTATTGTGGCGACAACCAAACATACACAATAGTCGCAATATACTCACGTGAATGTGTTTAAATTGTCTATACAGGTCAACGGCGTATAGAACCGACCGCCAATATGATGGCTGTGTACCAAATGAACCCGAACGCTCAGTGGTTTGTCAAATGTGATCACAGAAACGGGATGACGCACGTGTGACGCTTAAAAAATATGTTAGTAAAATTATCGGGTACCTGTGTAGTGATTAGTGCTTGACGGCAAATTATACAATTGATTATTACCGAGTGTATTTTGAGAGTGTAAAACCAAAAAATATTTTTATAAAATAATTTGTTTTGTTTTGTTTTTGTTGAAAAAAACTGAGATTTTAAACTGTACTTAGATTTTATATCACATTAATACACGCCTAGATTTTTGTTAATTTGTATTTATATGATTATTATTATTATTATTATTATTATTATTATTATTACTATTATTACTTATATATAAGCTATTATTATTATTAATTTTATTTTTATTATCATTAATCAATTTTTTTTTTTTGTTTTTTGTATCATTATTATTATTATTATTATTGCTATACTACTTGTTTATGATCAACTATATATAATGACACAATCTATTAATTTTTTTTATTTGATGTTTTTCGTTTACTGTCGATCAAAATTGTATATAATATTATTATATATGAATAAAGAACAAGACAATAATGATACCGACATATACAATTTAAAAATATGAAAAAAATATTATTCTTTTAGTCGAATTTACCCCGAAAATAGAGATTATTGCATTGTATTAAAACTGTTTTATGAAGGGTTTCCAACCGTATTTTATGGATTTTTATATATTTCTATTAATATTCAATATTTTTAATATTTCTCCATATAATATGTAATATGTATCTCTCTGATACAAATCTGTTTTGGAAATATTTAAAGATAATTTGTTTTTTATAAACCAGTTCCGAATCTTAAATAGATCGCTATTAGCTATTTGATAAAATTCCATTGAGTTATCCGCATCTGTTACTAAAGCAGTGTCATCTGCAAAAAGGACCAAGGCATGTTCCTTACGAAATACCATAATTAACTAAAATCGGTCAATCGGAAAAAAAAAATTGCATCACCATTATTATCTGCTGTGCTTTTCAAACACACTTTTTTGGTTATGTTTATATTGGTCTTATGGCTGGTGAGCATCCCAGTTACAATATAGAGTTCAATGAGATTATGTTGTATAGTATTGTTGGATTAAGTTAGCTATTAGTCAGCATACAAGTGGTGCGTATGTCATTAGACATTAATATTGTGTATTACTAACTATTGAAATAAAATGCTAATCAAGATGTTAGAATTATTACGGTAATTCATTAAATAAACAAATAAATTTACACATCACATCGAAATTTGCTTCGATAACCTGGAGATGTAATTGTTAACTGACTGTGCAACGATCTCTAGTTCTCGGACCCTGAAATAATAAGCAAACATAACTCATACATTTACATAATAATATATTATCTATATTTTAGCTTATCTTATCGCTAACGGACAAAACTTTACCACGGGAGAACGAATACTGGGGATTGTAGATATTAATTGTGAACCTGTCAGTAACGATCGCCGAGAAAGGGAATGTTCTGGTTTTCAGAAAAATGATAACACGACAAGATCACTACAATGGACTATAAATTGTATACCCTCATTAACTCGCATCGTTTTACACAGCAGCCTTATAATAAATATATTTTATGTATTCACTTATCCAGTAACAATTTTGAAGCTGCAGCCGTCGTGGTCGTTTGTAATCACTTTTCGTTTTCCTGTTACACAACTATTCCATATTTTATTATTCGTCTTCTGTTTATGGTTGTCTTAACCCACTAGTACTAGAGCGAAGCAACAATGCAATACAATGACGCTGTGCTAAACTGGACATTTTAGATTAAAAGGTGTATAAATGAATAAAAGAATACAAACATGGATATCTATCATTATTAAATTTGTTTGAAAAAAATTCAGGTTATAAAATAAAGAAGATCTTTAGGTTAGTGAATGGGTTACCTAATTATTACAAAAAAAAAAACGTATTAAACATATTGAATATAACAAAAATTATTGCATATCTCAGTGGGACACTTATATAATATCACGAATACATATTTAAAATAATTTAAAACCATAGATAATATAAGAATGGATAGGCGATGAGAGTTTATCATAGGACAACGAACATTTTTATAATTTGAGGTTACAAGGGATTTTATCATTAAAGTTGTAAACTCGATCAAAGATATCGTTAATCGTGGTTGTAAACTTGATCAAAAATAATTATTAGTTCATAACTCATTTTACTTTTATTTAGTATGAACTAATCTAATTAAACTAAATTAGTGCTTTATAATTATATACAATCATTATTTACTATGCATTAATATTTTAACAAAAACATTCAAATTAGGTACATTATAGTTAATAATTATGTACTTCAATAATACGGAATTAGAAAAAAATACCTACATAAATCACAACTCTGGTTTGTGAAAATTTGGTATAATAATTGTAGGTACTCAATTAAATTTATTCATGTCTGAAATGGATAAGTTTCGTTGATTTAGCCATGGTAAGATTTTCTTTTATATCATGCCGATGTGTGTACATTTTGATCAGCCCCTCCCCTGAAATAAAATTCTGGATACGCACCTGAAATGAATACAGAGATCTGTAAACATTGCAATTAAAAGGTACAGTGAAGACCGATTTTGTAAGAATTCTATGTTATAAATTAAAATTTAGTTAACCAGTTTATATAGCTACCACAAATTATATTGATAGTCGGTTCCGCTAAGAACTGAGAAAATGTTGAAAACCGATAAACTCTAAAACGAAAATTCAAAATTTAAAAATAAGTAATGTAAATCGTAAGAATATTGTGAATTTTTAATTATAATTATCGAAATAAACAAAACATATAATACTATAATATTATAGTTTTAACGGCGTGAGCTTTGACTATCAACTTTTTATTTTCATTAAATTCGTGATTTTTAATAGTTTTTTTTTTTAATTTCAGAGAAAATGGTGTCCAGTCAATCAATCAGCTATAATAATAATAATAATCGATTAGCGTCAAAAAGTAAACAAAAACCCTCCCGGGAAAAAAATCCAAATGTCTTTAGTATTGTGCAGATCAAATATGATTCATTCTATTGCAGTCGCTTCAGGCCTCTCGTCAATCATTTATACACGGTTTATTAAGTATTGATTCTACATATTCCACAGACAATTATAAAAAAATGTATTTTAGAAAACGTTTCCTGAAATATTTTAGATCGTGTTATTACAATCGCGAGTATACAAATTCGGTGGGATAACGGCCGGTGTATGCCTGATGCAATTGCGCCGGCCTTCAGGGTAACTTTACGTTTATTCGACGCGCGTTATTTCTATGTATGCGTTAGTATCTGTGCGCGGTACGCCACGAACAAGTTCTAAAGTTAAGACGCCCCCCGCACGGTCCGGGTTTTCAAAGACCGAACCGGACCAATGTAGTGAAATTACGATCAGCGACGGACTGGGCCGACGAAACGAACCGCGGGATCGAGCCGGTTTTTTTTCTCTCGGCTAAAAGGACCGACACCGGACCGGTGACCGGATTTTTAAAATATAAAAATACCGTGTCGGACCAGACCGAGTAGGGGTTTTTATTTTATTGTTTATACACTTTTACGTTTGTATACGATTCGACGAGTTCTCTGTACTTTCCACGAATACTGCGTAAACCCCAAATGAATAATAACATGTATTGCTTATTGTTTCGAAGTTTATAAAAAAAAAAAAAGCACACAGCAATGCCAATAAATTATCCGCTATGGTTAGTACCTAAAAAAAAATGTCATCACACATGTTATAAAAATTTAAAAAACTAAATATGTATATATATATATATATCTTGTATGTATCGCGTATCATGTGCATATATATTTGTATAGTTTTATAGTGCAATTTGCATCTTGTATCGAGACGCATAAAATAAATCAAATCGAGACACTCTGTTTTCAGTATCTTACCCGACCCCGGCAACGTAAACGTAATACGAAATCGGTGACGTAACATTTGTGTATAATATTACCGAATAGGTTGTGCGGCTTTGGGACCGCAACGTTCGAAAGTAATAATCAGTATCACGCAGTACGCACCTAATAATTTTGCACCGTTTTAAAAGTTTCGATTTTATAATTGAAACCTTTCTGGTTTGCAGGCTATCTATAACGAAATGGTTAACGGTTACGGACAGTGGCGTATTTAGGTTTTTGTCTTGAGGAGTGGAGGGGGGGGGGAAGGGGATATTATTTTATCCGGGAGTAACATACATGAGGGGGGCCCCCTCTAACCCCCTAAAGTTACCGTAAGATATTATAATGAAAACGTTATCATTGCCAACACAAGCCTTAACAACATTTTCTATCTACAATATGGCGACAAAACAAATTATAAAAGATTAATTAAATAATAAATAAATAAACTGATTATAAAACTGTGCCCACCTCGATGCCATGATCAATTACAGTAGGTATTTTGTTCAGTGTTCGTAGCAGGAATTTTATCTCGATTTTGAAGCAGTGACCTATTGTCATTAAGTTGATCAATAGAAACTGATGTATGGAAATATTTAATTATTTTCGAAGGTTTCATGATTTCAAAAACTAATACTCTTTTTTTTTTTAAAAAAAAATCGATTTTCAGATAAAAAATAATTGCAAAAATGCAAATTGTTCGATAAATATTAAAGATCACTAGATAATGATAAGATGCTTGTGATAACATATCCATAATAGATTATCGATTAACGTCGATAATATCTGTACGTATATATTATACCTAGCAATATCTTAGTCCGTGGTGCATAGACCCTTATAGTGTATACCGCCCTAAAACCATTCTTATCACTCCAGGATAACATCCGTAATCACCCATAAACCTTATACTAAGTAGTATAAGGTCTATGGCTCCATGTCCTATGTGATCACCACGGTGTGGTCACTGACTTTACCAACTCAAATGTATGTACATTATGTTAACTCTCGCAATTAATGTAACATCAATAATTAATAAAAATAAATAAATAAATAAAAAATATGACTATAACTATTTGCGTATTGTAAGAGGATCGATCCTCTTGATGATGCCCCCCTCCGTAAATACGCCGCTGGTTACGGATACCCGCAAGTTTCGAATGATGCGTATACCTACCGAGATATCGGTTCGTGTTATCGGACGACGCGGATCCGCGGATATAGAAAAAACAAAAAAAAAAAACGGGTCCCCGCGTTGCGTGCCCGTACAATCGCGGTTAGAACGGTGCAGATAACACAACGCGCCTAATGTAATACCGTGTACAGTATATAATCCAACGTTATCTATAAACCTCGGCGCTTTTAGCCGCGTCAATATGCGCGATTGCGACGGTTCAATAAGTGCGGTACACCATTGTGGTGATATTGTGTATTATTACGGTTATTACCAGTCTTGTTACACCGGGGACTCGGGGGTCGGCGTGCGCGCTGCGTCCGCTGTGCTACACCGACTCCGCGGCATACCCGCCGTTCGCGACGAGAACCGCGGTTTGTTCTCGCGTTCCGCGGCGACCGCGCCACAACACCCGGCCGCCAGAGAGACCCTTTTCTCAAAGACGCTGCCCGGCACACCCCGACGTACCGACGTCGTTTCTCGTGTCGTCCGCGGTCGCCCGGCACGTTTCGGTAGCGCCGCCGGTGTCTCTCTGGACGCGGCCGGCAGCGACGCGTGCGCGCGCGTGACCTTCGGAGACCGGTCGCCCGTCGGTGCCGGCTGTCGCGCGCGCTCGCGCTCATACGCCCGCGGCCAGCGTACCCGCGAGCTTAAAGCAAACGTCATGACGGCAGCGGCGGCCGCGGCGGCCACGCGATCCGAGAATCCCGCCACCTCCATGGAGGCCATCGGGCACAAGCTCTTTCAGCTCGGCGATCCCGAGGGCAAAGGGTTCATCATCAGGCGAGACATGCAAGTAAGCACCGTTAATAATAATAATACACCCCGTAGACGGTACGCGCCGGTTCCCTCGTCCGCGCGAGTCGCGTCCGTGTCGCGCGCAACAAATGCCGAAATAAACGCCGGGGACACCGCGACCGCGTCGAACAGAATGGCGGGCGCCCTGCACGGCCCGGCACGCAAACGTGTACTACGTGACACGTATTCGGCGCGCAGAAACGGCGTGATATTGCTCGGTAACGCGTACGCCGTGTTAGACCGGCGGACGAACGGCTGTCGACGACGTCCGATGTGCGTGCCGCCCGAATTCGCACGCCGCACTGTTTACATCGCGGCACCGGGCACGGCGCGCGGACGTCGGCAGATAACGCGACGAGAGCTGACAGCAGGACCCGTGACCAACGGCGTGACGACGGCGCGGTTTCGACGCGTCGCCGGAAAATACGGCGACTTTTCCGCGTCGTGGTTACCCACCGCTAGGGTTTTCCGCAGTGACAAAAAAAAAAAAAACAAACGGTCCATACGTAAAACTTTGAATCGCGTCGGGTAACTAGTCTCCTTTTACATTCCGAGAGAGCTATTGGTTTTACTGAGATGTTTATTTCTTTCTTCGTTTTTTTTTTCTTCTAATCTGTGGACACGTTTTTTCATAGTAAACTTGCTCCGGATTTTACTGAATTTTTCTGTAAGCTCAAGTTGTCTAGACGGTCCTTTTTAAGGTGTCATATTTTTAATTTTCGGCGCCATTTTTTAAATAAAAACACTAGAGTGGGAAAAAACGTATGAAAACGTACAATTTCACGATTTTATAAAAACACGGACAACGTTTTCTACCAGAAAAAATAGTTTAATCGAAAAATCGCAAGATACTTTTTTTTGGCTTTTTAATTTACTTTCTTACGGTGTCGTCGCTAAAACTTTTGAGCTTTTAAGGAATTTTAATTTTTGGAATTTTTTTGCTGTAATTCGATTATAAATACACGTAGAGACTTGAAACTTGGTAATAATACTTATATTGGACTTATCTAGACGTGGTAAAATTTCCAAAATCATCTAACTTTTTTTTTTTTTCTGAAACGTTGACGATACATTTTACAGTTATAAAAAATAATTTGATTTTCCCGTCATTTCGTTTAACCGATGGGTAACTCGAGCCGCAAGTCTCATAGTACCGAACTGCGGTTTTCTTTATTCCTATTGTGACACATACAAATAACTACGACCAAATGGGACTACCTGTACATGGCTATCGTTAAAATGAATATGATCTAAAAATTATAAACTAGTCGTCGTGTACACGCATTACGTTTATGCATTTAAATGAATCCGCATGAAGTCATCCGTTCAAATCCAAAAAAGATAATTGCGGATTGAAAAAAATTATATATCATCATCTTCATTATATACATCAGTATATGTTACGGTGAGAGACGTGTACGTAATAAAAGACGTCATTTCAAGAGTAGTTGGACATCAGGGATATAAAATATGCAACGGCAAAACTGGTTATGAGGCAGTAAAAATATAATTGCAATTCAGCCTATGAATTACCTATGAAGTTTTTATGTAAGATACTTATTCAAATAAGAAACATATTAAATAGGTATTAAATAAATCAGTGTATTATTTACGATTTAACCGAAAACCATAGTAAATGACGTCATTTACCGGTGAAAGATGAAAATTTGAGTTTAAAACGCTTTTTTTTTTATTATTCACATTTACCTATATAATTGAATCATTCTTGTAAATGACGTCATTTACCAATTATCGTTTTTCACCGTAACATATATACTCGTATATTATACGTACCGGCAATGTTGTTTTCGTAAAAAAAAAAAAAAAAAACCAATTTTTAATCAATACATAAAGCTTTTTAGCGGCCGGAAATCGGNTCGTTTTTCACCGTAACATATATACTCGTATATTATACGTACCGGCAATGTTGTTTTCGTAAAAAAAAAAAAAAAAAAACGGGCAATCAGTAATTGGACCACATTTTATCTACCTGCTTCGTAAACAATATTTGTTTACTTTTTATTATCCGGGTACTGGGCCGCCACAAATTAAATGTATATTTTTAAAGGGTACCCGGAGACTGGGCCGCAAATGTATAACACAAAACTATATAATTTCAAATGTATTTTGTTAATCATAATCGTTGTTGAAAACTCTGATAATTCTGTATCATTTAATATTGAAAAATTTTTACCTCTTGATAAGGCACGCGGTCGTTTCTAGTATAAAGTAGTATGCATATTATACTCGCAATGGCGTGGCCCAAGAATTTTCAATGAGAGGGGATGTAACAAATAAAAATCGTGAAAAGGAGTAAAATCTTCTTCTCTGCTCGACTCGAATATGGGAATTGGTAATTTAAAAGCCGGATCCTAAAAAAAAAAAAAACCAATTTTTAATCAATACATAAAGCTTTTTAGCGGCCGGAAATCGGCCGAAATTTATGAGTTTCGATATTACATTACTCATATTTTGTTGTATTTTTATGCCAATGGGGGGGGATATAACCTCTAATCTCCTCTTCTGGGCACGCCACTGTATACTCGTATATTATTTTATTAAAATATAGTGGTCCATTACCGGATTCAATAATAAAAATACGGTTATAATACGCACGACCGGTGGGCCACTGATATATGTGAGAAGTTGGGAAGGTAGGATATAGAGGAAAATTTAATGTTTATCTGTGTACAACGATTAATCATTGCTAAACGATTCTGAGTAGAGTTCGGTTATAGTATATGCGTATGTGTGTCCTATCATTTTAAAAATCAACAATTAAAAACGAACAAAATAGTCATATTTCTATCGGTGTAGAGTTATTAATTATTTTTGGTACCAATCGCTAATTGACAAATAACGAATATCTCCTAAAATATTTACTAAAAAAAGAAAATTTTAAAATGAATTCTTGAAGCACAAATATATGTAACACAAAACAAAAATAACATTTTATACTAGCACAGGAGTATACACTGAAAAAAAATTAATTCAGCATTAAAAGAGTTAAAAACTACTTAAAAACCCGTAATATTTACGATGTTCGTCAAAATTTGATATTGAAATTCTTATAAAAAAAAAATATACTACATAAAACTCAATTTCTTCTTATTGACTACTAAATATAACTTATAATTATTGAAAAACGTATGAGAAAAATATGAATCTTCAATTTTCAAGCATTTGTGTTTGGTCTATTTGTTTATATTTAATTTGAACATTTTACCATGGCTAGAAAAAGCAAATATAAGTTTTCTGCCCAAATTTAATTTAACTAAATTATAACAAAGAAACGTACATTTATACGTACAATTCGTACATTTTTCCATTTTTCCTACGTTTTTTCCCGGTTTTTTCCAATTATCAAGAAAAGTGCTTAAAATATCAAAAAAAAAATCACCTCGTCAAAGTACCAATTAGACAAAATTTCTTTTTAGAAAAAGTGCTATACTTGAAAATCAAAGCAAGATTTCTGATAGGAAATTTGTACACAGTATAAAATTAAAAAAAAAAAATTAACATCATTGTCGGATTTTATGTACCCAAGCAGACTACACAAAAACTCTAATTAACTGTAACAGTAACAAGACAACAGGGGGAAAAGTCAACTCTAACCTATAACCTAACCTAACACGTCCCCCCCAGTCTATGTAGAAACGTTTGGCGATTTTATTTACAATATTTTCAACATTTTATACCAAGACAGTTATTTGTAGCCGCCGACTCACAAAAAGTGTCATTAGGATATAATTTTTCTGCTTGACTCGAAATAGATCCTAAAACAAAAGCCCGCAGACTGAGTAGCAATTTGAATTTCCGTTCGTGATTGTATATAAAGATTTCGATAATATTGCCTAATAAACTATGATGGAAATGATAATGATGTATGTTGTAGGCAATTATATATAGTTTCCAAACTGTATTATATAGAAATAAATTGTCGTCATAAATTCCTAAATTGCAACATTTTCGCGGTGACACGGTATGTAGCACAAAATCTTAGTGTAGAAGTAATATTTCGTGCCGAACATCCTGAGTTTTATACATTAATGTATTTGACTACTTGCAGGCATCTTACACCTGTGTACTTATTCAAAACGGAATCTAAAAAAATATACGTTAAATATTAAAATGACGCGAGAAAAAAATTCAAATTATTCTATTGTTTTTATTGTTTGTTTTTTTTTTACTCTCGAAAATTACTATATACGCGCTAGCGATTTGTACGCCTAATGGCGAACACTTGTTTAAACACGTGTTTCGTGTTGTATACAAGTATAAGCGCGCGGTATCCCATAGAATTTGTCAAAACTGTACATAATCCTAAAATTTAACACGAACCGAAAACTATTTATAAGAAAGAAAAAAAAAATGATTTATAATATAGACGTACGCCACCGCACAATATGCATTTCGAATAGGTACCTATTATACCCTATAATACCTTATATTCTTCCACAATAACAATAAAGAGCTATAAAGTCGCTGCTGTAAATGTATTTTAATACCGTGAGCCCATCGCCGTTTACTATAGCGGCTAAACCTATTAGCTATTAGAGTTTGATTTATTATAGCTTTTATAAATTATTAAGCTGTTAAATTACAACTATTATAAAAATATTATTGATGCGAATCTATAATTAATCGAATTATCGTTTTCTTCGCATTCGGTGTCTCGAGGACGTCATATTACTCGCGTGTGCTGTCTCCGTCTTGAATAGCACGGCACATAGAAAATGTACATTCAACCGGACCAATTTCGTATCATTAACTGAAACAATAGTTTAAGTTTAAATATTGTCGATAACGTGTAAAACCTGTACATTATCTGTATTTCAGTGTTTGTACGTCTGTTGTTTTTTTTTTTTTTTTTATTTCGATGTTTAATATTTTTCAAACAACATAACAAACACTTTTAAACTGTGGCCTGTAATATGCCTGCAACATACTCACATCTCATTTAACAAATCAAAATATCGCAAAAACCGACGACGCATGACGTACGAACGCAAATAATATTATGTTCTTACCTTTAAGTTTGATAATAAGTCAAGTCAAACTCTAATGTTAAAACCAACAGCGAAACATTGGTGGTTTAACACACTGGATCCGTACGCATTTAGCGTTAAAATATTATAGTATTATAGATACCCACTATGGGTGTTGGGTATATACTTGTGCTGAGCAAAGTTTGGTCAATTCGAAATATAGATTTAAAAATATATTTAACGAATCCGGGTTGGTGGATTCGATCCGAAAACTAAACACAATTATAATCAAAACATAAATATGAAAATATAATTTTTAAACATTTCATGAATGGACTTCCAATGTTTCCATAACAATTTTGTGTTTTTCATTTTTATCTGTAATCAAATCATTAACCCTTCGATCCGGATTGTAATCCAGATCAGTCCGGATTATTGACGTCCGGTTTAAGTCCTCAACACTAGTCTGTACTGCAGTAGGTATTCGTAACCGATTTCCCGTGCCAGAGACCCAGCTGGTAAATGCTATATGCGCGTATTACAAACCATATTTCACTGCTACCTACCGTAATACAATAATATTATGATATTATACAATAATATATGCGTGGCGTGTATTTAATAATGCCCGATTACTATAATTAAACAACGAACAAACGAAGGTAATTATCGTAATTTGCGTGTGTGTGTGTGTGTGTGTGTGTGTGTATTACGTACGTAATAATTATAATATTGTCCGTATGAAAAATAAAAATCTATACTATACCTGTATAATATCATTACGATGGCAATGACGCCCCAAGTAAGATATTCGTACGTTTTTATGCTTACGACGTCGGCGACCCGGACAATAATAATACAATTTAAGCAAAGTGGGTAACAGTTGTAATCATTTCTGTAGACCGACAAACGACGGCATTCGATATAAAATCGAATTGACGAGAATTTCGAAACGATGTTTTATGTTTTAATTTATCAAACGGATACGGTCGGAAAGTCTTTTTTTTAAAAAAAAAAAAAAGAAAAACTTGATAAATACAATTTTTTTCCCTATCTCCAAAATGACCTCGAACACAGCCGTCCAAAGTTAATTGAAAAAATATGATTTTTCAAAAAATGTAAACATTTTGTCGTATATATTACACACGATTACACGAGTATTAAGTGAAATTTTATGATTTATTTGCTTATACAATTTTCGCCCAGATTACAGTCGTCACATGTCTTCATTTTTAAATTCCTAAGTTTTGAACTTTTTGACAATCGAATTGAAATCATATTTATGTTTCATAAACATTAGACTGTAAGAGTCTGAGAAACTAATAAACTATATCTTAAGCAATTTTCGACATAAAATAAATTGTTTGTAAGTATAAAAATACTTAAAAAAAAAAGATTATCCTAACGTGGTGACAAAAATAAAAGTTTTAGTGTCTAAGCTCATTGCTAGGATTCTAATTTTCAAAACTAACTCAAAATGCGTACCACTGGAAAAAGTTAGGCGCCTTTTAATTTTTTTCGTTTACTACCAGTAACTTCTTTAATTATTTTTCACAGTTATTTAGAATCTTTACCAGCTACAATTATTTTACCATGATAAAACAAAATTTTACCATTTTTTATTAATTGATTTAATAAATTTCCATAACAATTAAATTTTGTTTTAAAGTCTCTATCGAAAGGTCTATTTTTTAGCTTTTTACCATTTTATTTCTTATAACTATTTGATGATAAATTAATAAGTTCTGAAATCTTAAAATTGAATTATTAATGTCTGTATCATCGAGTAAATTATCCCAGATTTCAGTTTTAATAAGCATATTTAAACGGTTAAAATTAATTTTATAATTTTTCTCAATAATACCATTTTTATTATCATTATCAATGTTATTGATATTATTTATGAAAACTGTTGTTGCATAATAATTAGTAAGATTACAATTTTTTATAATATAACCACTAATAATGCTCAATTCAATGTATTTGGTAAATATATTATGATCAATACATGAACTGAAGTTTTTACAAACCAGTAAATTTATTCATACATGAGGTAATTCGATTTAAAGATAAGAAATTAAGATACTCAGTATTTATAATGTATACCTAGTTTATTTGTTTAACTGCTGTTGACCCAGGAACGTTTCTACGTATAGGCACGTGCCTACAGCGCTAATTTTAATATTGTTTATCGATTACCCCTCCTGGGTGGAAATTATTTTTTAATTATTATCTGTAAGGCGATTGACATTTTCTACATTGGGCAGAAGTAGTGGAACTTTTTCCTTAAAACAACCTTTTATTTGGTTGCTTAGTTACAATATAAAAGGAACGGCATTTTCGAAGTGCCTCGGAGTGTCAACATTTCAAGTACCTACTCCCCTGCATAGAAGCCTATTTACATATCACACACCTTAATTTAGCATGTGCTTGCATGTCAGTGTCGAACGCTAGAGGTCGATGTATACCACTTTGAGAACCTCTGGTGTGCATTGCACAGTGGTGACATCCCATTGATTCTAATCGGCGATTATTTTTTTATTTATATTTGTTTAAAATGCAAATTCTATACAGCGGCTCGTATACCAACTGTATGCGACCTAATTAGTCAGTTATATAAATAATATTTAAGTATTACCGAACTTAAATTTGACGAGGAAAGCCATTTAATTAACTACTCTTGCCCGCAATAAAAAAAAAATCACCAGTTGTTATCAAATAAAATACCTAAATACGTATACTATGAGTATAAAACACACGTGTGTGGGCGCGAATCCTTCGACGATTTAAACGCTGCGCAGTCTACATTTTTAACGTCACTAAACGTTTTAGTTGTATTTTCGTCTATTTCTTCTGCGGGTACCTGTTATATTAATGTTATATTAATGTATACCTGTAATATTCGTATTATTTTCATTATAAAAACGAAACCTGGCACAGTGTTAATTTTCACTTACATAACGGTTCTCTTTTTAACCTCCTTTATGACGAAGTAAAAACCGTTTTTATTGATTATTATTATTATATAGAAATTGAAAAACGAGCTCTCGATGACTCCGGAACAATTGGAAATCGTTTTCGACACGTTGGACGTCGAACAAAAAGGTTACCTTACACTGGACCAATTTTTAGAAAGATTCAGTGAGTATCTTATAACATATACATTTTATAATTTTTCTCGCGAATATTTACTGGCGTAAAATGGTAGACTGGTGCTCACTCGGTGCCACTGTTGCAAGTGAGTTGTCTAAAAAGTAGATATAGGATATTATTCAAGGTTATTTAGTTAGGAAATAGTAATAGTATAGGTAGTAGTAGTAGTAGTAGTAGTCTTGTGTTTTTACCGGTATGATCAATTAAACAGAAATCGACAAAAATAAAACCGTTGTATCGGCATTTGTTGCAAGTTGTTTTAATTTTTCGGAAAACTATTTGGAATTCAAAAATAAAGTTGTGTATAATTTTTAAATAAAGTACCATCGGACGAAAACATGTGATATATAATTGCCTGAAAAATCGGAAAGAATAAAATCGCACCACTTGGTAAAACTTTACAACTTACGTGTATAATTTCTTTGCTATTATCATCAAAATAGAAAATTACATTTCGGTGTGTCCGTTTTTCCGTTATTCTATAATATTATTATTTTTTAAAACTACAGAATCTATACGCAGGACCGGATCTTAACATTTTAACACCCGGAGAAAATGAAAAAGTTACGTCCGTTTCAGGGAAATGACCAGTTAGTATTTTTTTTTTTGAAAAGTCAAACACTCTTACATAATAATGTTAACTACCACTCGCAATTTACAGGACATCAAAATTATACACGACAAATAAAATAATCGTTTTTAACTTATAAATCAAAAAGAATTTTTTTTGACAACTTTTCTACCAGAAATCTCCGATTCTTAAGTGTAGCGCCTTTTCTGAAAGGAAATCAGTGTGGGGAGGTACCTTAGGAGGTCATTTTTCAATTTTCCCGGAAGTTTTCTCGACAAATGCGAAAACCCAAGGAAAAACGGGAACATCGGTACGTTTAACAAATATTATTAATGAAAATATATGATTCCTATTTAATTATTTCATCCTAATATGACATAAATATTGTTGACAAAGTATCACTGTCAACTGAACTCAACTCAGAATCGTTTAAATACATTAAATTACCTATAAAAGTGGCTGCACCCGTCCCCATTATCCTGAGACAGCATTTTAAAATTTAAAATTGCATAACAACAAATTACAATTAACGTTGCTATTTATAGGATACAATTTTAAATAACATAATTTATTGAATAATTTTTACATTACCTACCTATCTATATTAATGAAAACGAAGTCATAAACCATATTTTGTCATTATCATTTATCACTAATTGGATAAAAATTGAAAAATACTTTGCCCTCATCCATTGACAAACTCGTGCATATAATTCCGGTCTCTAATAATAACAAATACTATTCACAAATTTTCCTAACATAAACTATAGACTGCATGCCGTTCAATCAACCTATGGGTAAAGTGGAGGTACAGTAGTAACTGTTGTTAACTTTGTTTTTACTCTAACCTGAGTACCTACTACTACCTACTAATAACAGAGCACTGACGGGTTTTAACTGTTGCAGTGTCAAAATTAAAATGGAATTTAGCAAAACCTCATTTTATAAACTAATTGTTACTATTATACAGGATATGCGCCGTGTGTTGAATTTCACTTGAAATGTTGAAAGCTTTGAACCGCGAATACGATGTAACACGGACATACACGCGAATATTATAATGATAATAAACTTCAATAATATTTTAATTTCCCATTTATTTGAACAAACATTTTATTATTAGAACGACAGACACCGCGCAGGCGTCGCAATAAGCTTCCCCTTTGTACTCATTATCTAGTACTCTCCGACGCCGATGTTTACCTATCGGTGCGTATTGGATCGATGCTATAAAAATAAAATAACATATTGTTATTATGTAGCCACTATTCAAAAACATAGGTAATATTAAAAATAAATTTCTTTTAAAATATCGTTTTGTAATTCTGACATGTTTCAAATTCCATTTTCAATCAGAGTTCTTGAGAAAATACGCCCTGGAAAATTATACGCCTGGGAACAAATTCCCGCCTTCTCCTCCTCTACCTAGATCTGACCCTGTTTACACGTACGTCTATACATTCAACTGCATCCCGAAGGTCGAAACCGATGTTTATTTTCACGTTGAAATATGGTTTTCATTTCACCATCAAAACCGCGTGTAATCGTCAATATAACGATGATGAAAAAAAAATGTTCGACATTTCAGACACGCGCTTCATTGTTCGGGTTTTTTTTTTTTTTAAATTTGTTATATTCAAAGTTGTTGACCGATCGGTGTCAACATATCGCGCCTGTTCGGATCAGCAAAATAATATTAAATAGACAACGGCCGATGTAGAACAATGAAAAACCAGCCGAATATTCGCAAAATAATACTTTAAGCGTTCCGCCACAGATTTCCTTTTACGCCAAACCAAACGTACACGTAGATTTTATAATATTTTAATGTAAAAATGAAATTCGGTACATAATATACGTCATATTATACCTCTATAATGTAATATAGATGGCATTTTTGTTATAACACAATACATAGATTAAAATATGTACAATATTTTATGAAAGAATATTTTACAAAATATATTTTCTACAAAGTTTAGTACAATATAACATACAGGATCTTCTAAATTACATTTCCTAGTCAAATTTTCAATGAACTACATATTTGTTTCAAATATGACTTGTGTAAAAACTTTTTGGAATCATATGTTCTGAAATTGTACGGTTGTTCATGTTTATTCGCTCTTATTTTTTCGGGGTAAAATTACCGCATATTTTAAACTATAGCACGAAAATATTTTTACTAACCGAACAACCATAAAAAAAACCTATTCTAGTAATACTAGTAATACTTCTAATATTTCTAGAATAGCTTCTTCGCTAAACTCAGATTCTAAAATACGAGTATAGGTCGATATAGAAGACGTGGGGAGCCCACAAGAAATTTAACTAACAAATTACCCCCTCCCCAGGAGAAAATTATAAATATGCCAATGCATTTAACGCATTATTATAATGTTTATATACAGAAGACACGACGCCAATGACTTTCAGAAGTAACAGGTGGAAACAGCAGCAGGAGCTGCAACCAAATCCCGTTGCATTCAAATGTTCTTACACAGAAGACATCCAAACACTCTTGCAAGCCATCAAAGATATGAACATGATTAAATTGTAAGTATATGACATATAAACGTATGTGAGGTATTAAAAATAGAATTTCACCAAATAAACTTTTAAAATATATTGCTCGCAAGCCGTATAATTATAGAGTAGGTGTAATGTTTCTTCAGTATAACTAAACTTTGAATTATTATTAACTGGTCATTAAATGGTTTCGAAAAGGACTTTAAAATGTGTTATATACTATATTTCTAGTCATTAATCGTATTATTGTTAGTATTTTATACTTTTTCTTTTAGAAGTTCCGGTCATTTAGAAAATATATGCAAGACGTCCCAAATCGAAAGGGACAGTGCGGTATTCTCGAACCGCATCGAAGCGTTTTTAAAAGCGCTAAATATGGACTTGACCAAAATCGTCGAGCACAACAAAGAACTGGAAGAACTGTTGCAGAGTCGGGAGATCCAGCATCAAAACAACGTATTTACTTATATACACCGTGTTTCCTAAAAAACAGGAGCCAATTTACCACTCATTACCCTGTAAATATTTTTCAATTCTGTTGGCGGGACATTAAATTAGACTAATAGATTATAAATTCCTATGACTCACAATTTTTTTAACTCATGTATCTTACGCATGCGCAACAAAACTTACATTTTTTTTAAAAGCAACCCCTATTTTGAATATCATTTTCGGATTCATCAATTTGTTCAAGTTATTTTGATGCATCAACTTGTGTTCTAAACTCTATTATTATTATATTATATTATATTTGTAATTTCCATAAATTAAATTGTCAATAAAAATGTATAGTATTGTTAAAAAAAAATAAAATAGAAATTTCGAATTTTGTTTCCTGAAAACACATGTTTAAACTATGTTATTTCATAATGTGTAATAATAAAATAAGATAATAATTCAGAAATAGTAAATAATTTATTACTTTATTAATAATAATTTTGATTGTTTCATGGTGTTTATAAGGGAAAAAAAAGTACGTACAGTTAAAAAAAAAATTTAATTTAATTTAATTTTTTTTTAAAATTCAACTTAGCTCTAGTTAAGTCAATTTTGAGTTTAGAACACAAGTTGATGCATCAAAATAACTTGAAAAAATTGATGAATCCAAAAATAATATTCAAAATAGGGGTTTTTTTTAAAAAAATGTAAGTTTTGTTACGCATGCGCAAGATACATAAGTTAAAAAAATTGTGAGTCATAGGAATTTATTATCCATTAGTCCAGTTTAATTTCACGCAAACAGAAATGGAAAATATTTTCTGGGTAATGAGTGGCAACGTGGCCTCTGTTTTTTGAGACACGCGGTATGTTATATACGCTATAATAAAACAACACGTTAAAAACAACTTGCTAGATTTACAACAATTAAACCCAATAATCGTGTGATTTACAGATGCAAAAACTTTTTGAGGAACTCGAAACGCATTTTCGCGAAGAACAAGAAAAGACCAAACTCGAGGTATGCACATAAACTATATATATATACTCACAAGCACGTATTCAGGATCAATTTTCGAGACGGGGGGAGTAAAATATTTTTAATACATGAACTTGTAGTTATATATAGTCTTTGTTATATTATAAATATATACCTACTTTAAAAAATTTTTGGGGGGGGGTCTGAAATCCTACGGAAGTACATACGAGAGCTATATACGGGCTTGTATACTCGTATACTTATAAAATAGTAGATGTTTTATATTAAATTTGATCGTGACCTGTTATTTACTCGAGAGCCCACAAATTTACTCACATAACTGCTATAGTGATCCGATTTTTTTTTTGGAAATAAGAAGACATCTTACAACGCATTAAATTCAGATTTTAATTATTGTATTTCTAACGCCATAATTAGATTTTGATTTTAAATATGACCTGTATTTAATACATTTGTTTAGCTCATTTTTATGGTTTTTAGTTTGACAATCAAACATCCAAGTTCAATAAAGAAAATTTTCCAACAGAAAAAAATTACCGATCACTCTGGTTTTCCTGTAAATTTGAACGAAAAAATAGGTCACGCTCAAACCCGTAAATACATAAGTTAAAACTGTTTGGTTGTCTTATAAACTTGTATAGATACCTAATCTACAAAAAAAAATTTGTTTTCGATTTTTATCTCAGCAATTCAATTAAACCGTGTAATGAGTTAAAACAATGTTTTGGTTTTTTTCTTTTCTTTTAAAAAATATTATTTATATATCCATACAAATTTAAGCTCATTATATATAAACAAGTATAGGTGCGTATAATGGTTTTAAAAACCATCGAATGACAAACATAATACTAACCCAATCTATAACCTATTTACGAGTGTTGACGTGTATGTGTAAAAGGAATGAGTTTATGAAATTGTATTTATAAATATTACATACCTACTATACATATGATAAATAATATTAACGCTCAAACAGGACCAACGAAAGTTCAGGTCGGAACTGATGGCGTTAGAAAGCGAGTTGCTGGACAAGGAGGAGAAGCTTCGGGCCGCCATATCCACCAGACAAGAATTCGCAGGGCAGTTAGTGGCGGCCCAGCAGCGGGAGTTGGCGATGATGGCGGAGAGAACGAAACTCGTCGAAACACAAGTATGTAATATCATTATTTCCAGTCTAGCGCGATTGTAAAACATTATAACGGAACTAATCATATTTTATACTTATGCGTGTTTTACATCGTAATTAGGAAAAACTGTTGAACGATTTGGACGCGGAACGAGCAAAGACCAGTCGGCTGGAGGAGACCATAGAGAGAATCAATGTGGAATCGGCCGTGGATAAAGAAAAACACTTTAAGCAAGGGTTTTTTGTGGCGAAAAATTTGGTCTCGCTGAAAGAAGAAGGTGCGTAACGACCGCGCGTAAACTTTAAAATTTATACCCAAGCATATTATAGTTTTTTTTCCATAGGTACTTATGTACATAAAATCACCCGCGAGATTACCGATATAATCAGATTATCATCTGATTGATACTCTATAGAGTATTATTCATTGAAAAATCGTGTGTTCGAAATTTCAAATGCAACACGTATCATGCCGAACATACGGCATACCGACTGACAATATTCGAACACGTCATGACCTCTTTCTGATTAAGTGGTACGGACGTACTGTAAGAAAATAAATTTTAAAAAAAAAATTCTTTTACTATTTCCTAACCGTAATAATTTTGGGAAATTTGTATAAAATATTGGTCAGTTTAATTTTTGACTTGGTACACCTTATATATTATACTCCTTATCATATGTTATAATTGTTTCTAAAGCAAAATTTGAAAAAATACGAACAATATTCTCCCGATAATTATCGGGAGAAATCGTTCCCCTCCCTCCTTAATTGCCTATTATAGTTGCGCCACTGCCTATTATCAAAATAATTTATAAAGGTGACGTGCAAAAAAATATCGAAAAGTGTAACAATAATGAGTATCGCCTATACAATTTTTTAACTATAGGATTACATACTATTCTTAATAGGTATGTTATTTTAACGAACTGCAGTTATTTTACTTAGTTTAATTTTGAATTTTAATTACTTGGAATAAATTATAGTAGATAGTAATAGATAGGTAATTAGTTAAAATAACGTTGTTTATAACAGTAATACAGATTCGGACGCGATTTTGTTTTTTCATCAAAATATTTCTTGAACCATGCATACACAATAATCGGACTTGTTTTTTTTTTTTTCTAATCATATAGCGGGTGCCGAATAATGCAAATTTGAGACTACCGATTTGTCAACTTTTACCACAATATTATAGAATATACAATCGCGCCTGCAGTGAATACATATGCACTTTATACACTGATAATACAGCAAACATTGTTATCTGCTATATTTTTTTATTTTTTTTTTTTTTTTTTTTTTGTTAACCGGTTTAACCAATACAACCACTATTACTTCACGTTCCGCAGATCCGGTCGTTACATTCCGCGGCCGGTCCTACACGAAACTTTCGAAGGATGGTAGCTGTATTGACCTCCGAACCCAACGAAAAGAAAATAATTCTCCACCTGAGGGGGAGAAACCGAATGCGTTTGGCAGTAGATCAGTGTACCGAAAACTTACAAACAGTGATATTCCTAACCTATAACAGGTCTGCAAATTAGGCAATATGAGGCGCCTCGTACTATCCTATGGAAATTGCACTAATTAATACATACCGATTTAGCTATATATGCATAGAAACATCAATTCTAATTCAAATCATTTTTATTACTGCAGTATTATACAAAAATAAATTTCTACTAAAATATGACAACAGTTATATAGCACTTAGCTAGCACCTGCACTGCACCGGATTACTTGTAGATCCTTTTAAATTAATACTTGCATAATAAATACCTATACAATTGTTTTATAATAACATAAAATCCAATTTAACGCTCTATTACGAAAATTCGAGTTAATATACTTGGTCTATTGGTCAAACCGATAGACATTTTCGCTTATTTGCCATATGATGGTAACCACTGTATTTCGTATTTTAATCACTGCTTATAGTTACTATATAACTGAATTTAAAGCAAGAAATCAATTATGATGAAAAAGTAATATATACATATAAATATATTATAGACAAATATGTAGTTGACAAATAATAAACACATGTTTGTATTATTAGCGTATTCACAGTGCGGAACTGCGTGAGCACGCCATCGCGAATTTATTGAAACCATATAGCCTATATAAACTATAGGTACAATATTTTTAACACAAAATGGCCACTAAAGTTTGATAAAAATTGTATTTACCTAAACTATAATGTATAAATTAAAATTTTTTTTTTTTTTAAAGAATTTTAAATTTTTTTAACGAAATACCGGCGTAATACTTGTATTTATTAAGGGCGATAATAAATAATCCTTAGCTATTAGAAACATAATGTGTATTTATTGACTTTTAACGAAGTATTACAAGATTTTTTGACACACTACAGCATTATATATTATAATGGAATATGACGGGTATAGACTATAGAGTCACTGGGCTTATTAATTTAACTAAATAAACTCACCTATATTCAAACTGTATGTTAGGTATTTTACGTAGTTATCCATTTAAATGCAACACACTTTTTTTTTTTTTTTTAGATATTACATCATTCAATTTTTTTTTTCTCATTTTCCTAAATTCATTCCTCTAGATGAATTATAATACTTCTCTGTATGGGTAGACACTAGCTGGTATTTCTGTATTAGTAACGGCCAACGATATAATTACAAGCATTGATATCGCCCAAATTTTGCCCATATCTTATCGAAATATAACGAGTTTATAAAACATGATATTTTCTTTTTTTTTATAATACTTACTATTCCGTATAATTATTCAATTGATATCATTAAAAAAGTTTTGCGTTCATTAGATACAAATTTTAACTCGCGAGACCTTGAATCTAATGAGGCTGCTTTTGATAGTACTGGACTCATCATATCTAATCACGTCTTTGTTTCCAAATCGTCTCATACACCCGACTTAATTCTTTAAATCAGTTTCACGAAATTTTAAAGCGTTCAGAATACTTTTAAATAATCGGTGTGCTATTACATATTTATCTCCATCAATAAGAGTGCCAATGATAATATTATTATACGCAGCAATAAATCGTAATAAAATCATATACAAAACGATTTCAAGTGTATGGCACTTACGTATATAAAATAATAAAATTACAATTATAGGGTCCGGAAGTTCATTAATTTGCGTGTTTTTACCGTGTACACAAACAAGTTAAGTATATCAACTATAAATTTAAATCGCATCCTAACGAATTCAAAAATGAAATATTTTATGTTACATATATAACTCATATTTTAAATGTATGGGTATATTTCGATAGTTTGTAATGCGCGCATTTTCAGACCCTAATGATAATTAATAATGAATAATGTCCAACCGTGTAAAATTCATTAGTCATATAGAAAAGTATGTTTATGTCACTATAGGTACCCACGACCGTGTTGGTAGTAATTGTTGTTCACTGACACAATAATCAAGTATTGCTAAGTATATACTTGGGAATAGGTTTCTGTAGCACTGTCTTACAACTTTGGCACTATGGCCTATAGGCCAGCGTCCAATAACCAGAGGGGGTCAGGTAACTAACACATAAGACGGCTCGAAATTTTATTTTAATTGTTTTAACAGTTAATTATCGTAATCGTGTTAAAATGTATAATGCAAATTTGTACCTATTATAATAGTTTTAATAATATTATTTTAGGTTTTTAATTATAATAATAATAGTAATCGTATTAGGTCCACACAAATATTTAAGGTATCTACCATAACAAAAAGACCGTCAAAAGTCTTAATAGTATATGAGGGGGAAACAGACACCAAAACGTTGGTTTAAAAGAACCATTGCTATGGACAACACAAGGCAAGGTAACTTTCAGTCCATTATATTATAATATATGTCTATGATGGTAAAAATAGGTATATGTATAAATCATCATTACGCACGCACATTAGATTTCGGGACTTTTTGTATTTTGACGAAAACAAATTACCTGTGTTTTTACTTTTATAAACGCCATAAAATAATCATATACGTAATAATATAACGATTACCGACAAAACGACATTAAAACGATTTCTATTTTTTTAAACGAAAATAAACTTTTTTTTTTCAAAAAAAAAAAACTCCTCGTAATATTACGACCGCGCAGGTGAACACGGCGGTTCAATNAAAACTCCTCGTAATATTACGACCGTGCAGGTGAACACGGCGGTTCAATAAGAGTACACGGTGCCTACTATAGGAGAGTGGACGTCGGGAAATAATTATTACCTATTAGAAAAAAATAACCATGTTTGTGTATTATCATAATATTTATTGTCGTCGTGTGGTGGAAGACATAATAACAACTACAATCGTTATTACCTATTCTCCTGTAGGCTGTAAAGCGATGAAATAGTATACATAATATTTTGCTCCATTCAAAGAATAAGTATATATAATAATCGCATTGTAGTACGCGAGTCCAAAAAATACATAATCGTATGTATAAAAAAATTCGTATGTCTGTCTGTTTCATTAAAATGCGTATGTAAAAAAGTTATTTCCATAAAAATGTTCACCATTTGGATTGTTGTCATTTCAAACACTTCAACGACCGTTACAACTCGTATGACGGGCGTACAGCTACACTAATATAATCACAAACATATTATTGATTTATAGATAATAAATACTTGTACATACATTTTAAGCTCGTAGGTGGGTATCTAAAAAAAAAAAAACAGTCTTATAGATAATTAATTATTATTATAGGTAGGTAACCAATCGATCTCGTCCGGATTGAAATGCTCCTATATATAAATAATTATAATTATATTGTTTCATTTAGCTAAAATTTAACGATTACCTCCCTCTAAAAAAAACTTATCAAACATCTAAATTTCATAACATTTTTTAAATTATGAAAGTAGTGAGTAATGTATCGATACAACTTTTTTACCAGAAATTATACGCTCCGATTTTCAAGTGTAGCATCATTTCTAAAACAAACCATAATTAGTTTTTGTGTTGATAAGATGATTTTCATTGTAGTTTTCGTAATAATTAGAGAAAAACGTAGAAAAAACTAGGAAAATAACGGCTATAACGGTTTCAATTCATACGTTTTTTTAAGCGTTTTACGTTCAAATTTTGACCGAAATCATGAAAACTACGGCATTTTGAAACTTTTAAAGTGAACTTAACTCAGAATCGTTTTTTTTTTTATCAATCGTTTATCGTTACTTACTGATATAAATTAAATTACTTAGTTTACCTTCCCAACTTTCCACCTACAACAATGGTACTCCCAATCAGTAGTATCGTTTCTATTTATTTTATGGTTAAAAAAATAATACAATTTTTTTTAATCAGTATTGCATAAAACTTAATAAATAATATAACGCATGTAGCAATTAATAATTGAAGTATTAATAATATCTGCAACGTTCAAATTATATTCAATTTATTTTATTAACGTATTTACATTAAAGAACTTGAGAGAAAAATAAAAATAAAATTGTTAAAGGCTATACACCTATTGTTTCCCCTTACATAAAACCGCCGCTGTATTGGTTATTTCGATAACATCACACACTTCAAAACGTAATCTGACCTAACCAGTCTTATGTGTGTGTTTAACGTGCGTTGTGTGTACAATAAAATAATAAAATATCATTGTGTCAATAAATTTGTCCATTATAAAAACCATTATTTAGACAGTTCAATAACTAATTTATATTATATTCGTCTTAGACGAGTTGCATAACTGTATAATCTGAAACGGAATACATGGATTATACCTATTACATTGGCAAAATTGTAAAACCTATGTGTATTTAATTTTTTAAATTTATAGAAACAAACAGCCCAATTTAAAAATTGTAAATGTGTATTATATTTATGGTGATCAGACGTACACTTTTTCGTAGGACAGTACTCATTTTTGATGCATTGTCCTATGTTCTTAACAATAGTGTTAAGTACATGAAATTGTACTCTTTTTTTTTTTTTTTAAATTATAAATATAAATATGTAGGAAGAACATATTAATATAGCTTTGTATTGATTTATTCATTTAAAAGTTTACCTTTCAAAATTAATTTAAATATTTATATTTTAGTTATACGTGTATATTTTTAAGTTTACTTAAAATTACTTAAATTTCAGAGTATTTTCATTTAAAAACACAAACCAAATAAGTTGACATATTGATTTCAAATATCTAATTAGTTTTTATTCTTGATAACAGCAAACATAATAATAGAGTAATCAGATAAAAAAAAAATGTATATAGACAGAGATGAGCTATGTGTAAAATGGATTGAATTGTGTACACATTGGCCAATTCTTTTGAGGGAGGGATTTTTTTATAACGGAGGACCAAAATTTTAAAATGTTCCTTTTTTTTGGATTTTTATATCTGGTCACTGTAATTTGTTCAATTCAATGAGTTTACAACTATTCGTTATTAATTAACTGCCTTGATTTATCCACTAAGCAAATTAACAGATCGGTACGTGTATCTATTAATTCCCGTTTCTATAACATTGCCGAGTATAATATATAATAGTTGTCAAGTATAAAATATAAAAATCAACAAATATGAAATCACGATTCGATATGTTTCGGAAAAACCGACAACTATTCTGTTGTGCTGTATATTTCTTCCTTACATAATTTCCATCGTCTTAGAGTCGACGTGAAATAGTAGTTATTGTATTATACGTAGCTTTGTGGCTCTGCAGTAATCCGTCTAAAACATAAAAAAAAAAAAAACTGAAAAATAACCGTACTTAGACCTTAACCCACTATTGTTCGACTCGAACATCGCGTTGATGAAAACAATGCAATTATATTTTAGATACCTACCTGCTATTTATATTTATAATTTGTATTCTCTGTTCAGTCGCAATCGAATTACGAATTTAATCGCACTCGAACTATTTTTTTTCCACACGCATAAACCCAGCACTTAGAACTACATGGATATGAACAAGCGATTAAGGTATCATGTAAACATTTAACTATAAGAACCCATCACCGTACTTGGCTATGGAACAATCGTTTCAAAAAATTATGAGACTAACAAACGTTTGCACTGCTTTTCCGATAAATACCTAATGATACGAAAATCTATTTTTTTCACGAATTTTACTCACCAAATCATAGACCAAATTCGAGTCAAATATTTCATTGTGTATTTCATTTGAATAAATATCAAAGTTTCATATTATATTTATAAAATCCTTGATATTATAATAAAAATCAAACAAAATTCTTCAATAGAATAAAATAATCGAAACATCTCGTAAAACGCTAATTTTCGTTTTTCGTTTCAGGACTGTTGCAGCAACTGGAAATCCTCCAGGACATGAAAAACGTCCTGTTGGATTGAAACGTCGCCAATTGTATGGTCTTCCAGTCGAACGCTAGTCATCGTGACAACGACAATATATTATCTATACTATTATTTTTAATTCTTTAAGTATACTTATACAACGGGATCAATCCAAACTCTCTAAAAGTATTATTTTTATGGAAGGAATTTAAAAAAAAACAAACTACAGCTCTAAATAGTTACATTAATATTATTATTATATTACTATTACAAAAGTGATTAGAGGTTTCACATACCACAAAATAAAGTTAACAAAAAATAACACAAATGTATCATTTTTCTAACTACTTGTTTCTTAAATCGTGAAAAAAAAAATTCCAAAAAATGTAATACTTTTCGAGACAACAAGTGCCTAATCAAGGATTGATCACCCAATATTATGACGTTTTGTATATTATTTTTAATATTATTATTACTTCATATTTGTATCATACAATTGGTATACAGTCAAATTTCCACTCCCTCGTGGAAATCCTTCTGAAATCTCTCCCCTCCACCACTTCCTAAATTATACGGTTAAGTACACCGCGCTCTAAATGTCCTATTCGTCTCCGTCGTGAAATCGATTTCTTGACGTAGGGAATTTATCATGGGGTATACCGGCATCAGCCATTTTTCCATACTATGCATTGTTTCACAGCCGGTCGTTTTTGATTAGTCAAATCCACGGTCGTTCATATCATGTTATCATTATTGCACATTATTATTCATTTTATCATTATCAATATCAAAAATTATTCAAACACGGTAGACAATAGCTAAAACTCTAAACACTCGATAGTAACGAAACAATAAAGGGAACTCGAAAATGTTTGTAGTTCCTATATACACTACATTTATATATACTGCTCAAGTTATGTAGTATTAATATGACAAATTAGAATTATAATCTAATTTCTCGTTGTACTTAGTGTTAACTACATCATATTGAGTACAGCTAGAAAACTAATATTTTTGTTAAAGTAAGCTTGTATCACTTGTAATAATCTTCATAACATTTTCAAACAATTTACAGTGAATCATCAGTACATTTACATAATATTGTACAATTGAACTGAAACTCGCATATCAATTATGCAACGAAATATTTGAAACGAATCATACTCTCTGCCTAGTGAATGGGCAATATTGATAATCGTTAAATGATTACGGGCCTATTGTGACTATTGTACCTATGTACCCGTCGCTTTTGTCAGTTTTAAAATATTGCACGTATTCGTACAAGTAATATGAATGTAATAAAAAAGCTCTCGCGTATTGTTTTTTTATAATATTACAGTACAACATTTATTCAGATAAATGAGATACACGCGCAGATTCAAATTGCAGTACCGACGTGTTTATAGAGTAAAATGTCAAAACGCGCGCGTAATATTCATGTATAGATAATAACGAGTCTATATCACGTTAAAATTAATTATCTATACACGAGCGCCCGAGAGTCGGGACTAATCAGAAACGACCGGGTGTGAAACAGTGTATGGCACGGGGAAATTCTACCGAGGGGGTGGAGAATGTCCTATATGTTCTATACACGCGTATATATTCCTGCATCGTGCATCCCTGTCAATATTACACCTAGGTATTTATTACAAGATTTTTCGCGTTTTTTCAAGCGATAAAAAATATATATATATATGTATTTAAATCGTGATACGATGATTATAATATTACCTGTGTACTGCCTATGCTTACCACTACCTTCCTACCTTCTTATACCTATATACAGTGCGTTCAAGCTAAGAGGTACCGCTAAATATTTCAGATGGATGACCTAGTATTGAAATGGAATTTTCGGGGAATGACAGGGAGTGCCCGAATACGCATTTTTGGACAAATTTCAAATTTCTAACCCTTTTGGCACGCGCATGTGCAATACTAATTACTTTTTTTTAAATGGTAACACCAAGATAATGTCCAAGATTTAAAAAACAAATTACAAATAGCATGTAATAATTTGAGGGAAGACCAAATGAACGCTGCCACATTAAGATAGTTTTTAAACCGATTAGAATAATGTTTGGAACACCAAGCCGGAAACTTTGAACAATTTATTTGATAAAACTATAGTTGCAAATAAATAAATCTTAATTTTAAATTCATAGTGCGTAGATTTTTATAATTTCCATTACCTTCAATTTGTTTTGGAAGAATAAATGAAAAAAAATAAGAGTAAATTACGAAGACAAAAAAGTATTTATCTGTGTTTTATATCTATCTACGGACAAGAATTTCAAAACATCGGAGATATCATTTCGATTTTCGAGTATATATTGAACATTGTTAAAATTTCGTCAATAACAGATTATTCGTAAATACGGCATTTCAACATAACTATAACTTTGCCGATTTCGTAATTAGAAAAAAGCTGTTTTTACAAAAATGGTTTTTTAAAAAAAAGCAAGTTGTATTGCGCATGCGCGTACCAAAGGGGGTAAAAATTTGAAATTTGTCTGAACATTTTTGTATTCGGGTTCGTCCTGTCGAAAATTCCATTTCAATACTAGGTCATCCAACTGCAATATTCAACGGTAACTCTTAGCGTGAACGCACTGTATTATTCGTAATAATATTCGATAAAACACCTGTGTTAACATCACGGACTGACGTGGTGTGAAAAAGAAAATGGTCGTTTTTTTTTTTTTATTTTTTTACTGTGAACTTGTATGCCGTCGATGTCCCCGTAATATTTGTTGTATTACACAGGCACGCGTTTACGGTACCGCGAGTATTATCACACACTGTGTAGCAGCCGCTTCTTTTTCAGTGCGCGTTTCTGTTTGTGATTTATTTATTATAATAATCAATTCCCGTTTGCCGATGGTATTACCTATTATATATGCGGCGCATATTACGGTAGTACGTCCAATAGCTATAACATTATAATACAGACACGTTACGGTTTTTCTCTTTTGTTTTTTTTTCTCTCAAATAAAACATACCGTTTAAAAAAAAAAAAACGAAAATAAACCGTGTGTTTTTATTCCGCGCGCGATTCACGTTTACGCCTTTATATATATATCGTACATAAATAGGTAACCGGTCGCATAATGAATTAATATACATACACACGCGGCATTTCACACTGAACCGAATACTCGCGCGTATACCTACACCGCCGGTCACAGCTGCGACGGCGATGGAACTCAGACGTTTCGTCGGTTTGGCGCTGCTGATCGCGGCGGTCCCGTTGCAAATGTACCTGATGAACAACAACGAAAACTTCAAGGAACTCGTCGCGGACATCGTGAAAACGCTGCCGGAAAACATACGCGGGCTGACCGTCGACCTCACCGAATACGTCAAAGCGGCGAGTAAGTGCGATTTGTGCGATACGCGAAGGTTACCCGCGCTTACCTAGACAGTCATGCAAATGTACCAAATAATGCAGATTTAAAATGAGAGCAGCAGCGTTTGCGAAAGAAGCTTTCGATTTTCTTTAGGTTCCAATCGAATTGGTTTATCTGGGCGCGATGTGAGTGGTTTTCCCTGTATGCAAATTTCTTTTTGACCAACAATTTTGCTCCGATCATCAACCGGAGCATTTTTTCTAAACGGAAATGTTATCGATTTGGCACGTTCGTAAAATCCAACTTGGAGGGGGATAGAGAAGGAAGATAAAGTCTGTAGAATACCGAATCTAAAGTCCTTCCAGTCAAGCTAGACATCAGTGATGATTACTGAAAATCGCGATGTTTTGAGAACCGTATCTTTGAAAACTAAACGTACCAACGACATTTAAAATACCGCTTATTTTCAGTAACCTCAAAGGTTACTAGCCCTGGAAATAAAAAGAGCTCGAAATGGTTCGTGCACTGTGCGCACGCGAGGCCGAACTTGGTCTGGAGTATTATCGTGCGCTCAAATGTCCGATTAGAAATAATAATATTATGCAACAACGGAAAATATTTGTCCACTGCCTCAACCAGCCCCTCCCAGCCCCAATTTTATACTAAACTCACCGTACAGCCTCTCCGTCGGCTTGCGTGTTTTTTTTTTTGTTAAGTATTCTAAAAGATAAACTATAAATGTATTATCGGTCAAATGATTTATTATTATCAGGCCATAGTAACTTCCGTATCAATAGTCTAATATCCATGATGATAATGGTTATCAATAAACAGTCATGTTATCACAGTGCAGTTATCAACGTTACTTTATTTTACAGTTGTATATGATATTGTATCATATTATAATGCAGAATACGAATAACTAATTAACGATTTGACTGTTTGAACATGGGTGCTGGTCCGGCGGTCAAGGGTCAAGGGGTAGGCGATACAGGCCCACGCCTAGGACGGCATTTTTTAGGGGAGCGTTTAAAATTGTTTACGTAGTATTTACATTTATAAGGGACAGCAAAACTAAGTTCGCCTAAGTGTGTTTAAACGTTGAAGCCGGGCCTGCATAAGCGATGACAAATATGATTTTAACACACATCCTGACGATCCTATAACAACTATCCCAAAAAATCAAATTGAATTCAGACAACGGGTTATCAAAGGACCATTTCAACCAGCTTTCAAATGTTTTCCAAGGACAATATTTGACACTATTAGCGGTATAGTTTTCAGCATTCTTGATATAGTTTGTTTCTTCGGCTAAAATATAATCCAAAACAAGACATGTCATTTTGTTTTCCTTATCCCGGTAAGACATCATGTTGGTCAGTGTGACATAGCATACTCAGAAATGCAATTTAGAATTTGGAAATTGGCAACAATCAAACTTAATCAAAAAACTTTAAAGTCTTTATCAAAAAGCTAAAATTTATTTGAATAGTTCTACACATTTATTGAGTTTTATAAATAAAAAATGCACTGATGTTGTTTTGGATGAGAAACGTAAACGTAAACAACCAAAATGAGAGCCATCGTCGAAATAATCGTGACATTTTAATTCCACTTATAGATGTTGTATATATATATATCGGTCGGTGGCAAACCATTACGTGGACATACAGAAAAAACAAGTAGTGTACACAAAGATCTTTTGATATTGATGATATTCTAAGAAAATATAGTTCAATATTTAATGAGAAAATTTCATATCTGAACTAAAAGACGTTTTGCACACACGTTTGGGGTAATTTGGTTAAATTAGTTGTATGGCGCCAGCCATAATCGCTATAATCGCTTAACAATTAATATTTCGTTTTAGTAGTAATATTTTTTTTTGTTTTATCATTTCTCTAATTAATAATAATAATAATTAAGACAAATAATAAAATATAATGTAATGAATGAAACATATTTTTCATTGAAAATAATGCGAAAACATAATTTTGTCATAGCTATATGGCTATGACATATGTTATTTTTGTTTGTAGTCAGCCTAAAATTATTAATTTTATATAAAAAAAAAGTGATTATTTACAAGTAATTCCGTGGCTCGGCTCCAGTCTGGGCTTCTACCAAAAAATGCAGAGTGTTTGTTTTAAAAATGAAATGACAACCATAATGTAATCACATTTAAAATAAATTGATATGAGTCACTAATACAGTAGGTAATTAAAATATACAATAACTGACAAAAAGAGTTTCATTAATAGCTGATGAGACTAGTGACATCATGAACAATTAACTATAGTATTACAATAAGGTTATGATATCAAACATTTTTGAAAATCAAAAATAAATATATTACTACCTAATTTCGATTTTGTGGATTGCGCCGTTAATCCTTGCCGTCCCGTACGTCCGTTTAGTTGCCTATACTATAGGCACCTAAGGGGTGAAAACTAATGATATTTAAATATTGCGTAATAGACGGAAAAATAGAACAGATGAGAATACTTAGGTGGACGAAGTTGAGGAACTGAGGGGGTGCGATGGGTAGATCGATCCCCCCTTGACTATTTTTAATGGTGATTTTTCAATCACAACTATAGCCTATCTAGGTAATAAAATACAATAATAATCGTATCAGTGGTGTATCACAATTTGTAAACTGCTCCCCGCCCCTTGATTGAACTACAGCTATGCAACTGGGTGGATGAGTGGAGTGACAAGAGAAGATAGGACACAGAATCAGTACATAAGACATATATATATAGCTTAGGCGTCAATTGAATAGTAGACAAAATGAGAGAAAATAGACTGAGAGGGTTTGAGCGTGTCGTGAGGAAAACAAGAATCGGAAGCAGTGAGAAATTGTAAACTAAATAAACGAACGAGGAAAGGGGGAGGAAGAGGAAAACCTAAAAAGAATGGATGAGGCGCGATTGAGAATGATACGATGACGAAGTGAAAGTTTTGGACGAGGATGGCCACCTCCAGTCGAGATGAAGTAGTTGAGATGAAGGCAAAAGAAAACAAGGAATTGCGTAGCTAAATTATCTAATTAATTACTCTTACAATTTTGATTTTTAACACTATAGAGATTGATTATTTTCATTTTCTTGGTTTCTCTTCTCAAGAGGGTTATATTCGGAGCGTATTCAGCTATTTTCATACGACGATATCGGACGAGGACGACGGCGACGACGACAACGATGATGACGACGAAGACGTCACCAATGACGACGGCAGTCTGTCCGAAAAGAACGGCGAGGTGCCGGAACACATGGTTCGAAATTTCAGACCGCCGCACTTGGAATTCAGAGTCGGGGACGTTGTTCTAACGCGAACCATGGCCATCGGCGTGATCGTCGGGTGGAAGATAGACATGTCTGTAAGTCATTACTTGGTGTGCGGGGCGTGTTGGCAAACCGGAAACGGATATCCCGCTATTTATCGACATTTTTATTTTGCGAGTTTTATACGTAATTTTTATTCGGTAGGTACTGCGTGGTAAAATTGTTAAACTAAACAGAAATGCGTGCAAATTTAACAGGAGGTTCATTAAATCTTACTCTGTGGTCAAAAAGAAATGTCGAGTTTAATGTAGTATTTTTTTTTTTTTTTTATAAAGAAATTTTGGTATCAAACTTTGACGAAAATCTTTCGAGTAAAACATTATGTGGAACAAATCTAATTTTTCGATTTTTTTGTTTTGAACATATTATGCGTATTTCCGATTTAAGAACGGGGGTGAAGTAAGAATTGAGCGGACTGACAATTATAGCTCGAAACTATAGCTTTTTGAAGTTCCGATACTTTATGGATATTATATGTTTGTGTTAAATAACTGTTTATTAAATATAGCAAATAAATATATAAATAAAAAATGTATGTATAAAAATAAAATAAATAAATGAATGAATTCGTCGCTTGGAGTATTATGATAAGTAGATTTTAAAAGAAAACTAAAGAAAAGCACTGAAAAAAAAAAACAATAAGGCTGTATAAATCTTCCGAAAAACCATTCAAAATGATTTATTACGGAACTATACGGTGTTACAACGAAAACTAAAGTGTGATTTTGAGTAGATAATTTCCAGAGCTTGAGCATATTTTCGCGTTTATTGTCGTTTCAAAAAAAACCAATCTACTATATACCATACGGTACGCGAATCACACTATCTAAATTGCATCGATAAATATATTCGTAAATCAGACATAACGAGATTGAATCGATCGAGCCAGCCATGACATTGGAACACATTATATAATATAAAAGTAAATATTAACATTTCAAATACGTTTATGTGGAACACATTTTGAAAATATTTGACTTAAAAGCAAAAAAAAAAAAAAACAACGAAATAAAATGTGCATTTTATTCTAAGTAGTGTACATCGAATTTGTAGCTGACATAGTTTTGTTTTAGAGCAATAGAAAAAAAAAAAAAACAAACGCCTTCAAAATCCTTACTCTAATGATAAGATACGTATTTTACGACCGGTTTCGAAATAAAAAATTCATCACCAGGTATATCGCCGTATGGATAAGTATATTATTTTTAAAATGGCTTTGAACATTTAAAAATATTAATGAAATTATTTTTCTTTATTTCTTCATTGCATACATTTAATTCTTCAAGTACTGGAAATACAAAAACAATATATTTTATCAATACATTTTTGATGATAAATAATCACCAGATAATTTATATTTCTTAACGCATATAGATACGTCTAATAAAAACTAATTATTTTAAATAATCTCTCCTATTAAAACAAACTATTGTAAAACGATCAATGTGTATAGTATTTTTTTTCTATGTATTCCTCCATTTAATTTTTTATATTCAGTCGCGTTTTACATTTTGACTGTGATGTATCTGATGATGAATTTTTAATTCGAAACCGATCGAACACATCTCATCATAATACTCCAGGCGACACATTCGTTCATTTATTTATTTTATTTTTATACGTGAATTTTGTATTTATGTATTATTTACGAGTATTAACCATTTCAACAATTTCGTTTTTACTTTATTATTTTGTTAACTATTTATTGCCCTATTTATTATGTGTTTGTCGTAGACTATTGGTAATACATACATGTCGTCATCCTAGGGATCGTAAGTTCTCAAACCCGAGTTTCGAAACAATTTGTTTGCAATTTTTTCCCCTTTTACCTAAACAAGGAAAAAACAAATACATTTTTGGTGTACCTATAGAGACCCAAGCCATCACTCGCTCGGACTGTTTTAATCGCAAAATACCCCTCGATTCGTTGGGCAAACCTTTCTATCGGTAATCTTGCTCCGATGTATCAAGTTTAGCTCATTTTCTTGTCATTTTTTGATTTCCCCAGGAGTTTTCTCAGAAGATATGAAAAACCGGAAAAAACTGAGAAAAAACGGGAAAATGTACGAAATGTAAGTATTAGTTAAAAAAAAACATAGGGAAACCGGGAAAAACGCAGGAAAAAGGGAAAATCGGTACAAATATTATTAAAGACAATATATAATGTATTTTTAATTTTTTTTACCATAATATGACATATACATTGTTGATAAAGCATCACTATCAACTGAACTGCACTCAGAATTGTTTTTTCGTTAGTAATGGTTTGTCGTTGCTTACAGATGTATAGTAAATTCCCTTCTGTATACCACCTTCCCAACTTCCCACCTACAACAGTAGCTGCACCCGCGTATGAAGTATGTCCGTCTTCTTTACTACCTATTCGATTTTTGAATTCTCATTGACAAATTGCGGAACTTCACGGTAATTTTCGAGATGCCGCGAATTCCGTTTTCGAATGATCGTGTCAGTTGATTTTATGCCGACAATGTTGATATTTGGTTAACTGTCTTGTCTGTGAAATGCGTTAGGTTGTGAATCGTCGCACAATAATTATAAATTGAAATAATTTTGTGTAAGATGTATGTACGATAGCTGGATCTAGGACAATCCGTCCTCCGCGAAAAAAAATATCAGTGTATTTTTATAAGACCGCGTTTTTTTCCTAATATTTTTCTTATCACTTATCAGTGATCACCATCAATTTCTAATACTAAACTAATATGCAATTTATTAATTAAATATATTTTTAAAACGTAATAAATGTAATTAATACATTAACATAGGTAGTTTGTTGTAATATGTAATGTATAATACAGGCATTTTTAATTATAACTCCAAATAAGTTATAGTCGAAATGGTCAGATATCGTCAAATTAATTATTTGAAAAATGTAAATAAAATTGAAATAATAATTAAAAAAAGATACGGACATACTTCGCACATGGGTGCAACCACTGTAAGTGAAAGTTGTGAAAGTAGGATACAGAAGGGAATTTAATGATTCTGGAACTGTGTATGAAATAAATAACATTGTTAATAAATACTAATAAAAAAGACGGACATAATTCGCACGATGGGTGAAACCGTTGTTTTTGGTGAGAAGTTGAAAAGGTATGATAAAGCGGGGCAATTAATTTGTATCTCTAATCAGCTATAAACCATTGCTAACGAAAAAACGATTCTGAGCGGAGTTAAGCTGATTGTTATGCTTTGTCAACAATATATATGCCATATTATGATGAAATTATCAAATAGGCATTATATATTTTCTTTAATAATATTTATTTTATGTTGTTCCGATTTTCCCGTTTTATCATATTTGTTGAGACAAATTCTGGGAAAATCGAAAAATCACCTCCCTAAAGGACCACCTCAAGAAAATCTTTTCAAACCCTTTCAGTAAAGGGTCTACATCGTATACACCAGAGTGTAAGCTTCCTGGTAGAAAAAGTGTTCACAAAAAAACATCCTCGTAAAACCCAATACATTCTTCGGTACACACAGAATCTAAAATAATAATTACCGGGCAATTATCGTCATTTAACCACTGACACGGATAGTATCGTTTTTGGACTTTAGTTGTCTATTAAAGACTGCTGTAAAATATTAGAATACAGTAGTCAATCGTTTATATTATTATTTAATAATAATATTCTGTACCGCGGAATCCACAGATATTTTTACGAATACGTATTAATATCGACCGATGACCATGGGCTCCTGGCCCAACGCCGCTTTGATTTCCGTAGTATTTGTATGTTTCATCTGTGGGAGCCTCTTAAAGTAGAATGCTCCGGGGGCCTTTGCGTGTCGAGCAGTCACTGGCCACGTCTGTTTGATCGAAATGACGGAAAAGTTTCGTACCTACCAAGGTGCCGGGCGATCCACCTCGGTCCACCTACTATTAACTAATAACTATTAACTGAGTGCATTTTACATGTTTACAAATAGTCTCCTTTTGCACAAATTGTCGTTCATTGTTTTCGACAGGATGCCTATAGCATTGACTTTATAATCAATGATAGAGGCGCTTAGTTAATTTTTACCTTTGGGTAGGTACCCATCTGGTTAGTTATTTTTTAACAGTGCATATAGATACCGAATATGTAAAATCAAACCTTCATATGACATATAACGTTTTCTCATTTCTGGTAAATATTGTACACTTATTCATTTTAAGGGAAAACAAACGGTTATATTAAATATTATGGATACGTTATAATTATAATGCCTCAAATGATTTAGGTGTGTAAGCGGTGACTATATAAATGACATATTCATTTTCAGTTTTTATATGTAAACTTGGCAATTAATTTGAAAATATAGTTTCAGCGCTGTAGGGTTTTAATGCGCAAGTCATCATTGGTATATTAGTGAAAGTCAAAAACATGGCCAGTAGAATTATAAATGCACGACTAAATAAGATTTTAATTTTATTTCCTATGGAAGGGGGCAACTATTTTATTAGTTTTGTTTTATATTCTTATTTACCTAAAATGACAAATAATTTTATGTTTAGGGAAGCATACATTTTTAATTATCAATTTTAAACAAATAAAGAGTTTGTCCTGTAATACAATTTTCATAAAATAAGCAACTTTTGTGGTCTTAATAATCGTGTTAAGTTTATGGAAATGTCTTATTATGAAAATACACAAATTTCAAAGTAACTTCCTTATATCATACAACTAGTACCTCTACACGTCAACAATATAAGTAATAGATGTAGTTATAATATAAATTTGATTCAGTAACTAATAAGATTGATATTACCATAAATTAAATATTATAAAATCAATGTATTAATTAATATACTGGTTTTGATATTTAAAACAAAGGTATAGCTTATTTTATTAATTCAATTTGTTTTATTTTGTTAGGACCTTTCGAGAGAACCAGAATATTACATGTTGGTAGATATAGACGATAACGAATTTATCGAGGTTCAAAAAAACATGATAGGATTAGAAAACGTTGAAGTAAATACAATTATAAATGTACCTAAATACACAATATTCAATCTAATTTGAATATTTTACCATTTTAGGTCAGACATAAAAACATAAACCAATACTTTAAAAAATTTGACGGGATAAGGTACACGCCAAAAAAGTGGCTGCAGAAATTTTACCCAAAAGATTGAACCAAATCTTTTGCCGATAATGTACATAAATAAAATTAATATTTTATAATGCAATTATTATCAAGATAGAAAGGATGTAATCTCAATTTTATAAGAAATAAAAAAACAAGTAGTTATTTCATTTGCGTTTGCTTTCATTTAAATAATAAAACTTCTAAAAATGTCCATATAAAAAAAGTAATAAGGTTAATTTAATTTCTGGAATTTGTAATCAAGCGTGATTTTTCTGAAACATTATTGCTGTTGTTTTGAATTAGTATTCTTCACCACCTTCACCTTCTCCTTCAACGGAGTCCATGCCGACTTCTTCGTAATCCTTTTCCAAAGCAGCCAAGTCCTCACGAGCTTCAGAGAACTCACCTTCTTCCATACCTTCTCCAACATACCAATGGACAAAAGCACGTTTGGCGTACATCAAGTCAAATTTGTGGTCCAACCTAGCCCAAGCTTCAGCAATGGCAGTAGTATTGGACAACATGCATACGGCACGTTGTACTTTAGCCAAGTCACCACCAGGTACCACAGTTGGGGGTTGGTAATTGATACCAACTTTGAATCCAGTTGGACACCAGTCGACGAACTGAATGGTTCTCTTGGTCTTGATGGAAGCAATGGCAGCATTGACATCCTTGGGTACAACATCACCACGGTACAACATGCAGCAAGCCATGTATTTTCCATGACGTGGGTCACATTTTACCATCTGGTTAGCTGGTTCGAAACAAGCGTTGGTTATTTCAGAAACAGACAACTGTTCATGGTAAGCCTTTTCAGCAGAGATTACTGGCGCGTAGGTGACCAAGGGGAAATGGATACGAGGGTATGGCACCAAGTTGGTCTGGAATTCAGTCAAGTCAACATTGAGGGCACCGTCAAAACGAAGTGAAGCAGTGATAGAGGAAACAATTTGGCCAATGAGACGATTCAAGTTGGTGTAAGTTGGACGTTCAATGTCAAGATTACGGCGACAGATGTCATAGATAGCTTCGTTGTCGACCATGAATGCACAGTCACTGTGTTCAAGAGTTGTGTGCGTAGTCAAAATTGAGTTGTAGGGTTCAACAACGGCCGTGGACACTTGGGGGGCAGGGTAGATGGCGAATTCCAATTTACTCTTCTTTCCATAGTCAACACTGAGTCTTTCCATCAACAGAGAAGTGAATCCGGATCCAGTACCACCACCGAAAGAGTGGAAGATCAAGAAACCTTGAAGTCCAGTACACTGGTCGGCCAACTTCCTGATTCTGTCCAAAACCACATCGACAATTTCTTTTCCAATAGTGTAGTGACCACGTGCATAATTGTTGGCAGCATCTTCCTTACCAGTGATGAGTTGTTCAGGGTGGAACAATTGACGATATGTTCCAGTTCTTACCTCATCTATAACATAAATAATATACATTAATTAAATTATTAACATTTATTATTACAATTTTAAACATACTAATCAATGGCACACAACAACTTACCAACAACAGTAGGTTCGAGGTCGACAAACACAGCTCTGGGCACGTGTTTACCGGATCCAGTTTCGCTGAAAAAAGTATTAAAACTATCGTCTCCACCTCCAATGGTCTTGTCAGATGGCATTTGACCATCAGGAGCAATGCCATGTTCCAAGCAATACAATTCCCAGCATGCATTACCGATTTGGACACCGGCTTGGCCAACGTGTACAGAGATACATTCACGCTATAAGAATAATTCCACTATTAATACAAATACTCAATAATAACTTATAATTCACTATGATACGACATTGAAAACAAAATAATAATGTAGGCAACCTCGCAAAGTACTGAAAGTAAAAACAAATCCTAAGTACCTAGTATAAAAACACTAAGTACCCAATTTATTTCCGAAATAATGAAATTAAATAGGTACACTGAATTAAATAATTAACTTCAACAGACGTTAGGTACTTAAATTGTGTACCGAACAGTAGAGGTTAATATTAAAAATACTTATTAATTACTCGAAATAGAAACTGTACATACTTAATATATCTACCCAAGCGTTACACAATGAGAAACGTAAAATTTCAAAAACAATTCCCCAGAAATATTAACGAGGTGTAACCGAATCAAAAGAATTGTACTGTACTATCATTGTGTTAACAATACTATCACAATAATGATAGTGACTATCACAATAATGATAGTGACTATCACAATAATGATAGTAACTATCACGATGATAGCGACTATAGCGATAATGATAGGGACTATCACGAAGCATACATCGTTTGTAATTTACACTCCTCGATAATGATAACGATAACAATTTTACTTCCGTGATAACAACTATTAGGTTGGTAACTATAACCGCGACTTTAGGATTGAATTTACCCCCCGGTCGTGTAAATTATATTTTTTATAGGCGTATCTACGTTGTAACGGGTATGAGTAATGAAAACACGTAATGTTGCACATAGCTATATAGAAAATTTAACAATAACATTTCCAACATCCAAAACAATCAACACGACGGCTAAAACCGAAGGCCATGACGAATAAAACGTATTGCCATGACGAACACGCCCGAGAAAAGGAATTCGGATGAAATCGTGACTCATACCAACGGTTAGGTAACCTAACATAACCTAAAAGATCGCATGGCATTCCGACGATTTGAAAACCCGTCAGACCATAAGTCGCCGCGGGGGGGACTGGGGAAGTGGGATTTGGAGAAACGAAAAATGCAATTATGTAGGCACGCAAATATAATACGGACGATGCGAAACAACAAAACGGTCTCCCGACGCGATTCGGCAACGGAAATTCCCGGTGACCCGACCCCGCCCCGCCACGCCCGAAACAACCACAGTTCGACGTGGAAGAAAAACACGTCCAGAGCCTACGGGCCGGAAATTGATAACCGAATAAACGTGGAAAAGCCAATGGTACCTGCGAGGAATGGGTGGAGGGGTGGGGAGCGCGCATTTAACCTTAAAAAAAAACCCAAATTATCGTTGTACCGCGACAATCCGCTCTCTCGCTCGCGTTATCGGTTTATTATCGCGCATATCGTCTACGACGGTAGAGAAAAATCGTGAGTTTTACTTACCATTTTGAAGTGTTTTCGTTAATATAGGAACGAGTTAACGGACAAAAAAAAGTAGTCGAGAGTTTGAGTGTTGTTTGATTATGTCAGACAAGAAGCGATCGAAGCAGCTTCGTTCACGTCCAAACACAAATTGACGGTTGGCCGACCGGAGTGCGAACCTTATGTCGAGCCTGGGGGGTCTGCGGACCGACGACGCGCTGTTCGGCACGCCTGCACCGCGGTGCCTACGCTCTACGGGCGACGGCGGGGCGGCTACCCACCGCATCCGCCGCACACGGTCGTGAATCACCGCGTTGCGGGACGACGGAAAATAATAATGCCGTATTGCCGACGAACACGCGATCGCAATAATGCGCGCCCGGGGTCGCGGAAATGTCGGACGAAAGAGCCCGTTAGATTCGCCGTTACGTACCGAAACGATACGTTCAACCGCGATTAATATCAATAACGGCGGTTCCGAATAGTACGGGCGCCGTTTCGGACATTTCAACGGGGTTCCGGGTGGCCCGTTTTTGGAGCGGACAACAGTAAAGTGTCCGTGCGCGAAGGAAACGCGCCGGAAATAAGTGTCGTTTTTGCCGACGAACTATACCGGGGCAACGGGAAACGCGCCGTTCGAACAATAGTATTGCAACCGTTCTCCGGACGACCGGAATTTACACCTCGGGGGCACACGAAACCCCGGACAGTATCGCGACATTTTCTCGAACCCGGCGTTTCGCGGGCCATCGTTATCGGTCGGGGGCGGGGAGGGGGGTGGGGGAGGTGGTCGCGGCGCCGAAAACGCCGAAAAACGCGAATTGCTCTTGCGCGCCTGTGTCCCCGGGTGTCGGCCCGGCCGGTTCAATCGATAAAGTCGCGTGGCGCACACGGATCATGCGCGCGAAATCGTTTTGCCCGTTGCGTTGCGTTCACGGGATGAGAAACGCGGGCGTTTTAAGGCTTTTTCGGGTGTCGGCGTTGAGGGGGCGTCTGCGCGACCGCATTACGCCGAACGGCCGTCTGCGGTATTTGACGTTGTCGCCGGACCCGTTCTTAAAAAAAAAAAAAAAAAAACAAAAAAAACGACTGTTTACAATTGCTGGGCGGGTAAAAAAAACGCATATGTTTGTTAGCCGTGTTTGTTCCCGGATCGCTTATCACGAACAATTTCGGAACTGCGGTGAAACCCCGTTTTTCGAACGGTTATTGAATGGTTATCGAACGGTCCACCGGACGGTTTGAATCGAGAAAAAAAATGTTTTCGATTCGTCGTGCTCGCGAATCGCAGAAAAACGGTTTTTTTTTTTTTTCCTCCACATTGAAATTCTCATTCGGCGCCCGTACCGTACTTATTATAAATAACCGAATGGACGGTTTTGAAAAACGGCGCTGTCCGGCCACTGCGCGAAACCCTCCGAAATATTATATTATACCCGTTCGACGATTGAAACCGTCGATATTTCGGGGGTGTCGCGTTACCGCGGCGGTGAAAACCTCACGGTTCCAAATAAACGACACACGGCAATATTCCGACGTGCTCGCGTAAAATACGAAACGTCCGGAGGACCAAAATATAAAAAATATTGTTATTATTACGGGTTTTCGATTCGGAGCGTACCGAGGGGTTTTATATATATAGGTACGGTAGGTTTTTTCCTGTCCGTACGGCTTCTCTACCGGAAAACACGCTCCGCGTAGTGTAGACCACAGCGCTTTTTCTGAAAGACGATTTTCTCTAGTCGGTACCTACATCGGAGAGGTAATTTTTCGATTTTCCCCAGGGGTTTTCTTTTTTTTTTTTTCTGTAAATTTGTACTCATTTGTGTGGCGGCGTTTTAATAATGCTCCACCATTCTCCCTCGACCCGAACTTAAAAGCCGAATAGCTCGTCCAGTGGGTTGACGGAAATCACAAATTTAAACACCAAAATGTATTTCGACTATTACTCCATCTATTTGTGGAATTTTCAACTACAGGTCGCCGTTCGAAAAAAATCATAAAGCGCGTGGTCGTTTCACCGCCGACAATTGGGGCGGGAACAAAAACAGCGTAAGCGTTAAACTTTGGAACAGCTCGTCTGTTCAAAGGACATTGAAATGTCCTTTGAACACACGAGTCGTGCGGGAAATTCCACGGCTACGATAATAAATAATCGCGATTATTTAGAAATCCCTCCGAACTCGTGTCACGTTTACCGGCGACCGCCGATGGGACGACACGGAAAATAATCGCCGTGCTTGACGATGAAACACACCCGCCTACGCGAATCGCACGGAGCATCGCGGTTGTAGATTATTCGCCGAGCGCACGAGTCGTGTGGTACCGGGACAGATTGAACACCCTGTATAGCGCCAACCCGCGCGCCGTTAACGGCCGAGCGTACCCGGTCAGGACCCTCACCGACGGCAACAACACGACGGTCGGGTGCGTAGTTGCGGTGCGGTGGGATAGAGGGTAGAGGGATTCCGACAATGGCGCTGTTGTTACCGTGTTTCTATACAATAATGCGACGTAGGTTTCGGCCGACGAGAAGAAAAAAATAATACGCCGCGCGACCGTACGCCTTCGTGCCGAATAACACGTACGCGCAGCATTACGTCCCTCGACAACCCGGGCTCGACAACATTCCGACGACGCGATATTCGAATCGTTTGAGAGCAAGAGAAAAAAAAAAATAAAAAAAAAAATACTCAAATAATATTATACGCGTCGATAATATAACAACACCCAGGCTATGCTGGCTGGCTATTACGCTGTCGTCCGTCTCGTTCTACGGGCCTTTGTACGACCTTAATACAACGATTCGGCCACGGGCACAGCAAAAGCTCCGGTCGATACGCGCGCCGCTGCTATTTTCGCCCGGTAAACGGTCGAGGCTGTTTCATTATTACTGGCGGGACGTTTTTCAAACGTTTTTCAAACGTCCCGCCCGCCGTACTCGCCATGCGTCACGATATTGATCCATTCCCGTTTTGGCCGAACCCTCCAGAGTACCGGAGCACAAAATTAGATTACAACACGACGAACGGTCTGGCCGTCTGGATACGAAAATAAGTTCCATCATATTATACGGAGTGTGCCACGGTGATCAGCCACTTGAAATAACTTTTGTTCCGTTCAATACGGTCGATGTGATCATTTTATTTTTTTCAAACAATTAGTATGCCCCTGCGCTACGGTCAATATTTGTGAACATTTGTTTTTTCGGGGGGGGAAATAGAAATTCGAAACGGCCTATTTGGTAAAATAGACTTAATAAGACGATTTTTGGCGATTGAAACTTTCGTCGGAGCGTGTTCTTTTATTTTCTACGGTTTTTTCCGGAAATTCGAATAATTTTCTATTCAATCGTAACGATATTGTCGATCGGCATTGATGACCATTATTGACACGTCGAGGAAAAGAAAACCCACGTGCATGCGCCCCGACTGATAATTGATTAAACATTATCGTAGAACAATCACAATCGGTAATATTCGCATTTGCCAAAACTTCGAAAAAAAAAATCGTAGAACACACAAGGCCATATCTAAACGAAAATTGTCCGAAAATCTGTTTTACAAAACGGCTATTTGGAATTTGTCCGTAAGAAATTATAGTAAAAATTAAAAATTTTTATTTCGAGCGCGTCTCCCCCCGAAAAAACAAACGTTCGCACGTAAACCGTACCGCGGAGGCATGCTTATTATTGAAAAAAAAAAAAATAATACTAATAATAAATATATTTATCAAAAATATCGAATCGAACAGAAGGCGATTTCGAGTGTCGGACAAACGTGCAACACCCTGTATATAGTATCCGATAAGGAACTTTGGTTACACTGCGCACACAACGGCGGAATCGGAATATTTCGGCATCGGTTATTTGCGTTCGTAATTCGACCGGTCGGGTAAACAATTCCGCGAAATCCGGTCCGCGGGTTCTAATGTCGTAGGCACACGGAACAACAAAAGACGGTCGGCACGCGGAGGGGGGGTGGAGAGGGGGACCTTTGTACCATTATGGTTACGGCGACCGACCGCAGGCGTTGTCATTTCGCCGAACCGTTTACCTACCGGGCCGTAACGTCCGATCGAATTATCGTTATTGTCGTCGCCAACGGAAATTTATCGACGTTATCGGCGATAAACGACGACGGGTAAATAATATTGGAAAATTCCACGAAAACACAGCCGGGATACCGTCGGTCGTGCGAGATAACGAAAATATAGGCGACGCGCGGTGACCGCAATGACATTGTCGACGAAAACATTTCAATAATGTCGAGGAAAACGCACCGAAAATCAATGGTGCGCGCGGTCGGAACGAAAACTGTCGAATGATGTTTTCACCGCGTTTTCCGCGTTTGTTTTTTGTTGTTTTCCCTCTTAGTTCGATCTCAATTATCGCACCGTGCGCGCAATTTTAACGTGCCTATTAGCGTATCGAGTTCCGCGGCCGAACGAAGGGGCTACGGGGGAAAAACGATAATAGTGCGAATGACGAAAAAACGACGTCCTGGGATGATTGGGACGGGCGCGGCCCACCGTCAGACGTAATATTCGATGTACAACCCGTAAGCAACGATAAGCCGTTGTTAACGAAAAAACGATTCCGAGCTATCCTAAATAACACAAATTGAATACCACGAGTCCGCACGCTTTTAATGCATATCGTCAACAAATCTAAATTTGAACAAGCGTTTTCTGCGGGGGGTGGGGGTGGGAAAACGCACAAACGTACATCCAGAAAACCAAATACTTTGCCTCTCCTCCCCCCCTTCAGGGATTTATCAAAACGGACGTTATCGCTCCGGATGATTTTTCTGGACGGTATGAGAGTTTTTCCGTATTACCGACGAGACACGCCGCCACTGCGGCTGGTGCGATGCGTAATGTTCAAACGTATTTCCTAATCGTTTTTCTTTTTTTTTTTTCTACATAATACGACAAATAACTGATATGACTTGAAAGTCGTGCGAACCGACCGTTTCGTCAGTTACTAAAAACTACTGCCCGTTGCCCACAAAACAAAAAAAAAAAATACGCTTCAATAATAAATAATATTGCGGATTAAACATTTTTCTTTATTTTCTTTTTTTTCGTGTTCATACGAAAATATTCTCTCCAGACACGCTATCGCGGTGGTATACGAGTGTTTAGCGTGCACTCGACGCGTACCAACGTACCCGCACCTATCTGCTCGTTAACCGTCATCAAATCGTGAGTCATCCGACACGCCGTGTAACTATGTACAGAAACCAAACAAGGTTACCAACGCACGGCACGTTCGACGTTAACTGCGTTTCCTCCGCGCGTTACCGTGAAAACCATAAAAGCGTAAAAAAAAAATATAAAAAAAATATTAAATATACGCCCGACAATAATTATCGTTTTGTACCGTTGTTGGGTATTTCGTGTGGGGTTTCACTCGGAATCGGTTCCGTCGCAAACGCGATGTCGTTCGGAAATAATACGAAAAGAACCGTCGCGGGAATACGGGGACGGGCGGACACAGTGGTAGAACTCGATGCGTGTCCGTGAGCAACGTTGAACCGCTGTTGTTAACGAAAAAACGATTCCGAGCGGAGTTCAGTCGATAGTGATGCTTCGACTACACGCATTAGTCGTCGTATTACGGTAAAACAAAATTAACAACAGGCATTATACATTTGTTTAACAATTAATATTGTACCGATTTCCCCGGTTTGCCCGTGTCTGTTCCCGGTCGGTATGCACTTGTATT